TCTCCTGGTATGCCCCACGGAGAGCCTCAAGGTCCATAAATAGCAACACCCTAGTGGTCCCGGGCCCTAAGGAAGTTAGATTGGCTTCAACCAGAGCCAGGGCCTTTTCAACTCTGGCTCTGGCCTGGTGGAACGCTCTGCCTCATGAGACCAGGGCTCTGCAGGATCTGATTTCTTTCCACAGGGTCTGTAAGACAGAGTTGTTCCGCCTGGCCTTTGGCTTGGAGCCAATTTGATTCCCTCCCTCCCTCCCTCTCTTTCTTTTTTCCTTTCCTTCTCCTCCTGCGATGAGGCTACATTTTTATATTTTAATGTTTCAATATTTTAATTTTGTATTTTAATTTTGTTTTTAAGTTGTAATCATTCAACTTGTTTTTATTATTGCTTGTAAGCCGCTCTGAGCCAGGCCTTGGCTGGGGAGGGCGGGGTATACATAAAAATTATTATTATTATTATTATTATTATTATTATTATTATTATTATATTTTTTTTAAAAAATGATGAAAAGCTGTTCTGCCCATTTTTGCGTTGTATTGCATTGTCCATTAATTGCTACGGCCACACATGGTCACAGATAGTCTCAGAACTATCACCTAGAGTATCTTTTAAGTACCCCCAGCTCTCCAGCGGTTAACTGTGCCTGGCAATATATAATTAGCCATGTTGAACAAAGATCACAGTATTTGCGGATGGAACCGCTCCAAGCATATCAACCTCAGTCTCAACTGGAAATAACTGAAAATTAAATAGCAGTAGTGATAAGACTGTTTCCTGGACACATCTTTTACTGTTTCCAAGGGGTAATCTAAATGTACCCTCCATACATTTAAAGCACATGGCTTTCCCAAAGAATCATGGAAACTATAGTTTACCCCTCAGTGAGCTACAGTTCCCACCACCCTTAAAAAAAAAACAGTCCCCAGATTTCTTTGGGTGAAGTTATAAGCTGTAAATGTGCCTTGAAAACAAGGCCCGCTGAGAACAGAGAAGATACTTAAATTTTGCCAGGGATTTCTTTATTTCATACCATTTCCTGGAAAGAAGCTTTGCAATTAGCAGAAAGATATATTATAACAGAAAAGGTTGTTTTGACCTCAAAGCTGGTGGTTCTGTCACTGCCCAGAGAATGGGGATGGCAATTTCTGTGCATTTGTAAGTAGTAACTTGAAATAACTTTGACAAGTGAATGAGGTAGTAAGTCAAAGGGTAAGCGCCAGGCATGCTAATGAGATTATAAAAATTGCAAAGCAAGAGTGATGGCAAAGGAGTGTGTGGGGTCTTGTGTAATGAACAAAACTTTTTTCCCCAAGAGGCCATAGGCCACTAGAAAAAGGAGCTCTGAAAATGAATGTCATAATAACATTTCCCTCCTCACGACTTTATCTTTGCATTACTTGCAGGAGATACCCACTCCACCTCGCAGTCTTTGGTTCTTGGCAAAAATCCCTGCAGTTTTTGGTAATAACATATTTAAAGGAACAAGCCTCAATATAACTGTTGTGACTCTAACTTTTGTGAACCAATGCACACAATACCAGCAAGCCTTTTCAAACCGGGTGGTGGCTTTTGGCGGGTGAGGTTTATTTCCACCAGCATGCATGGTATAGTGTACTTCCTGCTTCTACATTTGTTTTTTGTTCGTTTATAGCTCTCTTTAAAAAAAACAAAACACCACAAATACTCAGGGACTTTCCAATAAATAAACAAGACAGACTCTCCTCTCAGGCTTACAGTCCAGAAGAACTGACACAAAAGGAAAAGGGGGTCGGGAGCATGGAGGGGGAAAAGCAAACTCAGGAATCAGTACCTAAGGTCACAGTTGGGATGGAGAGTTCAGGTAGCCTGAACTGGAATGGCAGCCACTAGGTGACAGCTGAAGGAGAGGGCAAAAGGCTGCTGGCCAATAGAACGTTGTTGCTTCTCTTTTCTGCCTCTGTGCTCCACCATGATGGAATGGGTGTCGGTAAATATATCCTTTGCTGTGCAGGCATTGGTCTCTCCTTTTGCTATGATTACAGAATCATAGAATTGCAGTGTTGGAAGGGACCCTTACGATAATCAAGTCCAGCCTGCAATGCAGGAATCAATGAAAGCATCCATGAAAGATGGCCATCCAACCTCTGCTTAAAACCCTCCAAGGAAGGAGGGTTGGCTACTTTCTGAGAGAGTCCATTCCACTGTCAAACAGCTCTTACTGTCAGAAAGTTCTTCCTGGTGTTCAGTTGGAATCCCTTTCTTGTAACTTGGGATACATTGGTTTGGATCCTACCATCCGAGCAGGGGAAAACAAACTTGCTTCATCTTCCCTGTGACATCCCTTTAGATATTTGAAGATAGCTACCATATCTCCACTCAGTCTCCTCTTTGCCAGACTAAACATACCAACTCCCTCAACTGTTCCTCATAAGGCTTGGTTCCCAGACCCTTGATCATCTTGGTTGCCCTCCTCTGCACCTGTTCCAGCTTGTATATCTCACTGAGCCCATGGAAAATAGGCAAGTCAATGGGCTGTATGCAACTAGGTTCTGCTCAGAGAAGGCCCATTTAAGTTAACTGAGCTATGCTAGTTCTGTTTGTTCATTTCAAGGGATCTGCTAAGTATGACTAACACTGTCTACAATCCACGATGATCCAAAGAAGCAGAAGACCTTGGAACTTTTGAGGGTGATAGAGCCATCAGACCAAAGGTCTTGGGACAGGAATGCAGAATTTGTTTGAAGCATTACTAAAGACCATCTGTGTGATATTTCTGCTGGTATATGCCAGTATGAGGCTGCATGGCTGGGAAATATTCAGACAAGTAGGTGTTTGCATGACTTATGAATGATATTTCTGCTGTTCTGGACAATGATGCAGTGCTGTTTTAAGATGTCTGGCACCCTAAGCCATTTTCATAAGGGGGAAAGAATAGCAAGAACGGTCCCACAGCCCCCAGTTCCACTGTGGCCAAGATGCAAATGACAATAGCATTTGTTCTGTGTGCCTAAGAGGCTTGTACTCATGGAATAGTAGCCATTCATGCCACATGCAAAGGCACTTTTGACCCTAGAAGGACTTTCTAAGACAGTTTCATATGCATTCCAAATGCAGGATGGAGTTTTCAAAGAAAAACTTCACAAATAAAGCTTGCCCAAAGTAATTTTTAGCTATTCCAGGCCAGGTGTATAGCTTTATTGAAAACATTTGGAGTCTACATATTCTTCCTGCCTTACTTCTTGTGTTAGCGTGCATATCTAATAATAAAAGGTAAAATAAAATAAAAGGTAAAATATCTAATAATATTGGATTTTTTGTTTTATTTTGATGTAATAATCATAAATAAATAAGAATAAAAATGTGCACCCCCAGCACTGAGACCATTCCATTGTAACTATCCAACCTCCCAAAATTTGGACACCTCTTGCAATGGTTTGACTCCTTTCCATTTTAACAATACAAATTCTACAAATATCTTCAATATCTCCTCAAAATCATTTCTTCTGTGTATTCCCCATCTTACCTTAATGGCACATGTTAATTTATCATTAATAACTATATCCCACACCTTTTTATACCATTCTTCCATTTTATATTCTGCTTTCCCCTTCCACTTCCTAGCTATCATAATTCATGCAGCTGTCAGTAAGTTTGTGAGGAAGTCCTTCAAAGCCTGCGAACCTTCCACCCCATCGTAAATTGATAATAATGTTACCTCTGGACTTCTGGTCAGCTTTGACCCAGAGATTTTTGTTATCTCCTTGAACACCTTTTGCCACCACACGTGAACATAATTCCTGGTTTCCTGGCATCTCCTCCAACATAACACCAAATATTCCTCATTTATTTGATTTATTCTGACTGGTGTTAAATACCATCTCCAAACTGATTTATAATAATTTTTATTCTTTTATATTGTTTTAAAGCTGCTCATGACAGCAGTTATAGACCACACAGCAAGGCTCTCTTTCCTCCATACTGTCAGGGTATGTTTCTTATCATGGGTGTAGAACATAAAGTTTTTGAGTTGTCAGGTTTTTATCTTTATAGCATCGGTGCACCTGTTGTTTATGAACTGATTCTGTTGAGTCTGTAAAGAGCCAAGGTCACAGATCTGAGATATATCTGGGCTTCTAGGCAGTTTTTCATTCATCTTTCTTCATTTGTCTTTCGTTGTTCTTCAGTTATGCCTCTACGTTTTGAAGCTTTTGACTGTCACTGGGGACCCAGTGATGCAGTAACTATGTTCTTAAGCAGCTGAACCTCAGTAAACAACTACTGATGAACTTTGCTGCTTCTTTTGTGTGTTTGATTGGATACAGCACTGGATTTTCTTCGCCTACTGTCCATGTCTGGGTACTCTGTTGTTTTTTCATGCCCATAAACTGGAGATGTTTACCCAGGCATGGAGCCAGGGTGGTAACTGGATTTTGTACCAGCCCAGACACACCTGTCATATCTGAGCAGATATTTCACTGCTATTATTGAAAAGTGGATAGGTGCAAGAAAAGTGAGATTTCAAGGGGGGGGGGGGAATGGACCTGTGCTTTTTAACTTGTTCATAAATGACCTAGAGTTAGGGGTAAACTGTGAGGTGGCCAGGTTTCCTGTTCATACTAAATTGTTCAGGCTCTAAAAGAGACTGTGAAGAGTTCCAAAAGGAACTCTCCAAACTGAGTGAATGGGCAGTAAAATGGCAAATGCTGATCAATGTAAACAAGTGTAAAGGGATGCACCTTAGCTCCATTTCCAGCCATTGACATCTCCAGGTAGGACTGGGACTATCCTGTTTGAAACCCTGGAGAGTTGCAGGGCTGTCAGTGTGGACAGAAGTGAGCAAGATGGACCAATGGTCTGGTCTGCCTGTAAGGCAGTTTCTTGTCTTCTTCAACTTTCTCAAAGCAAACATAATGTAATTCTCTTCAACGGAGAAAGAATTCCCTTGAGATTTTTCCACAGTAATTTCAATTACGGGTGAATGTTTCTTTCTTTGACACGTGAAAATAAATGAAAACACAGACAGGTGGATAGAAAAAGGTTTTGTTTTCTTTAAGTACACTGAAGTCTCTATCAGCTCTTACACTAACACAAAGGCACTATGGGAGGAATAAACAAAATAACACAGAGTGCAGTCATTACAGACAATGTGGTTGCCAATGTGGTTTGGCACCTGTGTGCTGCTAGTAGCTCACGTCAAAGGCAGGCAAATGTGTGTAACAAAAAAGGGAAAAGGCTAGAACACCATCACACATGGTCTACCAAGTCTTTAAGTCCAGGGCTTTAAAGTGTATATCCAAGATTATTATTTTTTTAAAAAATGTTCAATGTTGCCCCCACATTTTACAATTCAAGCTGATTATAGACAGTGTACAGCCCATGGTAAACTTGTGCCAACCCAACCCCTGCTACTGGCAGTGACAATTGCTTTTGTTTTCATCAAAATAATACTCTCCGGCACTGGAAGTTAACACATCGCGACTGTATACGTGAGGGCTATAATGACTCCCAATGACCAGGACAGATAGAACTATCCATCGGAAAGCAGGAACTTGCAATATCACCAACTGATGCAAAACAAGAATAAAATGTTTATTTGGAGGAGTTAAGAAGATAATGTAAGCCAAGGCTATCCTAGCACCTCTAGGATAAATTATGCAATGCTTTTGCCATAGGTGTTCAATGAAAGTGCTTAATGCTTCACCATTAGAGAAAGAATTAAAGCTTTCCTTTGGCCACAGTCCACTTACTTAAAGGAATCTGATTCCAGTGAGACTATCCAAGAGTAAATGGACTGTTGAGCTATAAGCCAGGTTTGTATTGTGGTCTTTATTAAAAGCATAAGTGTTCCTAAACAAGCACTTCAATAACTAGTATTTAAAAACAAACAAACATATCATGCCAGCTATAACTGCACGAAAACTGCCTTGCTAGAGAGCTGACAGGTTTTGCCCCTGATTCTCAAATATAAGCCACGTGTCCAACTATCATAATCATCTAGGCCAAGCTAGAGATGACTGCCAAGGTCTAATGGTGCCTGGAAATTCAACAGGAGAATCCAGAATCAAGGACAAACTAAATGTGATGAGTAGGAAGTCCTATGTTTTTGAAGTGTTAGCAGCAGTTGCAATGGCCCAATTTGGATCAGGGCCACTACACTGGGAAGTATTTCAAACCCTTTCCCCCATCCTATTTTTCCAATTAAAACCCCCATCCTACATAACTGGGCAAAGCATACAGGCAGCATGTGGAAATCTGTACATTTTGCCCAGGAGGGCTAATAGTGGTAGAGGGGGGAAATTAGAAAAACTGCACAAAAGAAATGTGTTTTTTTTAATCCCATGGTCTCAATCCAATCCCTCCTTGCTGCAATTGTAATTGTTTTTAATTGGGAGATCCTATGCAAACGTCTCATGCATCTTGTCTGATTTCCTTGCTGTTCCCATCTGTAGCTGCCAACATAAATCAATCTGCAATAAAGCATATGCGGTATTTTGACGCTTGCTCTGTATACACCCTTACCATAATGCTAGAACGAGCTTTTTGACAGCGCTTGTTAATTTCCTTAGGGTTCCCACAAAAGAATTTCCCAATAGAGTGCAAGTTTCTCGCAGCCTACTGCAGTTTTCAAAATAATTGCAAGAGAATTAAAAAACTGCCCTGCATCTACCGATTAGTTGCAGTTCTTGTCCAAATATATGTCACAGGGAGAGCTGAAAATAGCTTTTCAGTGGCACAAGGGGGGGGGGGAGATAAGGAAGCAAATATCCTCAGAGTCTGTTGAAAAGCTCTCTGCATCCATGAACAATGAAATAATGAAAAGATAATCTAATACTGTACAGGGCTATCACAAAAATACAGACTCAGGAAGGCAATCAGTCACAGAGAAGTTTTTCTTAAGTGAAGGCACCATGCAGGCTACAAGCATAACTTTGAGTTTTCTTATTTACTATGATAAATTAATGCCTGTAGGGAATAAGCAGATAGTCAACATGAAATGTGCTTTATTTCAGTTGCTGTACATTAAAAAGAATACTGACTTCAAAGGCTAGTTTAGAAACAAGCAGGTCATTATGGTACATACAGGTGGAGCTTCCTTGCAGGTTCCAGTTCCGTTCAGCCTTGCCATCACCTCTGAGCGTTGTCAGTGTGTGCCTGGCAGGGCACAAACATGGAGAGAGAAACAGTCCCTGCCCACAGAAACCTACACCCTAAAGTCAGACCCACAGTGTTCGTTGGCCATCAAGTTCTGAAGATCTGAAGACCCATTTGACACAACATATAAAGATTTTCCTGCAGGGCTGCTTGATGTCTCAGGTGACATCTATGCCGATATCTGGAGTTGGAGAGTAAAGCCAATGGTGTTTTTGTGGAGGGGAAGTGATTGCTTTTATCTTCACACTGCAGTGATGCCATGGGCTTCTGTTTCCTGTGGGGGCAAAAAAACCCCCAAATTTAATATATTGCCAAGGGTTCTCCCTAGCAAAAGGAATGCACACGGCAGATAGCTAGCTCTTTATTGTCAAAGCTGACACTTTTACAGTAGTTTCCATGGCTATGAATACTCCTCCCTCCACCCCACGCACACCAACCTAGTGTCTATGCAGCTATTCCCAAGTTGCTGCACATAGAGCAGTTGCAGCAACAAGGGCACATGGCCCTTCCACCAGCTTATGTATCTTCCTCCTATGGGCTGTGCACATGCAGTCGGAGACTATGCCTGCTTAGAACTGCCTCTGCTCTTCTCATTTCAATTCTCTCCTGGTTCTGGAAGACAGTGGTACAAGAGAGGGCGGGGAAGCACCTGGCCCTTCACTTGCCTGACCTGCCTCTTCCTCCAGTGCCCTACCCTCCAGCTCTGAAGCTTCCCCTGCCTCTGAACTCTTGCCTCATGGCTGGTACAGTTCCCCACAAATCACTGCCCTCCTCTTCCAAGTCAGACTCCAGCCCCCTTCCCCCGGTGCACACTCATCAGTGTCCTGCCAGTCCCTGACATATATTTGATGCAATACATCCAACATCAGCTTTATGTACAAAAGGACCAACTCAGCTCCAAACAATCAAGTCCAGGAGGTGGGGAGATGGCTTGTTCTAGATGGGGCTGTGGTTCCCTGGAAAGAGAAGGTTCCTAGCTTGGTGGTACTCCTAGATCCAACACTGGGGAACTGGAAGCTCAGGTGGCCTCAGGGGCTAGGAGTGCCTTTTTCCCAGCTATGGCTGGTTTGCCAGCTACAAACCCTGTTAGTCATGGCTCAAGTGACGATCTAACATAAGGTTACCAGATTTTTTTCAATGAATCCAGGGACACTTCATTGAAATGAGTCGGAATGATAGGAATTTGTCAGGGGACTGATCTGTAAATCTGGGAACTGTCCCCGGGAAACGGGGACGTCTGGTGACCTTAATCTAACAGCACTGCTGGAAATTAATTTTAAAATGGTATCTGATCATAAAAAGAAGTCAACAGGCAGTGCAGACCGTATTATGTTTACACAATAGGAATGACTTTCCTGTCATTGACCAAGTTCTTTTTTGAGAGCTGACTTAATATTTCTGTAAAATATTAACCTGATGTTCCAGGCGTGAGTGCCAGGCAGTGTCAGAAGTGTGCTTCGCTGGACCACCTACTTGCTTTTACAACCTCATTTTAAAACACTAGATGGCATTAGTCTGCCAAATGACTGTTTTGACTGGCAACACAATAAAGAAAATGCACATGCCACAAACACCCAATCACAGCATATATTGTGCTTAAGTGCACAAAAGTAATGGCAAGGAGGAAGTATACCTTCCGTTTATTTATATTAAGTCTTTGGGTGACCTGACACTAATTCGGTCACATCAGGGCTTCAGTGTAAATTAAGATAACAAAGATGTTGCAATTCTGGGTGGCAACCATGTGAGATTCAACCATGACACTGATGTACAAAATTAAGACTGATATGACACATACATAAAGTCTTATTGATTGCAAAGAACTAGGACTGGGGAGACCCAGTTTCAAATCCCACTCCATCATGAACCTCAGTGAGTTACCTCAGGCCCATCGCTATCTCTCAGCCTTAACTACTTCACAGGGTTGTTGTGAGAGAAGGTAATATATAAATGTAACCAAGAAATAAATAGAAAATTATATGAAAATGCAGTTCTTCCTGTATATCCATGAACTGGGTGCAGGTTGAAGGAGTATATTGATTAATGTTGAGTGTCCAGTCACAAGCAGGACAGAAAGTCATTGGGATCCATGGATTACTTCAGTGTAAATGGCTGCAGAATGCTCTCACCAGAGTACGAATATGGAGCTTCTTTGCTGATTTAAAAAAGTACATTCTGTCTCAAAACGCCCCTCAAACTTGATTCATACAATTCTACAAAAACTCTCTTGTTTAAAACTATGGAAACAAAATGCTGTAAAAAAAAAAAGCTCGGGAAGCAAGGAAAAAAGAAATTTTGGATGCTATAGCAAAGAAAGAAAATGAATTAGGAAAAAACCCAAATAAACAATCAATAAAACAGGCAATAAAATTATTACAATCACAGTATTCAATGATAATCAATGAAGAAATAACATGGAAATTTAAAAAAATGAAACAGAAATTCTTTGAGCATGCAAACAAACCTGGAAATTTGTTAGCATGGCAATTAAGGAGAAATCAACAGATGAATCATATAGGTATAATTAATTCCAATGGGAAAGTTTTAGATAAAACAAAAGAAATAAGGGAAGTCTTTTAAAAATATTTTCAGAATTTATACAAAAGAAGAAATGAAAAGGCAATCAACATACAGGAATATATAAAAAAGAGTCATCTGGCAAAGATAAAACAAGAAGAGATAATATTTTTAAATACACAAATAACAGATCAAGAAATCCCCAAGGCAATAAATCAAATAAAGGTGGACAAACAGAGGGATTATCAGCAAAGTATTATAAAAAATTTAAAGAACAGCTTGTAAATGCAATGAAAGACATAATGAATGAAGTATTAACAGACGGGGAAATTCCAGAAACATGGAAGGAAGCTTATATTACTTTGATTCCAAAACAAGATACAGATTTGACCTTGGTCAAAAACTATAGACCCATTTCATTACTGAACAATGATTATAAGATATTTGCTAATATTTTAGCTAATAGATTGAAAAAGGTCTTAAATGTTTATATACATCCAGACCAAGTGGGATTCCTTCCAGGTAGGCAGATGAAAGATAATATAAGAAATATCTTAAATGTAATAGAGTATTTAGAAGTAAGAAATGAGAAAAAAGCAGCAATGATGTTCATAGATGCAGAAAAAGCATTTGATAATACATCTTGGGATTTTATAAAGAAAGTGATGGAATATGGAGAAAAAAATTATAAAAGGGATACAAGCTGTATATACAGAACAGAGTGCAAAACTAATTATTAACCAGGTGATAACGAACCAATTCAAAATAGAAAAAGGAACGAGACAAGGATGTCTGTTATCACCTTTATTATTCATTCTGGTCCTGGAGGTTTTGAACAGAAACATAAGAGCAGACAAGCAGATTGTGGGAATAAAAACGGGGGGAAATGAATTTAAGTTGAAAGCATTTGCAGATGACTTGGTAACCACAGTTGACGAACCAAAACTATGTCTCCCTAAGGCTTTAGAAAAAATACAGTACAAGAGTTTGGGCGAGTGGCAGGATTTAAATTAAATAAAGGAAAGACAAAAATACTAACAAAAAATATGACAGAACTGGAGAAAAGGGAATTGGAGATTATAAAAGTAGAAATTCACAAAAAAGTCAAATATTTAGGAATCTGGCTTACTAATAAAAACTTAAATTTATATAAAGACAACTATGAGAAAGTTTGGAATGAGATTAAGAAAGATTTGGAAATTTGGAATAGAATGAATCTCTCCTTGATGGAAAGGATAGCAGCAATAAAGATGAATGCACTACCAGCGGCAATAATTATATTAGCACAAACTTGGAAGACAGAAGAAATACTAACGAAAGAACAATGGCAAGGGAAACTTATGGAATATGCAGAACTGGCAAAACTAACAGAAAAAGTACATGAAAAGGACAACAAAGACTATAAAAGAGAATGGGAACCATTTACAACATATATGAAGAGGCAACATAAAGAAATGGACTCATTGGCAGGGTTTGAGTAAACAATCACAACTGTATACAACAAAAAATAAGACTATATGTATTGGGAAAATTTTTGGGAAACAATACACAGGGTGAACAATATGGAAATAAAACAAAATGGGAGTATGAGGGAAGTCCAGGGGAGAAGGGTAGAAAATTATTAAAGATATACTGTTAGAAGTATACATGGAAAAATCAATAAAAAATTATAAAAAAACCTATGGAAACAATCCAGATAAATAACCCAGTTGTTTACACTTTTAGCCCCATCAGTTTCAACAAGAGAGGAATATACGTGTTTCTCTGCCACTAGGAATGATGGAACAAAAGTGGATTAAATTAATTGCCTCATGCTCTAGGTATCACCCATTAATGCTATATAAATCCCACCCAATGTTGGAAAAATAAATGAAGGCATGTAAGCAGATTGTACACCTACTATTGTCTGCTTAAAACAAGCAAGGAAAATATTCTCTATTCCCCCTTTGAGACAAATTAAAGTTTTGGTGGCAGGGATTGAAACTATCAGGATTTTCAGGTAAAGGCTGAAATGAGGCAGCTGCCAGCAAACTTACCTGAACAGTCTTCTGAAGGAAAAAGTCATAATAGAATTGTACTAAGATTCTTCTTCTTCTTCCTCCTCCTCCTCCGCTTCTTCTTCCTCTTCTTCTTCTGCCTCTTCCTCCTCCTGTGCTGCCTCTGTTTCCTTATTTATATAAAGGAGAGAACATTCAAATATGGGAAGGGAAAGAAACAACTACTGAAACAGTGGATTAAATGTGACATGCATATTGCTCCCTCAGAAAATGGGAGAAAGCACCTTATACTGCAATGCAAAGTCTGCTACAATTTTAAAGGTGCGTGGGCAGAACGTAGTCTCCTGATCACAGATCCTTCTATAAAAGGTGGGCTATTTTTCTGACATAAATCATGTGTAATTCTCCGAGAAGGAAAAGCTCAATTTGGAGGTGGGGTGCATATTCCATTTGCAGCCATACTGTGTTGCTAGCACATTTCATTTTTCTAAACAGAAATACAAGCTTTTATAAAAACTTAATGCAGCTGAATGTTGAATTCTTTACTTCATTAACATATGCAGACAAGCCACATTAGATTTAATGATTAATGATCAAAGAGCAGAAGCATAATTCAGCCAAACTAATAAACTCAACAGTAGTCTATGCCTTCTTTCTCTAGTGTCTGGGTGTGTGTGTGAGAGAAAGAGTGTATACATCTTAGTGGGTGTATGTGGCTACAAATCAGAATAATATTGTTCAAGTTAGATTCTGATCTACTGTTTTTTTCATATCTGTTAGAAGGAAACAATAGCAAAAGCTATTCTAGAGTAAGGTTACCAGATATTTTTCAATGAATCCAGGGACACTTTTCAACTTCCTACTAAATAGATGGATTTTGTCAGGGGACTGATTTGTAAAACCGGGGATTGTCCCCGGGAAACGGGGACGCCTGTTAACCTTATTCTAGAGTCTACTTTCCCTATTCAGAAGGCAGTATTTGACTTTTATCTACATACCACACATAATCTAGTCTACATGTCTTTGTTTTTCCATCACCTAGCAAATTAATGAAAAAGGCAAGTTGTGCTATTGTGTTGCTCCTATTCATTTCCACAGCATTTGCATAGATTAATGTGTGGGCATTTGCGGTATATTCTGCCCCATAGTGCACTGGTACTCCTAGCATGAAATATCACTGAGGCATTGTCTACATCAGAGTGTCTTGCATACTCAATGTGTTGCTGAAGCACACAACTGAAAGGGAACCAGTTTACCCAATTTACCCTGCCTCCATTTTCTTCCCTTTCCTCTGTTCTTTTATTACGCAATTTTTCTAGATTGTAAACCATTTTGGACAGGAATGCATTCTCTCATTCTTTGTAAAGCTTCATGTGCATGGATGGTGTTATATAAATAAGAATGACCATAATGAGGAAAGAGCAGAGTATTAAATTGTGTGGCACCTTCTGCATTTTTCCACCAAGAGAATTCCATCATCCCCACAGTGATATAAGAATAGGATGCACCAAAACATTGTTATTCAAGTTATGTGTCCAAACTCACAAGCAGTTTTTGTGGCCCAATCTAAGGTTATGTTCCATGAAGAGTACATCCAATACCAACATATGACAATATTCTGTGTGGGAAGGCTGGGCATGTATGCCCTCATCTCCCTCCCCAATTTAAGCCCTTCTTCTTCTCACGCCATTTCTCTGCTCTAAATTCCTTCCTCCTGAAGCAATTTTGGTTTGAAAAGACGAGAAGATGAAGAAGTAGGTCACTGTTGCTTGCATTATAGCACAAAACTTGGAGTGCCCCTAACAATGTCGTTAGCAGTCCTCTTGCACCAACCCTAGAATGCCAATTTTATCTTAACAGCAGCATTAAGTCTGCAGTGGACTTGTATTAGGAGGAAAAAATGAATCCAGAAAGTAAAAAAAAGGCAGAAGATGCATGCAGATGCATTGGCTAGGTATAAAACAATATTTGATTTTCACAAAAAAATTATGGTTAAGATTTGTAACGGGGGGCCATCAGGTGGCACGTTGGAAGATGGCCGACAATAGCATCTCTCTGACCCATACGAGGTAATTAAGGGGCTGCTATGGGAAGCATGCAGTCTTCCTACCCACCCCCCGGAGATGGGGGGGCGCTCCCTTTGCCAGCGGTGTTCACAATGCATCCCCTGATCCGAGAGATGGGGGTGCCGAACACTTGGCACGAGCCGTCGGTGAAGTCAGATCTTCCTGACGCCGATTCCAATTAGCGCGTGCTGGTTAGCTTCAGCTCGGAATTATAATTGGAAACATATGATTGGAATGAAGCTGAAGCACATACATCAAGTAATGTTCGAGGATAAGACTGCTGATTTATGGATCTCTGTGACCGGGAGTGACGGATGGATAAGTAAATCTTCTGATGAATCACCACTAGGAGACTGTATGTTTGGAATGAAGGGGGGGTGGAGGAATAAACCCTTTTTTTTTCTTTGCACGATGTGATATTAATAACCCTTCACCCCAGATAGAAATAAGATCGTTGCGTTTTTATTAATCACAAGCAGGAATTCAAGAACTGTGTGGGATGGATTATAACAGGAGAGAGGATTGGTGAACAGTGAGAAAGAGGAAAATTTTTATGACGCAGTTAAAAAATGGCGTCTCGCCAAGACAGGCTTGCCGGAGAAAGAAGGACAGGGGGAGGAGAATCAGGATCGTTCGAAAGAGAAGGAATGTTGGAAGGCAAGCTCGACCTGGCAGAGCCCCCTGATTCATTTGATAAGCCTGAGAAAAGTAAAGGACAGACCGAAGATTAATTTTTTTATGGAAGCGTTGAACAGAGGCTGTCCCTGAGCGATATGATCTTTGAAGAGTACAAAACCCACACAGAGGATGCCTGTTTTCAATCTGCTTGTGAAAATTATCAGAGATCGCAAAGAAAGGAATATACGATAACAACAAGATGAGAAAGAAAGTAATAAAGGACTATCTAGATTGAACTGGATAGAACTGTCTAATTAAGCAGTAATATAAGTGATGTTTGGACTCGTTCGGAGTTTTGGACTCGTGTGGAGCTTGATGTATGGGTACCCCCAACAAAATTTAAAATTTGGCTGTATAATTTGGAACTAATGTGATTTGGATAATGTGATATGATTGGCCTGTTAATAAAAATTATTTTTTTTAAAAAAAAAGATTTGTAACAAAAACCCCAGGAAATACAGTGGTGCCTCGCAAGACGAAATTAATCCGTTCCGAGAGTCTCTTCGTCTAGCGGTTTTTTCGTCTTGCGAAGCAACCCTATTAGCGGCTTAGCGGATTAGCGCTATTAGCGGTTTAGCGGCTATTAAAGGCTTAGCGGCTTAGCTGCTAAAAGGCTATTAGCGGCTTAGCGGCTTAGAAAAAGGGGGGGGAGCGAAAAAAAATCTCAAGACTCGCAAGACATTTTCGTCTTGCGAAGCAAGCCCATAGGGAAATTCGTCCTGCAAAGCGCATCGAAAAACGGAAAACCCTTTCGTCTAGCGGGTTTTCCGTCTTGCGAGGCATTCGTCTTGCGGGGCACCACTGTAACCTCAATTGGTTTTAATAGTAAACACATACAACACACAAGGCAGGAGTTGGCTGAGAAGCTCCAAGCCAGAGGTCTGTTCCTTTAAGGAAAGTCTGGTGCAAGAGGGATAAAAGGTCTCCACTGAGCTTCAGGCCCAGCAGGTTGTCTGTTTGGAGCTATCCAAGGTCCTTCAATTCAGCCTAAAGCTACCTGCTACCTGACTGATTGACAAAGCTACACCTATGTCTCTGATGTGCCCTGTGCAGGTGTGTGCAAGCAGGCATGAATGTCCACATAGTTACATAGGTGCACCAAGTGCTGCCTGGGTACATCAGTTCAAGCGCATGCCATTTTGCTCTGAGAAAATGGTTAGAATGAATTCCTTGGTCCCAGAAGTTAAACAGGCCCATACATAAATATTCTTTGCTAGATGCCAGTCATAACTTGGTTTTGTGATTCAGCTTGGGGGAAGAGGGTTGTCAAGCAATGCTTTACATTAGTCAGCAAGCAGACAAATCAAAGTGCAGACTACAAGAAGTTTTTGAGCGTACTTCTGTCACTGGCTGTTCTTCGCCTTCTTCCTGCAAATGAGAAAAACCATCCCTTAAAACAGACTAATAAAAAAGATCAGATAGCAACCAATGACAAAAAAAATACTATTGAGAAAGACTAGGATCTATTATACAGGAGGGTCTATACACGTTTGTTCAGAAGAAAGTCATACTACTGTGTTTATTCTCAGATAAATATGCATTGGGTTACACCCTAAAGAATGCTGCAAGGCATAATGTTCCTTTCCCCCCTTTATCTTAAGCACAGAAAGTAGGGCTGAATCAAAAATTAATTGAAGATAACCTCCTGGCACTTTTTTTTCAGCTGCTCCTGATCTGTTGGGGAATTCCAGTCCTCCCCTGGAAAATGCTTGGCAAATATTTGACCATTTCATTCTCCATGGATTTTGGGTGCAACTATAAATCAAGCTAATATACTGTTCAGTGTCATTTTAACCACTGTTACAAAGGAAGGAATTGGCTTTGTTCTTATTCCTTCCCATTCTCCTTTCTTCACCCAACAATATAAACAAACAACAGAATTTTATTCAACATTGAGTGAGCCAAAAATCTCCCAGAAGACAATTCTGTGAGGGGGGAAAATGTGTTGGAGAATTTCAGCCCCCCCCCCTCGACATTTGGCAAAACTCCCTTACCTGCCCAATTTTGCCTCCCCAAAATAGCCCATTTTGGTTCAGTCCCAAAATAAAAGTTAGAAGAGGAATGGCAGGGGAATGACAGCAAAGCAGAATTTTTTCACCTCTCTCGATGGCCCTCACAAAACAGTGAAGTGCCCAGCTCTTGAAGCATTCTTTTTCCACCAATGAGAAGAAGGTCTGGGCAGCATGAAAACACCACATAATAAATGCCCAACGTCTTAATGAAAACACTTATATTCAGTGGTGTCTGTATCAATAATCACCAATGGCTGTGAAAAGGATAGATGTTTAAGAAACCTTTAAGATCTGACCTGCCCAGTGAATAACTTTACATCCAGAAAATAGCACCTGTCTGGGACTTTGGGATTTTGTTGCTGGCAAAAGATGCAGAACATCTGTGACAGCCATTCAAAGAAGACAGGTGCAACTGAGAATACTGACACCCCACCCCCCGAGATCCCTCCTTCTGCATACATGTGCATCATTTTGACTCTGCATTTATCCATTCCATGGCCCCTGCAGGGTCAAACCATCAAAAAGAGTTCTTTTACAAGTCTGTTAATATGCAGAATCATCCTTTTCACTCGCAGAAATTACATGTTTGCTGCATTTCTACTGCAGTGGAATTCAGAGTCATCTCCAAGTTGTCTTATTTCTCTAATGAGGTAGCAGCTGCTGCTCATGGTTTTCATTCCTCTCCAAGCATGCGGGCAGATACACTGAAAGCGACACTTCGGAATCAGCTGCCGGTGCCTGACTATAAAGGTTTCTGTGAGGGGAAGCCGATTGTTACTCAGCAGACAAGCAGCTGTGGATGGTTAAGCAACAGGAGAATGCCGCCAATGCCCTGCTGGGGAACCTGTCGCCCTCCAGCTGTTGGTCCTCACAGCCACCCGAATGAATGCAATCCTTATGCAAAATTTAGAAGTGTACAAGTGCAACCTGCAACAAAATGTTGTAGTGTGAAGTGTTTCCTCTTCAGGATTCCAACCACTCCATTCCATTACTCCCTCCCCACTAAGGTTTTCTATTCTGCCCTCACCCCCAGGAGTGAGTCAATGGTCCGTGGCTACTGAGCATTGGGCTGTTCTCCCCCTAATGATTTTAGGAAAACTTTTGCAAATCTCGGAGCTCACCCCATAAGCTTGCTAATACCTCCCTCTCACATGTTGGTACTGCTGCTTTGGCTGCAAAAGCAATGGATGGCACTCAGAGCCTGGATATCAGAGATGTGAAGGACGCTTTGAACAAAAATGGCAAGCAGGGGAAAAAAAGAAAAGGAAATGACCTGTTCTTCTGTTGGCACTTCAGCAGAATCAGCTTCTGCATCCTCTTCTGCGTTTGCCTCATTCTCCTCAGTTCCCTCTGTCTTTTCAATCTCCTGGCAACGGAGCAAAAAAGAAAAACACAAGTAACATCGCAGAAGAGAAAATCAATTTAAACCAAAGAAATCTAGGGTGGTATTCAACCAACATGTCCTGCCAGTGCAAGGATTTCTGGTCCTGCAGTTAGATTTCCCCCACTGCTCCCTTCATTTACACCCTCCCCAAATCTGCTTCAGAAGTTTGGGAGAAGCCCCCGATTTAAGGGGTGTGCAGGGGCAGGAGGGGGAATATTCTGTTGCACATGCAGAAATCCTTGCTGATGGAAAATTCACATACTGCTACTCCGGATTCCTTCTTCACCTCTGAAATGCATTTGGCAAATCTCATGTAATTGTGCTCACTGGATGATTGTTAACTTTCTCTTTTAAAAGTCAAGCTATTTTCCTGCGTTTTTTAAGCAGAAATGTTACGGCAAGTTCAAACCGTTTAGCTCTCATAGGTCATGCTGTTCCTTCCATATTAGGGATGAGGATGCTGCAGCCATCCAGATGTTGTTGGACTCCAAGATGGCCAAGGGTCATGATGGGACCTGCAGGCCAACAACATCTGCAGGACACTGAGTTGGCAAAGGCTGATGCGGTGGCCAGCCAGGCAATCTGAGTCATGCTGGGGAACTGTTGGCACTCACACAGAGTTTCTGGGAGATGGCAACATGGCTTCCAAAAAAGCACTTAAGTGATTGTTGTTATACAGAGATATTTTTTTTAAAAAAAAATCATATTACTTCTTCAGTTTTCTGCTCTTCTCCTGAAACTTCACCATTTGGCACAGTCGGTATCTCCTCGGTAATCCTTCCCTCCTGTGATAAAGAATTCAAACAATATTCAGAAGTGGAGAGGGCAAGTACTGGGTTTGAATGTTTCACTTAGGGCTTATGTATTGTTGCTTACTTTGAAGGTCAGTATCTGTCTAGGTTTGTCTGGGTCTCGTGGCGTAGACATGTGAGTTGTTGATTGAGGAACTGAGACTGACATGGGAGAGGCTACAGAGTGGTTTATTGGTTTATCAAGCTTGCATATTTGATTTTGGTGTGTTCACTAGGTAACAGTGTGTTTGAGTAGACCTGAGTGGAAAGTATTTTAGATGCCGATAGACGGTTAATGGTGTTGATGATTACATAGCGGGCTGAGAATATAACTACATTTGTTTCTTTTTCATCGTATAAGTGATTGGGAATGTTGTTATATTTTGTTAATTATGTTTTAAATGTGTAATTTTCATTGTAATTCTGAAGTTGCTTGTCATGTGTAATATTTTATTCTGATACTTAAAAGGATGCCCTGTACTGTTGTCAGTTGTGGTGTTTTATACTGTGATATTTCCCCCCTAGTATTTTCTGTATTTGATCGTTATTGACGAAGCTGTTTTAAACTGTTTAGAGATTCTGCCCCACTCCAAATACATGGTATATAGATTGTCTAAATATAAGTAAATAAACAAACCATGTAATGTGCATTTATACACACTTGCATATTTAAATTCTGTTTCTTTTTGTTTCTTGAAAAGTCATATAAAAACATAATAGGATGCTTTCAATTCCATCAACACTGAAAAGCATCAAAGGTAGGCAGCAGTAGTTAAGAGCAAAGATCTATGCCTAAATTATTTTAATAAAGCATAGTTATTGAATAGATTGCTTTCACTAAAGTGAAATGATTGCTCATTTCTTTCAGTTTCATATCAGAAGAACAGAGTATGATCATTAACCAGCAAGGTACTCTGTTTTCTAATTCATTCAGTATAATCAAATCAAAGGGTTGTATCCAAAGCTAGTCATACCCAGAGTAGACTCAGTGAAATTAATCAACATAACTAACTTAGCTACATTCATTTCATTAGGTTTACCCTGAGTAGAACTTGGTGTATGGATACAACCCAAAGCAAAGTGTTTTTCAGTACTGTATCATTTTCTGAGCAGAAAAGTAGAAGCAAACAAAACAAGTAAGTTGTTTGGGGGGGGGGGTTTAGTGTAGGCATGATATTTAGGGTCCCCTCCCAGCCCACGATTTCATACCTCTCAAGTGGGATTCTGCAGAAAAAGCAGGCTTCTAAAGTGGTTCAATAATTTAATGACTTTGGCCAAGTCTGTTAACTATTGGTTGTAAACAAAGCCATTTATCACAAAGACACCATGAGCCTCTAGCAACAGCGGCACATGACAGGGAGCAACAACAGCACCATCGTGTCCACCAGCAGGGGGGCAAGGCAAGAGGAGCTCTAGGCTGGTGGCTTCACACACCTGCAGGCGACAAGAAACCCCCCTGACCTCATCAGCACCTCACCATATCCCTGGCCTGGTAAGTGGCAGAGCCAGTCTGCTTCTCCCCTCATGTACCCCTGCTGGCCTCTGCTGACCTTTGCTCCAAGGAAGTCATACACTGAGATCTCTTGCTGCTTGGAGATTTGTGTGTGTGTAATAATATACAAAAATATGCTTCCATATGCTGTTATTTTCTAGCATAATGAATATATCTTTCTTAAAAATAAAAATAATCACCATAAAGCTGATTATAAGCAAGTACAGTGGTACCTTGGGTTAAGTACTTAATTCGTTCCGGAGGTCCGTTCTTAACCTGAAACTGGTCTTAACCTGAAGCACCACTTTAGCTAATGGGGCCTCATGCTGCCGCCGCACAATTTCTGTTCTCATCCTGAAGCAAAATTCTTAACCCGAGGTATTATTTCTGGGTTAGCGGAGTCTATGACCTGAAGCGTATGTAACCCGAGGTACCACTGTAATAATAACAATCAGTAAGATACAGTGGTACCTTGGTTCTTGAACATAATCCGTTCCGGGAGTTCATTCGACTTCCGAAATGTTTGAAAACCAAGGCGTGGCTTCCAATTGGCTCCAGGAGCTTCCTGCACTCAAGCAGAAGCTGCGTCGGACATTCAGCTTCCGAAAAATGTTAGAAAACTGGAACACTTCTGGCTTTGTGGTGTTTGGGAGCCAATTTGTTCGTCAGCTAAGCTGTTTGAGAACCAAGCTTCCACTGTACTTTAACGTTATAACATTCTGAGCGGCTGCCTCTTCTGTGGCTACTGCTCTTATCACTTTAAATAGGTCTCCAAAACTTTCATAGTATTTTTTTTTAACAACGTATCTCATTGTGTATTATGAAGTGGACAAATTGAAGGTGCATTGCTGTGCATTAATAGACCAAAATCAAGAATCTTGACAACAGAGATGTCACTCCATCCTTTCAGCACAGCCAGCTGCCCCACAAGGCCACAAATTACATATTTGTATTAAAGGGGGGGTGGATCTTCTTCTAACTTAGTACACCAGCTTGGTGACATGTCAGATTACTTCTCAGGCAGTCACCAGGAGCTCTTACAACTTCTTTTTCTAGTCTCCTTTCCCTCTGTACATCCTACAACATGTTTTGTCGTTCTCCCTTTAAAGTATGCCATGCTTTGAGAAACTATGGGGAGTCACAATTTGGCTTTGGAAAGATTTGTTTACATAGTAATTTTTTCAAGATCTTTGCTCCATTCATGCACATCATAAGGTAGCTTACATACAGGTTTCAATTCCACAAAGGGCATTGATCGGGGAAAAGATTTGGAGTCCTTGTACATCTCCTTAAAACGTATAAGTATTTTTGTGGGAATTTCTCCCAAATATACACATTTCTGTGCCGTTTTCAGTGTGATTTCCCCTAAAAAAGTGCATTGGTGTGTGTTATTTTCATTAATATATGCATTTTTATGGCTACTTTACCCCAGGTTATATTTTTGTAAACATTACTTGGAGAATGGCATTGTAAAATTCAGGAAAATGTGAATGTTGAAGGCTAGCTGTGTTGCAGTTCTCATATTGTTTCAAAAAGTGTGAATTAGGTAGGTTTGCCTTTAGATGTGAAATGAATTCAAATTATCCCCTGTCCCGACCTTCGACATCTTACTTTCAACATTCTGCTGCCTGCTTGTCCTATACATGGCTTGGCTTCTGCTTCAGCTGGAAGTAGCCCATGTGCTAGAGATCCTGAGATGCAAGTATTTTGTTGCTGTTGCTCAGTGACAGAGTTCATGCTTTGTATGCAGGTGGCCCTATGTTCAACACACCACATATGCACACTGCACTAGGGAAAAGCTCCTGTCTGAAATCCTAGAGAGGCACTGCCAATCCGAATGAGCAGCAGTGTGTTCAGAAAAGCACTGGAGTTCCTCATGCAGAAGCAGTTTTAATGTTGACTAACGTTGTAGAGTAATGCTGCCTTTGGGACAGATCACATGCCCAGCGCTGAGAGTCTAAGCAATGGAGAGTCATGGGCTGTGCATGCCTATGTGAACCAAGGATTTGGATGTTTTGCACAATGAACTTTCTTTTGCAGAAAGATACAGGGGGCTCCACAGAACTTGCACCATGAACTGTGATGATATGAAGATCTGGTTAATCAAGTGACCAAGATCCTAACAATTTGGGTGATAATAGAAAATCATGCCACATGGAGACAACCTAGTAGTGAGAATCTCACTTAAAAGCAAAGTCAAGGATTAGATGGACCAGGTCATATAGCTTCTCTTAAATGGAAATTCCTGGTATTTCTGTATTATTGTTATGTGTGGAGTAAAAACCCAGAGCCTCTAATGAAGTTTCCTATTAAAGCCATTATTGCTTTAAACTAGCAACATTTCAGAATCTTAAGAAGTTCTAAGTACAGTTATTCAGAACCTGCTCTGCTAAAATGAAAGGGGCATTCATTCAACTATAATTGTTGGCTGCCATATTCAGTTGGGTGCAATCCATATCCCACTGAACGCAATGTTAAAAATCAGGATGTACTCATTATAAATTAATGCAAATGGGTGGCTTTTGACAAATAGCAAATTTTTATTGCAAGATCTGCATCAATTAGTCCTTAAAAGCTTTTTACTCTCGTGCAAAGACAATTTTTAAAAATTGCATAGCAATCTACATTGTTTTACATGCTGCATCAGTGTCTAATTCATCACTAAATTAAGATGAATAAGTATTGGCAAAGGTTATAAACATACCGATGAGCCTGGTGGAGGTGCAAGACCTAGGAATGAATAAATAATATTTTCTTCTTTTGCACAGAAAAATGAGTCAAAATCCTAAAAAGGGAATAGAAACACACAAACATAAAAAATTAATAAGAAACATAAGATTCTGCAAACCTATTTAAAACACTGAAAATAGGAAGCAAAATTAGTGTTATACATAAGGCCACAGTCCTTCTGTAAATGCTAAGTATTGCTGTTTTGAGTCAGCTAGGCATTAGAGAAAGATACTCTGCTAATGCTCAAAAAGGTTATTTCTATGACTGAGTTATGGAATTCAAATCAGGCCACGGTTCAAATTAAACCATTTTGTTGGCATGGATAAAAACAATGAAAGACACAATCTTTAACGACTGCTGTTTTTTCCCCTTCCAAAGTGTGATTATCCAAGCAGACTCCCCTGGCTGGAAGTGAACCTTTTTGAAATTAATGGGTATTACTTTTGAGCAGACATGCAAGCAATGTACATGCATGTATGAACCATGATAAAAAGCTAGAACTGTTTGTCAAAATGAAATATCACAAACACCGCTCCGCCCCTTTCCCTCTCCTCTGACGCTTCTCCCCCCCCCCCTTAAGTCCTGGGTATTTCCCCAGGCAACTTGGTTACTTGGAAAGTTGGGTGCTCCCTGATCCGCTTCAACATGCCTTGTTAACAGCGTGATGCAACTCGGTAACGTGAAAGACTATCGCAAACCACCCTGATTTGCCTTGTTATTTGGGATATGCATAGAGGCAGTGCACACTCCTGTCGAATGCCACTTGCTGGGAAATGACGATGGAAAAGGGCTACTGTCCTCCTATGTGGCTTGGTGGCTTCAGAAGATGCATCAGGTTGGTCACTGTGGGAAATGCGATGCTGAACTAAAAAGGCCTTTAGTCTGACTCAGCAAGGCTCTTCCTATGAGGAAAGGGATCTGTTTAATTCTAAAGCTCACATTGCACATTGTGAACTTTTGTCCAGGAGAATGCTTTCATATTTTCCTAGCCATGTACTTAAAAGCAAAACAAAATTGTTCTTCAAACATCCTTACGTGTTCAGTTTTGGTATTAGCCAAGCAGCTGTAGTAGGAGAAGGACTGTGAGTAACATCATAGGAGAGATGTTTCCTGCTACCCCACCTCCTGCTTTTGGATGCCTTATAAGAAGCTGCTTCAGGAGAGAGACTGTGAGTAACGTTATGGGATAAGCTGCTGTCTGCATGATGATGGCATCGGGTAATGATCCTTTGAGGAAGCCAAGGTCCAGACATTTGAGCAGACTCACTTGTTGTGGGCATAGCAGCAATGGTTAGAACATCTAGAACCAAGGTGAAATTTTCCCCATTCCTGGTTACATTTATGCATTCGTAATACTGATAGGTTGTTGTTTTTAACTTGCTGTGGCATTTGTTACATGTTGCTGCTTTACTGTTTATTACAAATTTATTCTTGCAGTTGTTGGTATTGTTTACATATTGTTGTTCCCGTTCTTGTAAGCTGCTTTGAGCGAAATTTCTGTTTGTTTTTGGAAAGGTGGCATGCAAATGAAGTGATTAAGATGACTCGCCATGTAACCACCTGTTTTAAGCTTAAAGATTAAGAAAGAAGAGGACCATTCTATTCATCCAGAGCAGCAGGACAGAGATACTGCTTGTCTTTAGGTAGGTAGGTAGATAGATACAGGCCATTTTATTTTTAATTTTTAAAAATTGTTTAGAGGCTGAGCCCTCCCTCTGCTGGACTCTTCAAGAATTGAAGCAATCGTTTAGCAATAGGGAACATGTGGCCCTCCAGATGTTGTTGGACTACATCTCTCATCAGCTCCAGCCAATAGTCAGAGACAATGGGAACTGTAGTCCATCAACATACGGAGAGCTGCATTTTGCTCACCCTTATATTACTCTTTAAAAAAGAAAAAAAAACTTATGTTGCAAATAGCAAAAAAAGCTCCCCTCTCCACTCACAATAGTTCCTTGCTAGTTTGTAATCTGTTTTTGTCCATTTTGGCCCTCTTTTGTAGCGCACATCTCCACCATTTCTTTTTAAGAGCAGTCAACCTGAAAGAAGCCATTGCCCACCGTAAGGAGATCCTCTCTGTGCCTTTTGGCTACCTTCTCCCCATCGTAAGGGGACGGGGTGCTATTATGTTGGTGCTGCATTGGGGCTAGTGCAAATATTGTGCTAAGAATATAAAGTGGTCTTTCTAATCATCTGGAAAGGCCCTTAGACGTGTACTTTGGTATGTCAACTGCTTGGTGCCTAAAATAGCCTTGTGCAGAGTCAGAGATATTGTATATTACTAATTTAGAGTCTATGCAGACGTTCGATAGCAGCTGCTCTTCGGCAACATATATTCTACTATGTAGTTCTCTATGGAACTCTAATTCCACAAGTGTGCGGAAAAGGGAATCTTTCAAAGTGGTTATTTTTTCATTGGCTCACATTAGTTTTTTTAATATGTTCATTCCTTGATGGTTGCTTTTTTTAAGGCCAAATTTCTGAGAAGATGCCTGTGTGGAAGCACCCTTAAGCAGGTGGCTAAACAACACATCTTGTGGAAGTGAATTCCATGAATTTTCTCCAGGGCAAGGCAGGGTGAGATGGCCATTACAGGTGGCCAATGCAGAGAGGTAGGGAGAGGTCAAAGATTTGAGAATCGCTCAGTTTGCCTTGCACCTCCTAACTGAGCCTGCTCACCTCAGAAGCAGTAGAGCAAAGGTGGGGAACCTTTGGCCCTCCAGATGTTGCTAAACTACAACTCCCATCAACCCCACTGAGCATAGCCAATGGAGACACATGCTGTACATGTTGAAGTAGAATTGTGTGATTGGTTTCTGTGCATGGAATAGGGACCAGGTTTTATACGGATTTTTGCCTTGGGTTGAAAAATGTCTTTGGCCAGCTCTGATATCTTTATAGCTCTGTGTGTGAAAGAGCTAAACAGTAAAATTGTACTTTCAGATTCAGGACCTGGACTATTCCTGAAAGGATCAGTTGCACCCCACTCCCTTTGACATTTATCATAGCTCTGACCCTAATTCTAAGAACTCAATCATACATCAGAACATCTCTTCCATTTATGATTACATTTTTCATACTTGACTTCTAAATCAGCTGTTTGTATCCCATCCATTTGAATACTTGTTTTTGCTACAGGATGTGCATAAAGAAGAGGTTAGTCGAGAAAGCTGTTGCTGTTTTAAAATGTTCTCCTACCTAACGTGAAGCTCCCTCAGGGGCAAGCCACACAAAGAGCTACTATGGAGGCAGCTTTAAACTGTCATTCCTGGTTGCTGCAACCATGGTGCAAGACATTTCTGAAGGAGTGGATGCATAAAATAATCAGATCCATGTGCTGAATACTGCACATATTTATTTATTTCCACTGAAAGTTTGTGGGATACAAATTGGAGTAATGCAAGACGGGGGGGGAGGGGCATCAGCATTGTTTTTCCTATAGCCTGGAAGTATTTGATGGAAGGTAAAAATGCTTATGGAATCCACCAGCTGTACTGTCTTGGGCTATGCTCTTACTTAAAAAATGAATTTATTTCTGGAAACTCTAAAATTTGGTTGGTTTATTTTAGGCTGGAACACAGGTACTGCTTCCAAACCCTTATGCATGATTTTGCTATTGAGATCTGATGGCACATTCCCTACTGCAATCCATCCTACCTTCAGTATGAATTCATCCCTCTACTCCCCTGGAATTAGATGAAAAGGTGTGTGTTTAGCATATCAATGTCACCCTTCCTGACCCCCCACAAACCTCTCCCAGCACAGGGATCATAAGGATGGTAAAAGGACCGAGAACATTATGTGTGCTCCCATTCTGTGTGAGCATAGAAGGTTCATTCTCTTAGTGTTTAATAGCCAGAAAATGCACAAATCAGTTCTTTCCAGTGTTTCTCCCAGAACAGTTCCTTTGCACAGCAATCATAAGTGGGGTGAATGGCGGGGGTGAGGGAACAACTATTTTTAACACACACACACACACCCTTTGGAAGCAATGTGGGGGCAGAGGAGATCTGCCCCTCTCAGGGGAATGGGACATCTTTGGATCCAATCCTTAACCAGCTCCAACCCAATCTGATCCCACCCTATTTCAGGACCCTAAGCTTACAGCCAGGGGTAGTTTTCTGTCCACCAAGCTCTTCCGGGACACAGCAAGGACCTCTGTGATGCCTATGCTATAACTTAAACCCGAACCCAGAACCATCTTGTGCAAGCAGTTCACAAAAGCGGGCATAACATTAACGCAAACAGAGGACCAAGAAAATGTTTTGCAAACGTCATGAAGCAAATCTGTACATTTTCTTAAAATGCCAAAACTTCTTACACCTTTACACTTCTTACCCCACAATACTGTTCCTCATTGAATATTTGTGGAGGGAGGGGGATTCCGTTTTGTGGCTTCTTTTCACCCGGAACATTCTCTCTCATCCATTTCCGGTTGTCTTCATCACAGGCTATGTCCAATTCCTTAAAGTCAATCTTGTTGGCCTCTAAAAAGCCCACCACCTCTTGCTGTTTCTTCTTAATCTGGTTAGAAAAGAGAGAGAAAATTAATTTGATATTTCATAACTAAACTTAGTGGATATATCCAATATATTAACCCAGTGCTTTTTTTCTAAAATAAAAAATAAAAAATTAGGGGTACAATGGTACCTCAGGTTACATGCGCTTCAGGTTACATACGCTTCAGGTTACAGACTCCACTAACCCAGAAATAGTGCTTCAGGTTAAGAACTTTGTTTCAGGATGAGAACAGAAATCGTGCTCAAGCGGCGCAGCAGCAGCGGGAGGCCCCATTAGCTAAAGTGGTGTTTCAGGTTAAGAACAGTTTCAGGTTAAATACGGACCTCCGGAACGAATTAAGTACTTAACCCAAGGTACCACTGTACTTCCATTTTGACTCAAGAAAATCACTGGGAAAGGAAATGAAGCCGCCATCGAAGGTGGTAACAATGAAACTGACCAATCACCATGCTAGATTCCAACTCCTACTTCACACATTAAACGCTAGCTTCCATCTGAGACTCAGGAAACACCGTGAGAAGAAACTATTTAAAATAAAATAAAATAGTTTCTTCTCCCGTTAGATTCACAAAATGTTTAGGGGTATGCATACCGCTGCCCACCCCCAGAAAAAAGCACTGTATTAACCTGTATTACAGGGTCACTAACTTTGGGTAGCCAATGGGCACACTGGAAATTTTGAGGAAGTACTGTGACGGCAGTCACAAAATGGCTGGTGTTGGAGTGTAGAATTAACATAAAATGGCACCCACATATAAAAGACCAGAAAAAATAAATACAAAATGGTGCAGACATGACCTTGCATCAGTTTCCCTATCAATGCCAGGTGGAAAGGCACCCACACCAGCCACCATCATGCTCACTCACAGATAAGCTCTTTGCACCTCTCTGCTGTTCAGAATGGAAGTTATGGTTTATCTCTGAACTTTTTTAATAAGCAATGCTAAAGTTATGTTTTGATTTTTACCCATTTATTTTCTCTGTATTTTTTTGTTTGTTTTTGTTTTAGCTACTGTAAATACCAAATTTGCTTTCAAAAATCCCTATAGTTTAAGCGTGTTCACCTGAAGCGTGTTCCCATTCTTCTGCACTGTGGGCAGAATCCACCACCTTCCCAGTGCTAAAGGCAAAGCAAGATGCTCCCTGTGCATATTTCTTAGCCTGTACTTGTGCTGTTGAGGTCCCATCAGGCATAAGGAAGAATCCTGTATAAATGTACTGTTAAAAAGCAGGTGCATCCGTGCAGCCAGTCTCCTAATTACAGCAATATGAACATGTCTTGAAAAAGGGTTGTAATGATGGCAGATTCCTCAGCCAAATTCAGGCCAGGCAGCCACTGCGCAAATTCTGCTAATAACCCTAGACGCCAACTAAGTACATGCAATTTATTCTGAAACAGCACCGATCTCCTTGCCAACTTTATAGCAACTTAATTCCATGCTCAAATGTCATTTTGAATGAGGTCACAAAGATAATTTTTGCTTGTGACTCCATCATGCAATTTAAAATCCAATCTCCCTTCAGCAACACGTGTGAATGACAAAACTGATGAGGTCACGTAAGTAGCGTAACAGATTACATGGCTGCATCCAAACATTTAATTCCCCCCCCCCCCGGTCTTTCAGGGAATCTTGTCGATCACTACAAACCTCTGGTAAACTTCAAAGAAGCCCCAGCATCCTTCAGAATACAGTTTGAAAGCCACTGTTCTTTCAGAAGGAATATCACCTCCCCCTCAAGAGCAGGGTCACCTAAATGTATGGAAGGTGGTCAGGATATGCAGCTGATCCTAAAGTTCCAGGTGAATGAGGAGCCATGAGGGGAGAAAAAAGACCATTGATACACACAGAGACTATTGGTACACTCACAAAAAGAGAACACAGATTTGCCTAAAATTTATTTATGTATAAATGATAATTCAGAAATAATTACTAATCTAAATAGAAACACAATAAATGTCACCATAGCGAGCAAAGCTGTGACCAGGTAATTTGTGTATATGCCCCGTCTGTCTGGTCAGGTGCTAATTGTTAATCTTCAGAATCTCTGCTCTCCCTTCTTACGGTTCTTTATGTTTAAACTAGGTATGGACTGGACAGCCCTTCAAATAGAGGACGCCTTACAACAGAGAACTATTTACTGTAAAGTAGGACACACATCTACCCTAGGTGTCTGCGTTGTTATTCTTAAGGGAGGCAGGGCCATGGGGTCTTTGAAATTGAGTTTTTTGCAGCAGCAGGGAGGGAATTTAACATTGGCCTTCAAAGCTGGTGTGTTTCTTTGCTTTGGCACAGTGGAAAAAACCAATGTATGTTTGACTATGTGCTGACACAGAATTACCTGTGCTTACGGTTTCTGTTGTAGCTTCGCATGGGATAATTTATCGGGTTTCTTTTATTGAATTATGAGTTCAAACCTTAGACGTGACCAAACTCATCGTTTTGTTTATCCCTTGGAAACCAGTGGTCTACTAAGATTAAAACAAAAACTCAGCACATCGCTATTTCATCAAACTCCTGCTGTATAATAAAGTCAGAGTTTCAGTACATTAGATTCTATAGAACCAGAGTTGTAAGGTAATCAAGACAATCAACTGTCATCTAGTTCAACCCTTTCCCAACCACATAGATCACAAGTTGCCAACATGGCACCCATAGATAACGGTGTGCTTGCCAGTACCCTCTGTACTTTGGAGGGTATCCCCTCAAAAACCACAATGCACAACAGATTATTTGCTCTTCCTGCTCATTTCCTGTTTACACTGGATCAACCTCTCCCTTGAATACGTCCCCCTAAACATGCCCATGTTTCACTGGATGCCAGGACAGGAAGTACATGACTGATATAGGTGCTTTTTCCCCCACTGATGAGGCAGCTGGTGAGGAGCGCATGCCCACACTATTCTGTGCTCCAATCTCCATTTCTTCTCCTTCATATGTGGCATCCATTATGCCATGCAGTGATGTCACAGCAGGCATTTTTTGTTACACGTCACCCAAACATTTTGTTTTATGTGCCACACCTATCACCACAGCCATTTCATGTTATGCAACAACCCCCACAGCATACATCTTGTGAGTGGTGCCCACAGCACTTCCTCAAAATGTGCCCCCTGGTCCCGGAGGACTGGCAACCCCTGGCATAGATTAAACTACAGAAATCAAACCATATTGTGCTCCAAGGCAGAAAGGAGGTTCTTTGCAGAAAGATGCTTGCAGAGCACATGGTGTTTGTGCTCCCCTCTTAAGAGTTGGGAAACCACACTGTTCTTTTTTTAAAAAATAAAGATTTATTATGTGCTGAGAGTGACAGTGTTTAAGGACATGATGGGGGGAGGGTTTCTTTTGAAAGAATTTGGTGCTTCAAACCTTAAAATACTTTTCAAAGGTTATTTGTAGTTACTTGTTATTGTTTTATATTGTGCCATCAATTTGTATGGCAATTTCCAGAGCAACATAAAAACAAGCAGCTCCTGTGTCAAGGAGCTTACAGTCTGAGTTTCAAACAGTGGAGGATCACAAAGGAGGAAGAGAGAATGCAAGGAATGTTAACAAGCAACACAAAAAGAGGTAGATGTGACTGAATGCAGACTTAGACTTCATTTTGATGGAGAGTGAGGGCTAAGGGTTACGCTAAACACTTTATCGAATCATAGAGCTGGAAGGAACCCAATGGTCATCTAGTCCAACCCCCTGCAATGTAGAAATGAAGTTATGGTGAAGTTGTGATTTTATTCGCCCCTTCATGTGCTCGATTGTTATTTTCCAGCATCTCAGGACATGACATTCTGTACAGCACAGCAACAGAAATTATGAAAAACTAACCAACTCTACTAACTTCATTCCTGGAGACACTCCAGTGTGATACTAATTATTCCCTTACAGCGGCAGAAGCAAATAAAAAGGGTCTTTTGTTATACTATCCACAAATTGGCATAAATCTTTGTGGCCGTTCTTTTCATGTTCCAGTGTATTTCTGAAAGTAAGGAAGTTCCATCATTCTCCTTGTGTTTTCAGCAGAAATTAGCCGGCAGGAATTTTATATCACAAACTTTCTCGTTCGAGGAAGTTCTGAATGGCTAGATTCTACTAGTCACTAGAATAATTTAAAAAGTCATTAAAATAGCTGCTTTCAAAAAGCTAAAAGGCAAACCTCAGTTCTGGTATCTGAAGAAGAAATTTGACTTGGAATAGAAGCAGGTGCTCTGCAAGAAATGCAGTCCATCCACACATGTATATTTTAACTCTACCCCTTCCTTGTTTAGACTTCTAACCATTTTCTTACATTCTAAGCCGTTGTTTATAATTCTCAGTTTGTATTTTTAACTCAACATTGTGCCTCACAAAACAGGGGTAGGAGGGTTTCATCCAAAGATTGAAACTTGAAGTTGCCTTTTATCACTGTAAAATATACTATTAGTAGGCTGACAAGCTTCTTTTTCAAGGGATTATAAAGTTGTATAAGAATGATTCTTAAGTGATCTTGCTGAGAAGTAAGGAACATTGAATTTATACTTCATCCTTGGCCCATAGGAAAATAAAAAGACACACACCCATTTCCCGAACAGTGAACTGCATGAAATCAAGATTGTCAACAACATAATTCACCATCTATTTGAGTGGAAAGACTTGGATTTCTCAGTTCGCCCTTTAAGCACAAATAAATTGTCTTAAATCCCAAAAAGCTAATTATAAAGTGGACTCAAGTAAAATGAAGAAGAAGAAAAAGCCATATGGTGCTTCTATCACAACTCAGTATTCAATATCTAGAGTAACTCTCAGGTGACAGTTAAACTTTGGACCAGAATGTTATGCACTGGTTATGCAAAACACCACAGTTAACAAGGCAACTTGTGTATAGCAAGTGGGACAGAATGATCCTAGTCTTCCATACTTGCCATAATCCGTGTACATTAGTATAGTACTGGAACAAGATTTGGGAACAAGATTTACAGCTCCATGCAGTAAATAAAATATCCTCAACATACTTGTTTAAAAGGAAATCATACCGATTGCAACGGAACTTCCTATAAAGTAAATGTGCATACAACAGGGATGATGATTTCAATTTCACTGACCTTTTGTGGATTCTGCTACAAATATATTAGATAGGTATACAAATTGTTGATGCAAAATGTTTGGGCTAGTAGTTGTTCAGTGCATAGTTAGCATTGCTTGCATGTATGTGTGATTAAGCTGCTTTTGAGGTTGTGGTCATATTGTTTAAAATGTTATCTGTGTTGTAAAAAAAACAACAGAGAGATGTGAAATGCAGGTGGTAGTGGGAGTCACATGAATTTGTATAAAGTGAAGTACCTTTAAAATGCAAACCACTCTGAGCCTTTGGGGGAAGTTATAGTATACATGAAGGGACGCGGGTGGCACTGTGGTTTAAACCACAGAGCCTAGGGCAGGGGTCAGCAAACTTTTTCAGCAGGGGGCCGGTCCACTGTCCCTTAGACCTTGTGGGGGGCCGGACTATATTTTGAAAAAAAGAAAAGAATGAATTCCTATGCCCCACAAATAACCCAGAGATGTATTTTAAATAAAAGCACACATTCTACTCATGTAAAAACATGCTGATTCCTGGACTGTCCACAGGCTGGATTCAGAAGGTGACTGGACCGGATCCGGCCCCCAGGCTTTAGTTTGCCTTCCCATGGCCTAGGGCTTGCCAATTGGAAGGTCGGCAGTTCAAATCCCCACGACGGGGTGAGCTCCCATTGTTCGGTCCCAGCTCCTGCCCACCTAGCAGGAGCACCTCAAGTGCAAGTAGATAAATAGGTACCGCTCCGGCGGGAAGGTAAACGGCGTTTCCATGCGCTGCTCTGGTTCACCAGAAGCGGCTTAGTCATGCTGGCCACATGACCCGGAAGCTGTCTGCAGACATACGCCGGCTCCCTCAGCCTCTAGAGCGAGCAACCCCAGAGTCGTCCGTGACTGGACCTAACGATCAGGCGTACCTTTACCTATACTTTATAAAAAGGTAAAGGGACCCCTGACCATTAGGTCCAGTCGTGGACGACTCTGGGGTTGCGACGCTCATCTCGCTGAAAATAATGGAAGGATGGTTTATAACAGGACCCAGATGCCTATGATAAATAAACAGGAGTGTAACAGGAGGCATTTAGGGTGCAATCCTAACATCAGTTACCTGGCAGGAATCCCCACTGGAGTCAATAGAACTTACCCCTGAGTAGACATGGTTAGGATGGTGGTGTTAGAAGAATACCATTCCTATTTAAAACAAAAGTGCTAGGGAATCCAGTGAATTAAAAATGCCTTCTTTGACTCTTATACACACCCCAATTCACACTAGTAAGAATATGCTAAGCCAGTAAGAGGAGTCTGAGGTTCTTTGTCTCCATATCCAATCCTTTTTCTGACTGTACTCATAACATGGATCATATATACTACCGGAGGTATTAAGTTCTGCCACATGACAACCCACTACAGTGGAACAACTAGGGTTTCAACCTGCTTAAAGAAATTTAATTGATGAATCCTATTTGTTTTAGTTGATCAATCTAGCAATTTCAGTTTTCAAAAAAAAAAAAAAAGTACATTTCTAAACCAAGAAGCTTTACCCCACAATCCTGTGCATATTCACTCTGAGGAAAGCTCCACTGAATTCAATGAGTCTTAGTAAATATAGGACTGCAGCCTCATGCTTGGGATTACACTATAAGCACTGCATCCTAATTACAGGTGTGGGACAATGTTATATTTGCAGGTGGTGAGCAAATGGCATCATCCATTATACACAATCAAATGCAAATACAATTCTCTTTGAAGTATACTGGGCCAAATGGAAGCTCTGCTACCCAGGTGCTAAAGAGAGCAGCCTGCAGTTGCGGAGAAGACAAGCTTTTCCATTTAGTCCTTTTCAGTCCTTCTGCTCTGGAAACTTCTTGAGGTTGTGTTAGTGCAAGCCAGTTAGCAATGCAGCCTCGGAGCTATGTGCAAGCAGCAGTCAGTTTGTTTAGAAGTGTCACTGTGACTGATTGCTCAGCCAGGGCTGCAATTTGAGCTCATGTGGGAACTGGATATAAAAGGAAACAGTTCATGCCCAGGTCCCACCTTCCAAACTTCTCAGTGCATGCCGTTTGCTAGCTTCAGCCAGCATAGCTGTTCTGATCACTTAACAGTAGGCATGCTCAAAACTCACGGTAAGAAAGATTTAAAATGTTAAGATGGCAATGCTAAGATAGCATGTGCTTAATTTTTGTGCACATGAGCAGTACCCCTTATATAGCAATATTTCTCAAAAGAAAAAGTCTACACACCACAACCAAGCCTGATGATCATTATTGTTCCAATAGCAAAAGCAGAATGCTTTATAAAAATAAAGAAAGATCTGCAAAACTTGCTAAAAGGAATATGTTGTGCAAAGGTTGTTTTTTTTCACTGATGTGCAGGCATGCACAAAGATGTGGCATTATTCCACAGGGCAATCCTACTCAGAAGAATGTCCCCGTGAGTTCAAGTAGGCTTACTCCTGAGGAAGTAGAGTATTTCAGCCTCCGTGTTTCTCTGCACCTTGAATCAGTCGGGAAGATTGCGGTGCGCCTCCGTTTAAATAACAACGGACACGTCTCGGTCAGTTTCGGTGGACTCAAACCCGCTTCCTGAGATGCATTAAGCTGTTAACTTTAACTGCTGCTGCAGACCAATCCCATGGCCCTCCTAGATTTGCAAAAAAAACAGAAGACACCCAAGACCTATGTGCACCACGCCCCTTTCCTCGTCAACAAAGTGCTTCCCAAAGCTTCTGGAAGCTCTTACCCGTGGGAACGTACATCGCCTGGCTATACCTACCATGGTAGACCCCGAGGACGTCGCTACGAACACTTTGATCACCATTCCGACGACACCCAGAGGGAACCCGCAGCAAGGGGAAACAGCAGCAGCGCGCCTTCCGTGTCAGCTCAGGCGCGAGAAGTGCAGCGCGCGGCCCTCTTTGCCCGGAGCAGAGCGAGAATCCCCGCGACTCCTGGGCTCCGCTGGTTCCCTGCCGTTCCCACCCCCCACCCCACCAGCTCCGCATCAGCTCATTGGCTCCAAGGCATTTGGGGAGCAGACGGGCCAGGGCACGATTGGCTGGTAAAAGTATCCATTGCAGGAGGACTTGCACCTGCCCCCCGCGCTCGTCGCTTTAGATTGACCGGGGGACAGCCCTTAAAAGGCCAGGGACGGCGGTGCACCAATCCAGGCAGGGGAGGGCAAGGCGGCGAGGGAGGGCCGGGAGAGAGGAGAGAGACAGCTATGTGGGGCAGCTTTTTTCTCAATCGGCTTCTTCTGCGTCCAAGGGCCTGCGTATACCCTCTTGTCAAAGCAAGGCACGTCAGGTTCTGTACAGGCAACCGGGCAAAACTTTCGGGTTTGTGTTTTTCCCGTTTCCCAAAAGGAGGGAAGTAGAAACTATGAAAGCTGCCGCGGAAACAAGAGTTCAGGTCCCAAGCTTGCTCATTTTTAAGGCGGGTTGCAAACCCGGATCCAAAAGTGAGAACAACACTAAAAGGAATGAGGTAGAAGGGCCATTGAAATGCGCTGGCTTTACACACAGTAGATTTTAGGACTGCTCCCATAAATGGCCAGGCGAAGAAAAAAAAAAAGAATTGGCATGCATTGAGATGAGGTGGATCCTGCACCCTGACCTGCAAAACTCTGGATGAAAAGCATCAGAATGTAAAACTAATGTGGACCCTGCTTCCTCCAAAATCTCAAGTTTTAGTACCTTGTTTAACTCTTACTAAATATGCCCTTTTGAATGGTGTGTTCTCTAATGCTCCGTTCTCTCTGTGTGTGTATGAGAGTGATGGAAAATGTTTTATGGTTTTATTTTTACCCAAAAAAATAGACATTTGACAGTTTCAATAGACTCTCGGTGCTGCCAGCAACGTAATTACTTATTCCAAAACAAAGACCAGTGACATTTCTCCAAACCACGTATTTGAAAAAAAGAAACCTATCCAGATTTCCACTCATTTCAGACAGCAGAGATGTCAAAGGCATAGCTGTCAACTTTTCCCATTTTTAAAGGGAAATTCCCTTATTGCGAATAGGATTCCGCGCAAGAAAAGGGAAAAGTTTCAGCTATGGTCAAAGGGAAAGAAATGTAATCCTCAGCCACTGTCGCTGGGCCTGGCGGGGGGACAAAGAAACCCATCGGCAACCTGCTGCCGCCGCCGAGTCTGAACCAAACGGAACTGCAGCTCCCTCTTCTGCCCATCTCACCCCACGTGGGAAGGGAGGGCGACCCCACCTAATTAATGTTATAAGGAGAGAAGAACTTTGGTTCCCTTGCCCCTCCAGGGTCCAGCGGCGGATGAAGTCAAGAGAGAAACTCCCCCTGCTAAAAACACACAACGCATTGTATTGGGTGCCACTCTGGAGTCTGCCCCTTCATTCGACAGGATCCTTTGCCCTAGTTGGCCAGAAGCCACGCTGGCTACCCTACACCTGAAGAGTCCCTGAGAGATGCGTGATACTCATCACACTGCCCATTAGGAAAGTGCGCGCTTGTTTTTGGGTGAGATCGCAGAGGGAGTCGATCTCTCGAGTCGATTTACTTTTCTTACGGGTGGGGGTGGGGGACGGATTACTTGGGGCCTCTGCTGCCGGAATAAAACAAGGAAACCTTTGCGCCGCGGTGGAGAAGGGGAGGCGGGCTGGGGGCTGCGAGCAAGCGAGCGACGAGGCCCTTTTGTCCAGTCCTACAAGTCCCATGACGCTCGGCGAAGTTCTGCGGTTGCCACAGTAACGGAGACCTGAAAACAACTCCTTCCGCCCATGCAGCCCAAGGAACCAGGTAGCGTGGACAGAGGAGCGGCGGGGTGGAAGCTTCTGTCTGCGCGCGGGAGAAGGGAAGAAGCCTAAGCCCTGAGCTGCACAGGGAGTAAGAGTTGCTCTTGGTCCTGGCTCTGGGTAAGAGAGGTCCAAGAAAGTGTAGGCGGAGCACGTGGGGGATCATAAAGGGACTGTAGGAGGCGCTCTCCTTCGGGGGGCAGCAGATCTCCCCTTCTCCTTCCTCTTGAACTTGCCGGAATTGCTTCTGTCGTTAATCCTCCGCGACTCCTCCAGCCCCATCAACCAGGAGAGGGGGGAGCCACCCGCAGTGAGATTGCAGCCCTATACCAGGGCTCACTGATCCCGTGGCGCAGTGATACTATCCCCCAACATTTCCTCTTTTATTTAATTTTTGAAACTTTTCAGAAGGTTTTTTTTCTGTTTTCCTTCTCCCACCACTATTGTCCCATGTCGCTTCTCAATGCTTCCTCTCTGCGCTTGCTTTGTCCTTGCCTTTCTCTGAATCTCTGAATTCAGCTTCATTTATATAAAAGTTGCATAGTAGAGGGCTCAGCAAGTTAAACATGTTTTTAAACGTGTAAGTGAAAGGTAATTCATACAGTTAGGCCAGGGGCCTTTGGTTCTTTGCGGGCTTCTGCAGTGGCAAAGGGTGACTTGCCAATCCCCTTTCTCAGTTTAATTGCCAAGACTAATGCTGTGGCTGCATGTGTTTGTCTGGAGGTAGTTTGGGCCGATGCAAAATTTTCCCATGCAAGTTTAAATCCTTTGCATTACAATATATAAAAATGTCAATACTCTTTCTTTTGTTTTAGTCTTCTTAGTTCCTTGAGTGAACTCAGAACTCAAGGAATGTTCATGAGGAATTGCAGTTCGTGGATGACAATGCTAAGAATATAGTCTATAGTGCAAGCACATCACATCGTTGGAAAGTAAATTATATAATAAAGGTGACAGAAACTGTGAAGATTTATTGGTGCAGATTTAGAGCAAACTACTTCCAAAGAACAAAGGATGAGGCCCTGAGTAAGCAGTGACAAAACAGCATAATTTCAAATTCTGACTTAAGCACCATGTTCTTTTTATGGTTTTCAATATAATTGACAATCCTCTTGACTTTGATAGTGGATGTCTAACAATGGAATGATGGCTTCAGATGACTACATTCTCCATTTTGTAGTCCAAGAAGACAATAAATGTGAACAAGTTACAAAAAGTAGAAGTCCAAGTGATTCTCCTAGTAGGGTATGCAAGAGCACCCAAAGCAAATGCAGCACTAAAGTTAGCCACTGTAGTAAGTGTTCCAGTCAGTGTGGAACTTTTCAGCTTGACTATTCCAACGACTTCAACCAGGATGTTTCAAGAAGGGCTAGCAGCAGCAGCAGCAGTTATTCAGAGCAGAACAGCTGCAGAAATTCTCAGGTCTACTATTATGAAGATTTTCACACATACTCTTCAGAAACCCCTTGCAGCAATGGCAGTGGATACAGCAGTATTTTAGAACAGCCAGAAACCAAAGAGGAGGAATTATCAATGAAAACAAAGGAAAATGATCACCAAGCCAAAGGTAAGAAGGTGGTGGACCACACTGATCACTGCTAATGTTAGCTTACTGTTGACAGATTATGACAGAACTAATGAAGACCATGGCTTTGCTGGAGAACTGACAGTTGTGCTTCTCCATTTTTATTGCTGAAGTGCCCCTTGTTCAAATGCTATATTTTTTTGGAAACCACTTGTCTGTAGGAAGAAGCATTAAAAAGAGGGAGAGTAGGGCGCAGAGGAAAGAAAGGCAGGGCAAAACCAGATGGAAAGGAGAGTTGAAGTCAGCTAGTGCCTGCTTGTATGTTGTGTTTTGCTAGACGTTCCCATAGCTTTGTGGGCAGCCCTCCGGGGTCTGTATGACAGCTCTCCATCCCAGCACTAGTATTTGAGTTGGCAGTCTGTGGGTGAAGTTCTGAGGCAAAGTTAACCTTCAGCATTACCTTCAAGCTTTGTAGTTTTCATGTGTGCAAAGGAGACAGAAAAGAATTGAAAGCATTATGAATGAAAACAAATGATGGCAATGGCATAGTAAAATCTATAATTCACCACATTATTTTAGAACTACCTGTTATCTTGAAAAATGTGTGTGTAAAATTAAGAGATATGCCCTAAATATATTTTGCAACACTCCCTCTTCCAGCATCTGCTCCAAAGAACGTTAAATCCCAAATGAAACTAATTGAATTACTTGAGGGAAATTGCTATGGTTTCTTCTCCCTTGAAAGCAAAGCTCTGAACTGTTGGAAAGCAATAAATGAGCATAGTCCCGGTAACTTTATTGATTTCACACCTGCTTCTTTCGATCATGCAATGTTTTCAAGCAAAAGAGAGAAGCAATATGTTTTTTATTTGCTATGAAGGCATACTAATTCATATCTAGCCCACCTTCCTTCCTTCCCCATCACCCTGCAATGTAATGATAATCATGCCCTTCTCCTTCTACCTTTGTCTAGGCAAACTTCCCCTGTATTCATCCATTCTATTTTCCACCCCAACATGTCACTGCCCTTGCTCATTGTTTCCCTACCACAATCACAGTGTGCTTTGCATGCTATGTCCAGAGTTCTCCCCAGACCCAGCATCAACACATGGCATCCTCAGGCACCTTTCAGAACAGGGTGCACCACTGAAACCTGGTCTGGGCCTCCTGTTGACTACTGGGGCTCTGGGACCTGCTATTTGAATTTGCCACAATGCCCCCAACATAGTATGGCTCTGGGGCACCGTGGGAAATTAAAATGGCAACCCTAATTAGGGATACAGAAGCCACCATTTTAATTTCCCACAGTGCTCTGGAGTGATGCTAAATTGTGGTGATGTATTGTGAAATATTAAAATTCCCCTACCCAGACCCACCCCCTGGGAATTCGACATCAATGGTGACTGCAACACTCTGATGAATGCCAGGTAATCATGTCAGGAGAACCTAGATACAAGCCATCAAACCTGGAGCCAACACTGACTTTCTGTTCTTGTACATATGGGTATATATAGGAATGTAGATTGCATAGACCTAAATAAAGCTTCATTTATGGACATGCACATTGCTTTAACTTTTCTGAATCTGTGCTTTACTCTAAAGGAGCTGAATTCCATGCAGCTTACACTATCTACTGTCGAATGAGCATGATGCCCATTAATTAAGAAACGCTGTTTTGAAAATCTGTAGAACCTGTAACTCTTTGAAAGAAGGAGTTACACAAAAACAGTGTTTGAACATCATAGGGAGCTAAGGCATAGAACATGGGTAGGCAAACTAAGGTCTATGAACAGAACGTGTTGAAATGGTCTGCAGACTAGAAAAAAGAGAAAAATAACAATTTCCGGATAGAAGTAAAATAGGTTTACAATTCCAAGTTAAAAAAAGCAAAAACCTAAAACTGAATTTTGTATTGGATCTTCACTAAGACAACTAAAAATTGAAAAGAAAAGGTTTAAAAATGAAATTAAAATAGAGGGGATACTTGTATGGATGTATTTCCTCAGAATTCAGAACCCAAATCTCTTTTTTTCTGAGTTTAGAGACCTTTACCTCCAATGAGGTTAACTTACTGATTAGTTCCTTGGAATGGAAAGTTTGTTTTGTTTTTCTTTTGCTTTCCAGGACTTCATATTCCTTGGTAAGGGCTCTAGACTGTAGTGTTTGGCGGGGCAGAGTGGGATGGAGCGGCTTCCCAGCGCCAGTTTCACTTCTGGGTACCAAAAGTGGGAGGTGGGAAGGTGGTTCAGTGCAGTGGCGCGGGTGGAGCCAGTCTGATGTTTCCTCGCCTCTGTCCCTCTCAGTAACCAGCAGCGTGGCTGCCGTTGGGAAGCCAGGTGAGCAGTGCAGCTCCCCCCCACACACCGCCTGCCCCACTGCTACTCACTTTTTTGTTTTATCTGATTTAAGAATGTGGAGAAATGCTCTGTGTATGCATTTGCGTTTTGCGTGCTTTTGAAAACATTTCTGTGACCTCTCACGTCGGAGTGTAACTGCCAACTTCGAGGCCTTGTTCAGTTACTGTGTTTTGCAAGCCTGTTTAGCAGTAGCTGCTTACTTAGAGACAGCTGCTGTTCTTTTTAATATAGCATTTCAAGATTGCTATTATTCCTGCAGGTATTTTAGACGAAGTATGCTTCTGTAGTTTTAATTGGTTTCCATTTTTTTTAACTTTCTGTATCTTTAGAAAACCACTTCAAGTTAAGTTGTGGTTAAGCGGTATATAATTTCTTTAAATAAATAAATATTTTTTATAAATAAATAAAACAAGATGCCATCCAGGAATATATGGAGGCAAACCCTCCAGGACTGCTGCTGCTCCACAGATGCATAATTTGTCTTGGACTAGTATTCCCAGATTTTTTCTCCTGTTGAACATTGATGTCACCTGTATGAAATGGAGTCAGGTAAAAGCTTTCCAGTATTCTGTGGGGAATTTACAGGTATTATGCATTTTAATGCTGACATATTGCACATGCTAACAAATGCACAATACCCTTTCTTCAAATACCTGCTTGTAGAACACACTGCCCATTGAAGTTAGGCAGCTCCCTTATTGTACATGTTTCGTTGGAAGCTAAAAACTTATTTCTTTTTACAGGCTGTCACAGAATGATGACTTACAGGCAATATCAGATGGCTTTTTTTGAGAACTGTTATATCTGTTTTTATTTTTTGTATTTTAATGGATTGTTGTATTTTAGCTATGGTCTTTTGTAATGTTTAGAAGTTTATAACCATCCCAGATAAATACTTTTCTTTTAATGTGCATAATATGAATGGGTCCCCACAAGCCTCAGACTTGTGATCCTTCCTTTCCCACTTACTGCACAGCTGCACAGTAGAGTTCAGAATCTTTCATGTCTACTTTTGTGTCTGGAAACTGTAGTTAACCACAGTTCCTTGTGTTGCTAACATTAACTATGGTTAGTTTAAAACAAGCCAACCATGGTTTCTGCAGCTAGTTTGTTTGAATTAACCATAGATAATGATGATGATAATAATAATAATAATAATAATAATAATAATTTATTATTTATACCCCGCCCATCTGGCTGGGTTTCCCCAGCCACTCTGGGTGGCTTCCAACGAATATTAAAAACAATACAGCATCAGACATTAAAAACTTCCCTAAATAGGGCTGCCTTCAGTTGTCTTTTAAAAGTAAAATAGTTGTTTATTGCCTTGACATCTGCTGGAGGACATTCCACAGGGCAGGCGCCACTACCAAGAAGGCCCTCTGCCTGGTTCCCTGTAACTTCACTTCTCGCAGCGAGGGAACCACCAGAAGTCCCTCGACGCTGGACCTCAGTGTCCGGGCTGGATGATGGGGGTGGAGACGCTCCTTCATATATACAGGACTGAGGTTGTTTAGGGCTCTAAAGGTCAGCACCAACACTTTGAATTTTGCTCGGAAACGTACTGAGGGCCAATGAAGATCTTTCAGGACTGATGTTATATGGTCTCAGCAGCCACTCCGTCACCAGTCTAGCTGCCGCATTCTGGATTAATTGCAGTTTCCGAGTCACCTTCAAAGGTAGCCCCACGTAGCAACATAACAAGTTTTGGTTAACTAAAAGCTGCTGAACTCCTCACAATCTATGGGAGGAGGAGGGTATGCGAGTCTGAGGCAACACTATGCCTCATTCAAAGTATGCTGATTCATCTTTAGTATGATGTTTGAACATGGCCACACACATTCACACATGCCTAATCTTTTAGTTATTTAAGGAGACAGCAAGTGTGATCACCCATATGGGTTGACACTGATCGTATCAGTTATACAATCTTTGGGGGAACTGCAGTGAATTTTATGATGCAATGAATATATAAGCTCAACATGTTTGAACAATAAAGTCTTTTGCACATTCTATCACTACCTTAGGATGCATTTAACTTCTATTAAGCAACTTATATAGAAATGACAGAAAACCTCTCAATGTTCTTGGACTCAAGCCCCATCAGCAGTCATCATGGCCAATAGTCAGGGATGATGCAAGTTGTGATCCAGTAATATTTGGAGGATCACAGGTCCCCCATCTCTGTTATATGGATTTACATTCTCTTACTCTCTCTAGTCTTATACCATTTTAGCTTGTTTTGTTCTTAATGTAGGGGGTAAAACACTTCCTAAGAAGAAACAGCAGCAAAAGAGCTTTTTCAATACTAGCACTATAATCACTTCCCAGAAGAACAATGTAGCTTGCCGCTTATTGTCAGCCAGGCTTCACAAAGTTAAAGAGTTGAAAAATGAAGTGTCTGTTCTGAAGAAAAAACTGGAGGCATCTAACATGGAAAATCAGATCTTGAAGCGGCTTCAATATCGACATTTGAAAGCAATAAGTAAATACGAAAATGCAGAGACAAATCTGCCTGATCTTCTAGCAAAACAGTGTGGTGAAGTGAGGACTCTAAGGGTACTTCTTAGGAAATCTCAAGAGCAGGAGCGCAGTGCGTCCAAGAAACTTAGAGAAGTTGAGGCACAACTACTAAAGACAAAAGATACCTTACTGGCATTGCAGAAACTTTCAGAAGACAAGAATCTCGCAGAAAGAGGAGAACTTAGACGCAGGTTAAACACCCTCACACAAAGAATGGAAATTGGTGATAAGAGAATTCAGGTACTAATGTGCAGTATATTAATGTGCAGTGTAACTAGAATTACAGCAAGAAATATCAGAGTGCTGCTAGATTTCTAATTAACAGTCCTGGCCAAGCTATTGTTCAGATGTGCAGGAGTTCCTGAGTGTGCTGAGGCTTTCCTATTTACCCTAGGGATGGGGACAGCTCTGTACACAGATCACCATAATGCACAGAGGACACCTGCTCAGGCAGGAACTCCATGTGCATAACTACACACTTGGAGCTTAGGAACCAGAACAGCTTATTTCAAAGCTATTATTCTCGTATTTACTCGTATGCAATGTGCACCTTTTTTGGCCAAACTACGTTGTGAAAATTAGGGTGTGCATTAGATTTGATGGTGCATTAGATTCGCATAAATACAGTAGTATTAAACCTTATTACTTTCAGATTTTGTTTCATTTTAAATTGCAGTCTAGAGTTGTAGTGTTTGTTTTTGGTTTAGAGCCTTGTGCATGGGAATCAATAGTTTTTTTACATGGGATTGGTCACTAGTACCCCAATTACAGACAAGGAATTGAGATTAACAGGATGATTCTATACATTCTGGTATAGGATAGTAGCCTCACAAGGCCTGGGTATAGTTATTTAGAAATAAGGCCCATTGAAATTAATGCTCCATCTGAGTAAATGTGTTTAGATTAATAGTGATTTGCCAAAAGCCACTAAGGCAGCCCTGCCCTGCATCTTTGAGATGGGAAAAGAAACAGAGCAGGACCCATCAAGTCATCCCACACCTTAGAGTACTGTAGTCCATCATTAAAATGGACTACTAAAAGCAACTGCACAGCTCCGTATCTGCCAAACTGAAGTTTCAGGTATATGGGTCAGTCCACACTTTATGTATGTTTGAGCCCTCCCTATTTTCTGCTTTGGAGTATGGAAGAAGAAACCCACTAAAGGAGTAGGAATGGCTAAAGAGGCTGGTAGAACTGACTTAGCCTCACCATGTATTTTTCACTGACCCACTGTATTTATGTGGCTCTAATGCACCATCAAATCTAATGTGCACCTCAATTTTCAGAACCTCCAAACCAAAAGGGTACTTGCTGGTGCCATCAAATCTAATGTGTGCCCTAATTTTTGCAGCATAATTTGGCCAAAAAAGGTGTGCATTACATTCAAGTAAATACAGTATTTTCACTAACTAACTGCTATGGGAATGGATGATTCTCCTTCTAGATTTCAAAAGAGAGGTAGGGAGAGAATACATGATACAATATTTCTGATTATGGATACAATTTCCTACCACACTTGTTTACCATAAGCATACTTGTTCTCATTATTTAAAAAATCAAATTATTTTTAATAGTAGTGTAAACCCCTGATATCATTAATAAGAATGGGGATTTTCATCTTTCCAAAGAAGTTTATTAAAATTTGCAATGTCTGTTGTAGTACTTCGGTCCTGTTACATTTAATATTGTATGATTTTCAGTAGACAGGAGATAAAGTACATGGTCATGCGTTTGTAATATCTTTAGGTCTTAGAAAAGCAGCTGCTGTTGAATAATACCTCCTTTAGTCATCAGTTAGCAGTTGAGAAGAAAAAGACTCTTGAAGCTCAGTTGATTACCACGAATTTGCAAATGGAAATCAAGTCGCTTAACCAAAAAATCAAGGTATTTAAGCCTCAAGTTTATTTTACTATAAGAGAATTAGCAATTTATAGAGAGCATTTGCACATCTTACAATGTCTAGTACAGGCGAGGGGAGATGCTGCTTTAAAAACATGTATTCTAGTGCAAAAATAAAAGTATTCTTAAGTATGGCTATTAAACAATGTGAGAACAGATTGATTATTTGGTTTCTTGTGTTTCAAGTATCAGACATTATAAGCTGTGAACGATAAAATATAGTGAGATTTTGTTTGTTTATAATTAGATTCATGGCCGCTTTGGGGTCACATGTCCTCAAAAAGTAGCTTAAAATACTATAATCATTATAAAAGGCAATACAAGTAACAAGAAAATCAGTTCACAAATTGAAACTAAGATAGCAGCTAGACAAGATAAAACACTGGCAGGGATTTTAAAATCCTTGTCAAATTGGTGAGTTTAACCATCTGCCTGAAACTTTCTTTGGAGCAGGTTTGTCAAATCTCCCTTAGGAGGGTGTTCCACTTAATGGATGCGACTACATAAAGCTGAAGTGGTCCATTTGTTTTAAAAAAAAAAAGCTATAGCACATTTACAAGTAAATAGTTAATACTGTTGCACAAATGTCAGATATGAAGCAAAGGTTGAGCTAAATACTCACCAGCTTTGATTTTTGCTTTAGAAGTTACCCTTTTAGTAACTTGCAGTTCAACTTGTAGTGCCAAGAATTAGTGCTTTCAATACCACATTGTCATTGTCAGGAACAGCTGTGGTGCCATGGAGTCCCATAGCAAACGTAAAACAGGAATAGGGAACCTTTCTGGTCCTCAGGAGTCTCCCCGGGTCACACATGCTCCCCACTCACCAGCTAGCTCTGCTTTGTACCCTTCCTGTGTTCTTGCCTGGCTGGAATGTGTCCTGTGAGTGTGAAGAAAGCCTCCTGCACAAATGTTAAATTCCTATTTGTTGTTCTACCCACGTTTGCCTCTGATCCCACCCACCATTGGTATGTGGCCCCCAGAAGGTTGTCCAAAAGAGAATATGGCCTTCAGATGAAAGAGATTCCCCCCACCCAATCTAAAAGGACATGCCGGATAGAATTCTCAGGGGCAATCTCAGCCAAACAAGCTCCATCCTTCTTTCGAGTAACAAGCGAAAGAATATTTGGCCTGTTGAAATTATGACTAAGCAAAGATGCTTTTTACGGAGAATAAAATAAGATGGTGCTTTATGGAAGATGTATAGTGAATTCAACTAATTAGGCCACATAGATAATTGAGGTCCATATAATAAATTGTATTGCATTTTTTTAGCTTACTGCTGTGTTTTTATAGGAAAAAGAACGAGAACTTGGTGTGAGAAATATTTATGCAAATCGGATGCTTAAAGGTCAACAGGACAAAGGTGGTTCAGAGTCTCCCCCCAAAGGTAGCATAATGGTTTTCTGCTCATTTTTAATGTGGAATGTCGCTTTCATGTGTCAAAACTGTATTAGAAAACTCTGCAGTATTTATTATTATTTTTAATGACTGCAATGTCTCCCTCCCTCTGACCAGCCTAAAAGAGATCCACTGATGCCTCTGGCTCAGCACTTTGATGTACTGCTCACTAAAAGAGTGGGTGGTATCACTGGTGAAATCAAACAGAAAGCCCCAAAGGGTGGTGTTCCGGTGAGTGGAAGGGGCTGAGCTGCGCTGGGATCCACCAGATTCTGAGTCAGCTCCACTGCCAGCACATGATGGCACTGGGCCAATCTAGACCCACTCACTATGCCAGTCCCTGGCTGGTATAGTGTACAGGAGGTTTTTATCTCCCCTGCTTCCCACTTTCTACCCTGGCTGGTGTGAGCAGTAGCACCTATGCTGCACAAAGACTGCTGTTGTCCAGCCAGGGTTAGGGATTGCTCTGCCATCAGCAACTTACTGAACTGAGGTTTCAGCAACAAGTTCTAAATATCAGCAACAGTTTTGTATTTTTAAAAATCTCAACATTATTTTACAGTTTTTTCATAACTTTATGGCTTTGAGAATGATTGGGCTGGGGGTTAATCAGAAGTAAATTGGCTAGATTACTGTGCAAGATTTAAAACTTTGTATCATTGTCATTCCATAAGAAAAGCCAATCCACTCTAGGTACACATTTCGGTACATAGCTCCCCCTAGTCCTCAGTCTGCAATTTCTACTGTCCTGATTAAGTGTCTTGGGTAAGCCTACATTTGATATCACACCAGCAAAATAAGAGTGCCCATAATATCATTTCAATTTTTGTTCAGTTGCAAGTATTAATAGTACATATTTGCAAGATATGTCATTGCATTTTCCTGTGCTCTGTAATTTTTGTAGGGCTGATGAAATACCCAAATGCAGCATCAAATGTTTAATTATAACACAACAAGCTATATCCAACAGCTTGGTTTACAGTTAGAAATATGGAGATGGTACAGTAAAGCAGCCTGCATATTGACTGCAGCCCTCATGGAACTGTCCCCTCACATTGGGTAGGGTTAACATTATAGCCCCTCCTGTTGACCAGTTAAAGCTCCATGAATACTACTGCACAATATGTATCTAGGGGTGTGTATGTGTATATATGTTTATCTATAGCTGTGTGTGTATACACTTGCAAGCACACGTTTCTTTGTTTATTTATAGTTGCAATCCTATACATACTTACCTGAGAGTAACACTCATTGAACTGAGTAGACATGTCTATCATTGTAAAGAAAGACAGCAATCTCCTGCACATTTTGGGGGGAGTAAGTCCAGTTATGGTGCCCACTTATGCACTGCTCCACCACAAGAGTATATGCACCAAACACAAAAGAGAGAAAAGGTGCACATTTGTATGTGCTAATTTATATTCATAGGTGCAAATTTAAAAACCAATATAGTAGTAGTAATAATAATAATAATAATTTATTATTTATTATTTATACCCCGCCCATCTGGCTGGGTTTCCCCAGCCACTCTGGACTGCTTCCAACAAAATATTAAAATACAGTAGTCTGTCAAACATTAAAAGCCTCCCTAAACAGGGCTGCCTTCAGATGTCTTCTAAAAACTATTATATGTAAACTATTATAGTATGTAAACTACTATAGTTTACATTTTACAGAAGGCAAACCAAATGATTTACCATTCAAATCACTTCGAATAAACTCTTATGCTAATGGGCATCCCCACTCCTGATCACCCACACCATTTCTTCAATTAATTCAACTCATCAATTGCCACATAATTAATTAGCCTTAGTTAGTTCAACTAAATAAAAAATAAATTGGTGTGATTCCCTGTGAGATAAAATGGCAAGTGGGTGGTCTTTTCATTCTTCCTTTTTGTACTTAATTAAGCCAAAGGCCGCTGTTCCACCATATGAACTTAAATCCCAACCGTGGGGGAACAATGTCATTTCTGTTTCCTTTCAATGGACATCAGAAAAAGAAATGGCTATCTCTATGTAGCAGAAGCTATTTCCCAGCCAGGGAAATGGCATTTGAGGTTTCAGTTGGTGGGGCAGCAGCAAGGTGGCAGAACAGCTCAGCTGCTGGCCTGCTTTTTGCTTAATTAAGTAAAGAAAAAAAATGGGGCCAGATAGCGAAGACCACCCACTGGCGAATTCAGCTCATCTTGTATGTCCAGTACTGGACTAAGGCAGAGGACCTTGAAGTACCAACCTCTCTGAGGACATCTGAGATGAAACTAGCTTTGCTTGTGTGTGCAGCTCAAAGGTGGGTTTCTCAGTAAGCCACGAAACAAAAAGTAACACCTTACTCTAGCTTTTTCAAACAACTTGGACTGCTTAACGTATGCCACACCAAATGAGTCCTTAAAAAATGGGAAGGAGGGACTCCAGCTTTATGGAAGAGGAACTACTTTGCATGTAGAATCTCCAACATCCCTAAGTAGTACTGAGAATGCACTGTCTAAAATCCTGAAGAGTCACTGCCAGTTGGTGGAGAGAGTCCAAGCAATTGCAATTCCTGTAGCACCATTGCAATGACCCAAACATCCAGTCCAAGTTGGTAGGCTAGGGGCAGCATTTTGCACTGTAGCTTCCAGGCAGTCATATCTATAACATGTTATAGTACCTGATCCTGGATGTTACCAGAACACAGATTACCATGGCCAGGCTCTCTCTACAACCTCAACTGATGAAAGGTGCTTCATTCCATAGAGGCTGTGTAGGCCTCCACTGACCCAACTTTTAAGGGAAAGGTAATCCATCAAGTAAAGGCTAAATGCCATCTCCCTGAATTGATGAAGCATCTGCCCATAGAACGTTTTTCTCAGGATTGAATTTCAGTTTATTGTCCCATATTTAGCCCACCACCAATTCCAGACATAAGCATTTCATATTCATTTTTCAGGAGTGCAGAGGGGATACATCTCAATATTTACTTCCTCTTGTCTTTTCATAGCTGTCAATGTCTCCAAGTCGGTACAAGTAGATGTGAATCTAGAAGCAACAGCTCTTCAAAAGCACGAGGCAGAGAAAAGTTCAGTTGTTTTTTTAACAGAGGTATGGCAGATCTGAATTAATCCTTTTACAACTCTAAACCACTCTTGTTCATGCTGTGTTGTGCCTTATAGCTTCATTTCTTAACATACATTCAGTTTCCTGAATCATATCACAGTGACATTGTGAAAATAACATTGTCCTCATTGAAATGTCCTCTGGGCTGCATCAATAGGAGTATAGCATCTAGATCAAGGGAAGTAATAGTGCCACTGTATTCTGCTCTGGTCAGACCTCACCTGGAGTACTGTGTCCAGTTCTGGGCACCACAGTTCAAGAAGGACACTGACAAACTGGAACGTGTCCAGAGGAGGGCAACCAAAATGGTCAAAGGCCTGGAAACGATGCCTTATGAGGAACGGCTAAGGGAGCTGGGCATGTTTAGCCTGGAGAAGAGGAGGTTAAGGGGTGATATGATAGCCATGTTCAAATATATAAAAGGATGTCACATAGAGGAGGGAGAAAGGTTGTTTGCTGCTGCTCCAGAGAAGCGGACACGGAGCAATGGATCCAAACTACAAGAAAGAAGATTCCACCTAAACATTAGGAAGAACTTCCTGACAGTAAGAGCTGTTCGACAGTGGAATTTGCTGCCAAGGAGTGTGGTGGAGTCTCCTTCTTTGGAGGTCTTTAAGCAGAGGCTTGACAACCATATGTCAGGAGTGCTCTGATGGTGTTTCCTGCTTGGCAGGGGGTTGGACTCGATGGCCCTTGTGGTCTCTTCCAACTCTATGATTCTATGATTCTTTGATTCTATGAAATAGGTTTACTTCATCATTGAGGTGACTCCAGCTTGCATGAAACATTGAGCCAAATGCTGGCTAGCGCAAACAAGCAAATATGCTGGTTCCTAAAGTACGGACCATGGTGGCAGCTGCACTCTTCCTAAGCCCTGTGTGGCTGTCATGACCTGTGGCTTGTCTTTGTCTTATGATGGAACCTTGGTTCATGGTTTGTCTTGCTCCAAATAAGCCATGAGCTATAGGCTTCTTACTGGCTTGCCACTCATAGTTTTTCAGGGCTAATGCATTACTTGAGTTAGTGTTATGTGCAAAGCATGTGAACCGCCCTGAGACCTGTGGGTATAGGGTGGTATATAAATTTATTGAATAATAAAATAATAATGAGAAGAGGGACTCACTTTTCAGTAAACACGCTGAGGATTGTTGTGTTAGCTTGGGTAAACAAGTCCAACTGTTATAATTAAGGGCTAGATAAGACATATTCACAAGGAACCTAATGTTGTATTATTTGCTCTTGGCACAGTTGTATGAACACCCAGTGAAAAAATCTGTGCAAGTGCCTCCACCATATATTAGAGTATGACTGCAGCATCCTCTGCTTTGAAGAGGATATTGAGATAGTAATTACATTTTAGCAACGGGATAGTGAAGGGAAAAGGGGCTGTGAACTTAAATTGCCTTGCAGAGTTTTTCTTCACCACTCCTATGCTTGATAAGGACATGAAAGAGAAACTGTGGATTTCTCATTGCATATCAGTTTTTGTCCAGTTCCTGGATAAGAGCAGGAAATGACAGACATGCTTGCACTGCACACTTTTCATGGGTTGCACCACTATGTTGGGAGATTCAGGACAGGGGGAAAGTACTTCTTCACATGGTGCATAGCAGTGATGGACAACAGCTAAGATGACTTTAAAAGGGTTTTAGGCAGATTCATGGAGGACAAGGCCATCAATGGCCTAGTCTTGATGGCTACGTTTCCTCCAGTATTGAAGGCCTATATCCCTGGGTACCAGTCGCTGAGGATCTTGAGCAGGGGAGTGCTATTGTGATCATGTTCTACTTGTGAGGCATTGCCATCTGTGTAAGCAGAATGCTGACATAAACCTTTGGTCTGATCCAGGTGGCATCTTAAGTTCATACAACAGGACTTGTGAGGAAAGCAAAAAACCCTCCTTGCCACTTTGTTTCTGTGATTTATGGTCAGAAAATCACAGGGGACAAGTCCTTGTTTTATTTAACAGACATTTTTCTACTCTGAATGAGCCTCTTGGGCTTGCTGATTAGAAGATTGGCGGTTCGAATCCCCGCGACGGGGTAAGCTCCCATTGCTGTCCCAGCTCCTGCCAACCTAGCAGTTTGAAAGCATGCCAGTGTGAGTAAATAGGTACCGCTGTAGCAGGAAGGAAAAGGATGTTTCCATGCATTCTGGCACTCATCATGATCCTCCATGCCCCAGTAGCGGTTTACTTATGCTGGCCACATGACCCAGAAAGCTGTCTGTGGACAAACGCCGGCTCCCTCGGCCCTGAAAGCGAGATGAGCGCTGCAACCCCATAGTCGCCTTTGACTGGACTTAACTGTCCAGGGGTCCTTTACCTTTATCTTCCTGTGTTGTGGACTTTAGTGTGTTGGGACTCATGTGATCCCACTCATTTTAGACCATCTCCAAACAAAGTATGAGGCTGAAGCCAGCGTATGCTTAAGCCTATGTTAATTTGCTGGGAGTTCAGATAGATTCTGTCTACTTTATGGAGGCAAATTAGGTCATGGATTGAGAACTGAAATCTATCCATCACTTGCTGCTATTCAAAGACATTAGAAAGCTACAAAGTGCAAATCAAACTGACATATATGTGTTTTTCTTTCTATTATTTCTTTAGGAGTTGACAACCAAAGATATTAATTGCAAAGACAAACTATGTGATGTGGATAAAGAGATGGAATCAAAAACAGAAGTTCATCAAAATCAAAAATTAACAATGCAACAGATTTCGAATATAGCATGCACAGGTATCTTAACAGTATTTCGAATCTGATGTGTCTACAGATTTAGCAAATCTTTCAGCAGCAGTAAAGTCTTTTTTCAGCCCAAAGGGCAGATTATTTTAGTGTAATACTCTTGAGCCAGGCTGGATGGGGCCAGACCCAAAAGGAACAGTACCAGACAGGCAGTCACTCATTTAACATATAAACACAATCATACACACTGCCCCTTCTGTCCTCTGCTCAACCTACCTCTTCTCAGCTGACACATGGAATTCAGCTAAGCAGTGGGTGGGGAATTCCCAGAAGCTGATTTGCTAAGGGTGCTGATTCTGTGTTTAAGGTCATTTGTAGCTACTAAATCTGTTTTAATGTTTTAGTGTTTTAATTTCTGTCTGAATATAAAAATTATGATATAAAAATATTGACTGACTTCTAAGAATTTTTACTGTTGAAATAATAATATTCTTTTGTAGAGTTATTAGGGGAAGAGATATGTCCAAATACAGAAAAACTTTTCAGATGTGAAAACCTAGAAAGACAGAAAAACAGGAGAGAAAGACAAAGGCTCAACTTGTTGAAAGAAGAGTTTGAGAAATTAAGGACAGACCAAGCATTGGAGTCCACACATGACATCCAACAAAAAATGAATAACCAGGAAGAAGTTGCAACTGAAAAACAAGAAAATGAGCCAAAACAAGTGAGCTGTGATAAGATGGAAACAGTAACACAAAGATACAAAACACCATCCACATTAAAGAAACAGTATGTATTTTCAGAAGCTGTTGAAAATTTGCATCAAGGATACCCTTCAACAGGTCCACTGTCCAACACGAGCACCACCTGCAGTAGTAGACAAGTGAATAGACACCAGGGTGAAATACCTGAGTTAAAGGCAGAAAATTCAAGCAGTGCCTATGAACCGTCATTTGGTAAGGTTACCAAAACAAGGCAAAAGGACACCATGTCGACGCTTGGCAAAGAACACATTCCTGCAGTATCAACAGAAAAGAAAACCACTCTTATGGAAGAACTCTTTGGTCCAAGCTGCATCTTAAAGGACAGTCACTCAAAACTTAATTTAAAAGAGGCAGTTAAGGAAAAAAAAACTTTGATGAGTGAAAAGTCTTATGAGATTTCACAAGTCAATGATGGCTTGCAGTGTGGCGATTCCAAACAAGCCCATATAAAGGTTTTCCATACATTTGCCTTCCTGGAAAACTTTAAATAATTACTGCCATAATTTAACAATATTTTCAGCTTAAAACACACACAGTATATGAAAATAATTCATTAACTGCTGCAGACTGGGTCCCCCCCCCCAGAGAAAGTTTCATTTACCATAAGTAGTAGACATTTTATATTCCATTGCAGGAAAACATGCATGCAAGTTATCAGTTTATATTTAACAATGAAATCATCATATTGCAGTGCATTTTTAAAAATTAAAATGAAGCACAATGACAGGTCTATTACTAGAGCTCTAAATAAGAATACATTGGAAAGAATTGCATTGAATAGGCATTGGTGGTAAAGCTTATTGGGGAAAAAGACAGTTAATGCGTATTTACAATAGAAAAATGAGGCACTGCATAACTTTTCTCACTTATTCCATTCCACAAAGCCTCTTAAATGAATGCAGTGATTCAAATTATCTACATGGTCCCAGTTAGGAAAGTGAATACTTAGATGAAGTGGCCTTCAAATGGGGTGCTTTTGACCCAGCCATGTTGATTTGTGTAATCTGATATAGACATAATGGGTGCAAGTTATGGGGCTGTTGCCAGAAAGAAGAATGACAGTAAGGCCTATTTTATTAACTCTCAAATTTGGCCATCTTCAGACTACACAGACTAATTCATCTGTCTATACAAATTTCTCACTGCAGGAAGATATGTTGGTTACAGTAATTTCTATGGTTATAATTGGATATCCATATTGTTTTTTACTATTGTAACTGAACCCCAAATATGGAAAACAGGTAACATTCGAAACAGCCATTAAAAGCTCTTCCTCTAATCAAACATTCTTGGTAATTTAAATATTAAATATTGTGCTACCCACAACTTTGTTCTCTTTTATTTTCCTTCTTAGAACACAAAATATTGAACATAATTAGTACAAAGAGGTGTCAATATATGCAACAGGACCCAGTATGATTAAACACACACAACTGCAACAATGTATCATTTCATCTGTTCCTAACAAATAGGAGATTGATCTTACTGCCATGATGTACTGTACCTACAGCACTTAGGATCAGGGAAGCTGCACACCAGCACCACTTCAGTGGTACAGTATTCTGTTAAAGCAGCAGACATGGGCTCAATACAAGTGGGAGAGGAACATGTGCTGCAGACAGAGCCAGCAGATCACCTGGGCAGTAGAGGGAGCCATAGCATTGTGTTAAGAACTATATTATTCCCTACATGGGAATCTAAAAAGCTTTCAGTCATCAAATGGGTACAGATTTAGCACAAACCTATCCAGCAAGTTTATTTGGTTCAATGGTTGTTTGGAAATTTTATCTAACATGTAAGTTCTCACATCTCCTCCTATTTCTTACACACAAGTGGCTAGAATAAAATATGCATCATGCTGAATTCTTTAAGCAAAAACACAGCATGTGGCCAAGAGGGGGAGAAAGAGCCACTGTTGCATAAGGCAAAGACCCTTCCAGTAATATTTTGATACTAATCAAAATCTTCTTAAAAAAGAATCAGAGAAGGAAGGAATTGATATCAGGCAGATACAGTCAAAAACAGAATACGGGCTAGATTAGCTGGAAAGTTCCTGGCCATAAAAAATGTTGGACCTGTGTGCTTCCCCTCTCCTCATACCATGCCTTTAGGGGACCTGTGATTTCATAATAACTTACTAACCGGAATCTGAAACCATAAACTGATCCTCATTTTAGATCTTAGCCTGATGTAATGGGGAACTGTAGTTCCCATGATTGAAGTGCTGAAGCTTCAATCCTGTAGTTCCTAGGATTGAATTGCTAAGTTGGTAGAATGTGGACTTGACACTTGTTCCTAGCTTAGTGAACTATGGTATATTATGTCTGTACTGTGGTAGTGAACAGTCAATCATAACATATTTGACAACACTGAAATTACAATAGAGAAACAAATGTGGACAAAATTAAAGGAACCACATTATTTTAAAAAGCTATTTTCCTTTCACTTTTAAAATGTCTACATGGCTTTAAAACCATTACATGCACATAGGCTGCAATCCTAACCTCACTTACCTAGAATTAAGACCCACTGAATTCAATGGGACTTACTCTGAGTAGCCATGGTTAGGATTGATCAACTGTCAATCTAAATAGAACTTATGCCCAGCACTGCAGGTTATAAACTGAAAAGAAACTTTACACAATACAATACAATATATTAAAATATTAACAGAATGTTGTATTAAGATTTATTGATGCTTTATTACTCAATCCCAAACCCTGCCTGCTTTTCATAGGCATGTACATTCCAGATGGTACAATGTATGGATGCTGTATTTCACAAGAAACTGAGAAGTCTGCTGAAACTAGGAATCCTTCTCAGCTGAAAGGGTGAAGCATAATGGCCACAACTTTGTTACAAACCACCAACCAACAAGTAATGCCAACACCACCTAAAAATAAGAAATACATGCTGTAAGACACTAGTATTCTCAGTAACTAAAACATACATATTTAAACATGTAGGGACAAGAAATCAGATTCAGTAACAACACCAGTAGTTGCAGAAAACACTTGCATAAGGATATATCTATGAGATAACTATTGATTCAGAAGAATTATATAAAGCCTGTACCACTAGTATGTGTAATCTGGAATCTCTATGCAAATGAAAGATGTGGTTAGGTGTGTGACTATGGGCATAATCCACTAAGTTCTTCCTTCTCCAATGTAAATTATGGAGTTACACAACAAACAGTGCTCTCACTGCATCTCTTATTCATTTTAACATGGTGAGCCAAGCATTATTAGCTTCTGCAACTATTCAGGAATCTGGGAAGGCAGAGGTGTGGCAATGCATTCAAAATCAACTCATGTATAATATTAAGATAGGAAAGATATATGAAATTCCTGGAAAAGCTTGAGAAGCATTAAAATAATATAGGCTTACCTGCCACTCCTGTTGGAAAAGCTACTAAACGTTCTAGTGGAGCTAGCCATTTGCTTGGAAGCACAGTAACTGGTTCAGAGTAATACTTCCAGATTAGTGAGATCATTAAGGCAGCCTGGAATTAAAACAATCGTTACATGATTATGCATGAAAACCTCAAAATAAAAGAGTTCTTGTTTACATCTAGCTGCGCAATCAGCATTTCTGATGCCTAGCAAGTGCTAGGTGCCCATGTTATCCTTAAAAATAACCAACTGTTTAAAAAATCAATACAACTACAGTTGGTACCTTGGTTCTGGAACACCCTGTGACTCAAACATTTTGGCTTCCTAACACCGCAAATCTAGAAGTGAGTGTTCTGGTTTGTGAACGTTTTTTGGAAGCTGAATGTCCGACGTGGCTTCCGCAGCTTCTGACTGAGTGCAGGCAGCTCCTGCAGCCAATCGGAAGCTGCGCCTTGGTTTTCGAACATTTTTGGAAGTTGAATGGACTTCTGGAACAGATTTCGTTCTAGAACCAAGGTACAACTGTACTGTGACCTCAAAGTCAGTGCCACACAAAGTGAGAACCCTGGCCCTCGCCCCATATGAGGAACACAGCCTCTTCTTGATTAGTCATCAGTTCTTGGCTTGCACTGTAACAGCTGGGAAGTCTGCATTTTCTATGCTGGACTATTCAGAGTGCATGGCCTGGACACAGCTTCCTGTGATTGGTTGCCAGATGAAAAGGCAGAGCAAAGGAATGCCTATGGCCTAATTTTCACTCAGATGGTAAATCTGTGCTTGGACTATACATCTCTGGCGTATATGAGCATATCACATAACTGAATGCACCTTCATATAAAACAATACACACCAGAGAGAGTAAGTGTGTGTGCATGCGTATCACATAACTGAATGCTTCTTCATGCGAAACAATACCTGATTTGATATGTGCAGGGAATTTGTTTCCGAATATAAACATTGGATATTATGGCACATGGCTAAGGAATATTAATCAATTTTTAGTATTTATTAAATTTGTATACCACCTGTCATCTGAAGATCCCAGGGCAGTCCACAACAGAAAAGTACAAAATGCAAATACAAAATCAAACAAAAACAGACCAATAACCCCCCTCCCATAAACACATTTTAAAAGTCATGCAAAGTTAATCAGCTGAACCCTTGGTTGAAGAGAAACGTTTTTGACTGGAGCCTAAAGATATGTAATAAAGTCACCTAGGGAGAGCATTCCACAAAGGGAGAGCCACTGCAAAAAAGGCCCATTCACATGGTTAGCTTTGAAAGGCTTCCATATATAAACCAATTTTACTTACCTGCAAAATGTAGAATACAATATTTATTACCCACTTTATTTTGGCTAGTTGAGCTGTTCGTGTTTTCACTGTAAAAAGAAACAAGTATGATTTGCATTATTTACATTAATAGGAGACATGATTTTACTTTCAACTGATAAAAATAACTTTTGTTTCCACTTTAAGGATGCTTGCTTCTTTAAAATTCAAATTCTAGAGGCTATGGGTGTATAAGTAGAAACGAAAAATAAAAACTAGTCTCCGGCACCTGTTTCCTTGCTTTTTTCCAAAAACATTTTGTAGTTCACAAAACACGGATATAGAAATATTAATAACACAACACTATCATTGCCTTGAAACTGATGTATCAGCAGATCCCTAAGCTTGCTGTATTTACGGTAATATGTTGTTGTTGTTTAGTCATTTAGTTGTGTCCAACTCTTCGTGACCCTATATGGACCAGAGCACGCCAGACACTCCTGTCTTCCACTGCCTCCCGCAGTTTGGTCAAACTCATGTTGGTAGCTTTGAGAACACTGTCCAACCATCTCATCCTCTGTCGTCCCCTTCTCCTTGTGCCCTCAATCTTCCCCAACATCAGGGTCTTTTCCAGGGAGTCTTCTCTTTTCATGAGGTGGCCAAAGTATTGGAGCCTCAGCTTCAGGATCTGTCCTTCCAGTGAGCACTCAGGGCTGATTTCCTTCAGAATGGATTGGTTTGATCTTCTTGCAGTCCATGGGACTCTCAAAGAGTCTCCTCCAGCACCATAATTCAAAAGCATCAATTCTTTGGCGATCAGCCTTCTTTATGATTCAGCTTTCACTTCCATACATCACTACTGGGATAACCATAGCTTTAACTATACGGACCTTTGTCAGCAAGGTGATGTCTCTGCTTTTTAAGATGCTATCTAGGTTTGTCATCACTTTTCTCCCAAGAAGCAGGCGCCTTTTAATTTTGTGACTGCTGTCACCATCTGCAGTGATTATGGAGCCCAATAAAGTACCATATTTTTCGCTCTATAGGACGCACTTTTTCCCCTCCAAAAATTAAGGGGAAATGTGTGTGCGTCCTATAGAGTGAATGCAGGCTGCGCAGCCAAGCCCAAAGCCAGAACAGGGAGATGGAGCGCTGTGGAGCGCTCTGTCTCGCTGTTCTAGCTTGCGGATGGCTGTGCAAAGCCTCCGCAGGGCAGCAAGGTGCCTGCACCCCGCTGTCCTGCGGAGGCTCCAAGGGCTGTCCCCGAAGCCTGAAGCCTTTGGAGCACAGCGGGAACTTGCACTGCGCTCCAAAGGCTTCAGGGATCTTTGAGGCTGGCGGTGGGGGAAAGCAGTGCTTCCCCCCCAATGCCAGCCCTAAAGAGCAGGTCAAAAGGAACCTGAAGCCTCCAGAGCCCAGAGGGAACTCCCGCTGCACTCCAGAGGCTTCGGGTTGCCTTCACTGAAGCCTGGAGAGCGAGAGGGGTCAGTGCGCACCAACCCCTCTCGCTCTCCAGGCTTCCAAGGTAGCCGCCTGAAGCCTCCAGAGCACAGCGGGAACTCCCCTTGAACGCACCTTGTTTTAGAGGGGGAGAACAAGAAGAAAAATTATTTTCCTGTTCTCCCCCTCCTATGGTCCGGTGCGTCCTACAGAGCGAAAAATACGGTAAAATTTCTCACTGCCTCCTTTTATTCCCCTTCTATTTGCCAGGTGATAGAACCAGTGGCTATGATCTTAGGTTTTTTTTTTTATGTGGAGCTTCAGACCATATTTTGCGCTCTCCCCTTTCACCCTCATTAAGAGGTTCTTTAATTCCTCCTCACTTTTTGCCATCAAAGTTGTGTCATCTGCATATCTGAGGTTGTTGATATTTCTTCCAGCAATCTTAATTCCGGTTTGGGATTCATCCAGTCCAGCCTTTCGCATGATGAATTCTGCATGTAAGTTAAATAAGCAGGGAAACAATATACAGCCTTGTCGTACTCCTTTCCCAATTTTGAATCAATCAGTTGTTCCATATCCAGTTCTAACTGTAGCTTCTTGTCCCACATAGAGATTTCCCAGGAGACAGATGAGGTGATTAGGCACTCCCATCTATTTAAGAACTTGCCATACTTTGCTGTGGTCGACACAGTTTGTGATGACCAGCTTTTTATCTTGACAGAATTCTGTTAGCCTTTGCCCTGCTTCATTTTGAACTCCAAGGCCAAACTTGCCAGTTGTTCCTTTTATCTGACTCCCTACTTTAGCATTCCAATCCCCTATAATGAGAAGAACATCCTTCTTTGGTGTCATTTCTAGAAGGTGTTGTAAGTCTTCATAGAAATGGTCAATTTCAGTTTCTTCAGCACCGGTAGCTGGTGCATAAACTTGGGATTACTGTGATGTTAAAAGGTCTGCCTTGGATTCGTATCAAGATCATTCTATCATTTTTGAGACTGCATCCCAGTACAGCTTTTGACACTCTTTTGTTGACTATGAAGGCCACTCCATTTCTTCTATGGGAGTCTTGCCCACAGTAGTTGATATGATCATCCGAACTGAATTCGCCCATTCCCACCCATTTTAGTTCACTGATGCCCAGGATGTCAATATTTATTCTTGCCATCTCATTTTTGACCACTAGCTTACCTTTGTACATGGATTTTACATTCCAGGTTCCCATGCAATATTTTTCTTTACAGCATTGGACTTTCCTTTCACTTCCAGGCACATCCACAACTGAGCAACCTTTTGGCTTTGGCCCAGCCGCTTCATCAGCTCTGAATCTACTTGTACTTGTCCTCCACTCTTCCTCAGTAGCATGTTGGACACCTTCTGACCTGAGGAGCTCATTTTATATGCCTGTTGTTTTTGTCCATGAAGTTTTCTTGGCAGGGATACTGGAGTGGCTTACCGGTTCCTGCTCCCGGTGGATCACGTTTAGTCAAAACTCTCCACTATGACCTGTCCGTCTTGGGTGGCCCTGCACAGCACGGCTCATAGCTTCTCAGAGTTATTCAAGCCCCTTTGCCATGACAAGGCAGTGATCCATGAAGGAGGTATTTAATATAGTCATGTTTTATATTATGCATGTTTTTTAAAAAACATGTTTTTTAAAATACTGAGAACAGTACAAACAATCTAAAAAAATTAAACAGAAGTGAAAGTTAGGCTAATGATGCAAATATAAGTAGCAAGTATTTACCATGAGTCTTAAGTTTATCAGTCATTTTGTTAATCTTCCTTTCCAGTCGGGCATATCTAGCAAATTCATCCATCATACTAATGGTAGAAAGTTCTTGCTTCATGTTCTGAATTTCAGATCTCATTTGTGATTCCTGCTCAGCATCCTTTTGTAGCAATCTAGATATCTGACAAAGAGAAAGATGTCCAAACACCTGTTGATTCATCACTTTCCTCTTTTTTAAAAAAGAAAATGAATTTATTTGTTCTAAAACATAGTTACTACTTACTTCTCTCTAAGCAGTCTTTTAGTCCCTCTCCTAAATAGCTTGATCCAAGTACACTTTGAAGTGTGCCCCAAGTTATTTAAGTTCAATGTTTTGTAAGCAGAGGCATCCTAGGCTGCCTTGCACCCTTGACTAGGAGTTACATTGGCACCCCTTTCCCCCCACCCTGCCCTCATGGAACAGAAACTCAAAAAGGTTTTCTTTCATGCTCCGCCAGTGAACGCTTCTAATAGTGTGCGGGCAGATGGACTCCTAGCCACTGTAAGGCAGAAAGGAGAGGTGTGATTTTTGTGCCCTTCCTGCAGGGTTTGTGCCCTTGATGGGGGCCAACCTAACCAACTACTAGGTATGTCCCTATTTGTAAGTTTATCGGAATTTTAAATGAAAAGCAATGAATAATTTCCTAGAAAGACCTTTGTTAGGAGTCTACCTCCTTCCCAACTCTTCAATATATCATGCTTGGACCAGAGTGTCCAAACGCACAAAAGCTAAAGGCTGTGTTCTCAAACTCTGAACCTAAAGATGAATGGAGCTACCTTTTAAAAAATAATAATAATACACCCCTACCAAGGGATGGGTGCATCGATTTCTAGTCTGCCACTTTTGATTGTTTCTGTTCCATAATTCTGTTCCATTTTTTACATTGATCCTCTTTTAAAATAAGTGTTTCAATACTATGTTAAATTATGGGTATTTTCTCTCAAAGCATGCATATATTTAAACTGCTGAGAATTCTGTTGCAATTTGGCAGGGGCAGTGTGTCCTGTTTCACTGCTTGAGGCCAAATGGGAAGTACCGCCCTGCTGCTACCATACCTGCTGCTGCCAGATATTGCCTGCTGTGCTGCTGCGAGGCGCCAATTTCAGGCAAGATTGCACCAATTCTGGGTGAGATTCACCCCAAATGGATGGAATCTTGCCCAAAATTGGTGGTGCTTCTGCACCAATGGCAGAAAAAGCAGGGCACGGGGGAGTTTGGGGGGTTGGGTTCACCCTGCCTAATGGCTGTGCTGGCTCTACAATTTGGAGAAAAGCAAAATTCACCAAATAGCTAGGAAGGTGGCAAGCTATTTCCATTTGAAAGACATGCCTGCTGCATACTTTTTCCGCTGACTCCAAATCTGAACCTCACAGCCAAAGAATGTTCTGTTGTTATTATATTTATTTATATCCCACCTTTTCCCCAGACTAGGAATCAAACAAGGCAGCTTGAAATACAGCTTCCATCCATAAGGCCGTTTTATTCCATATACTCTCTGCCCTGAATGCCTCCAAGTGCAATCAATGTAAATGGCTCCGACAAGATGATCATCTGACCTCTTATTTTTTTAAATAAAACAACAGAACAGCCACATCCATCACCTGGATCGCCTGCCTGCTAATCCAGAGTGACCTCGCTGCTTCCGTACTTGCGATAACGAAAATGACTTAGGGTGGCATTGACGTTTCCTCAAAATAACCTATAGAAATTAATTGGCCTAACTTAAGACATGCTCATTAATTTCAATGGGTCTACTCAGAGTAAAGCTCAGTGTGCACTAGGCCCACAGGGAGACTCCCGAGGAAAAATGGGCGATAAAGATCAGGCCGTCCCTAGCGATGTCGGCGGCTGGGCTGGGAGACGCTCCGCTCGACCCGCCCCGGCCGACCATTCGGCCCTCCCCTGAACTCGGGCCCCAGCTGGAAGGCGGCTGCCCTCCCCACCCAGGCAGAGCGAGGGAGGCGGATCGGGGCGCCGTCGCTATGGGAACCCGGCGGGCTGACGTCACTTACAATGGAGGAGCAAGAGGGCAGGAGGATTTTGAGGAGGTTACACAAGAACACGGAGCTCAACACGAGGAACCAGGCGCCGTCACCCGTCACATCTCCCGTCTCCACTAGAACCTCCTCGTTCATGTCTCAGGCCGGACTGGACGTGGCGGGGGGGGGCAGAGGGAAGGGAAAGGAGTAGAGACACGCGAGGAAGACGGAGAAAAGCGGCTGCCAGTCTCCCGCCTCTGCCAGAGAAGAATAACGGGGTGGGGGAGGGGGAGAAGGAACACTACAGAAAAGGCTCGGGCTCGCGGCCGCTTCTCAAACTGCGCAAGCGCACATCCTCCCTCTTCACCCCCACCACCCCCGCCCCGTGGTTTGTGCCTCGCTGGATATTTTTTTTCGTAATAACAACCGCGGTCGCTGAGCTCACGCCTCCTGTTATGTGTGCGCATGCGCGCACATGTCACAGTTACTGTCACCCTCTTGCCGAGACAGCCTATCAAACCCGCCCAGATGGAGGGGAGCAGCCCGCCTCCGCCTCAGCGCATTGAAGTCGACGGGTCTCTCCTCATGGGTGGGACGGACTGTTTTGATTTAAAAAGAGGGCGCGCGAAGTGGGCTCGTCCAATAGGGACGCGCGCGCCTCGGAGCGGGGAGGGGGGCGGTGTCGAGGAGAGCGAGCGAGCGTGCGTGCGCGCGCGTCTCCCCCCTCCCTTCCCATCCGGCTGGATCCTGTTGCGGTGCCGCTGGCGCTGCTGGGATGGTCGCGGGAGGAGAAGGGGGGTCAGACGGGCGGGCGGGCACACTCTTGGTCTGTGCGCAGGAGTGAGAGTCGGACTTCCCAGTGGGGCTGGAGTAAGAAGTGCCAGCCGCCGCCGCCACCGCTCCCGCCGCCCGACGATAGGGAACAAATAAAAGCACAAGGGAAAGCCGAGCGCCGTCGTTCGGCATCGCCGCTTACTCCGCCATGCCGAAGAGAAAGGTTGGCGACGGGCGCGCGCACACTTTAATGTGCGCCGAGAGCGCGTACTCCCTTCTTTCTCCCCGAGCTCCTTTACCCTTCTCCTTCCCCTTGTAAATGTAATATATTTATATATAAAAATATAGGCGAGCGGGCTGTCCTTTCATACTGGGGGGGGGGGTTCTTTTTTTCTGCGACGACTTCGTCGTGAGGGCCCAGTTTTCGCGCTCCTATTCTAGAGGGGGGAGGGGGCGTGACGGTTGTAAATGGCCGCGAGGTTCGCCGAACTGCGGCCTGTAACGTCTCGCGTGCCCGTTCCGCTCGGGCAGCCGAGGAACGAGCGTCGCGCAGGTTCTGGAACGCCTAGAACTTTTACGCGGACGTTGGTTAAGGATACGGCCTCAGGTTCGAATTCTCGACACAGCGGCGGGAAGGGGGGGGGCGTGTGCGCGGTGACGTCAGGGCCCCTGGACGGTGTAGAACAGGCGTTAATGCGCATGCGATGTTTCGCTCTACCGCCCCCGTTCCTTTCTCATATTTTATGTTCCATTGCAGGTGAACGCCGCTGAAGAAGAGGTAAGTAGGAAACGTTTGTATAATATTTTAAAGGATCCACGAGGATTGTTAGTATTAAGCAGACCATTAATACTGTTTTCTTTTGCTTTGGTTTGCTGTAGCCAAAAAGGCGATCTGCACGCCTGTCTGCTGTAAGTATAAAATTGCATAGACTTCTTATTTACCCATTATGTTTATTGTGAATATTAGAATTAAAACATAATAATTGTGTGGTGTTTCTCTTTCAGAAACCTGTCACTGCCAAAATTGAAACCAAACCAAAAAAGCCAGCTTCAAAGGTGAGAGGTTTGGGGGAGGGAGACAAACAAGGTGTCTGAAATCCTTTTTGGAAGCTGGCTGAAGATATTTCATTGTAAAATGGAGCAATGTTACTACATCTCGGCAGTAGAAGCAGGAAACTACTTTGGGACTCAAGTCACGATTGAAGTGTGGTCACCCTATGGGCCACATTCCACTAATGGTGAGGTCAAGGGTGGAAGCTGCCATGGCAGAATTCATGCCCATCTGTCCCCCGATACTGGAAAGATAAAAGCTGGGGCTCCCGATTGTCCATATGCAGCTGCGGCCTGAATTTGACGTGTTTTCCTGCCATGCTACTTTTGGGGGTTTGGATCCATTCAGGAATGATTAGGAGCTACTGGACTTACCTGATGTCTGTCAAAAGTAGCATAGCAGGAAAAGGTGCCAAATTTAAGCTGTGCTAAATTCAAGTCACAGCTGCAAAGGGATTTTCATTTGTTGTATTTGTACACCATTTTTCCACAAACTGAATCATGCTCAAAGTGTCTTGCAACAAAGAAACAGGTGTATTTAAAGCAAGCAATACAAGAACAATTTCTTAATAACAAAGCAAAACAAAAACATAGTAACGTAAATTTATGTGCTAGCTACCTAGTGTAGGATAGCGGTGAAGAGTTTTCTGATGAATTGTGCCTTGGTCATGAACTCACTAGCTGGGCTTGGCCAAACCAATACAGTATATTCTCATTCTTTCCCTCACCTTGGTAGCATGGGGATAATATTGTACAGGGTTGTTATAAACATTGCTAGCATACTGTATGTTCAAAATGTTTCATATACCAAAGTGCTCACTTTTCACTGTAGGCTCTGAGGCTACTTCTCTTGGTGGTTTCCCAGCTGTTTCCTCCCACCATTCCTCTCTAACCAGTCCATGCATCACCTGAAGCAACCATTTTGCTTCAGCTTCACTGAAAAGGGCAAGAACATCAGATTAATTCTATTTGGGTCTAAACTAACTGTGTTATGAACTCAGTTGCTGGTTTATTTGAACAAATAAATAATAAATCTACAGTTTAAGAAAATAAAATATTGGGGCGGGGGGGAGAATCCTTATCCAAAATATCTAACATCAGTTTACACAGGAAAATGTAGGGTGGTATCCAGTGCTGGGCAAGACCTATTTTAGTATTCCATATAGACCAGTGGTCGCCAAACTTGGCCCTCCAGCTGTTTTTGGACTAAAACTCCCATCATCCCTAGCTCACAGGACCAGTGGTCAGAGATGGTGAGAATTGTAGTCCCAAAACAGCTGGAGGGCCAAGTTTGGCCGCCACTGATAGAGACTGATTGTAGTACAAACCTTGGAATAACTAAGAACAGCCAGATATGCTCTCACCATGCTAACAGCTTCATTTTTTCCAAGGAATGATGCTTTGCACCATGCATAGAAATATATGCAGTGAGTCCTGGTAATGTGCTAAGACAACATGGCACTAAAAGAGCACTCTTTGGGGCTAGATGCATATATGTAAGCCAGCATAGCATTCCTGGCACCTTAGATCTTTCTAAACATGTTTTAATCTGATTAAGACCAGTGCTTTTTCTGGGACTACTCAAGGGTACACAGTACTGGCACCTTTTTTGTCCTGGAAGAAAAGCACTGATTTAGACCACAAATCTTCACATTCTGACGAATGAGTTACTTTAAAAAGACTAAATGCTGAATGTCTTATTTCATTGCAGGATAAGCCTGAGGAAAAGAAAGCCCCAGCAAAAGGGAAAAAGGGACCAAAAGGTAAACAGGCTGAAGAGATTAACAATGAGGAAGTAAAGGATAACTTGCCTGCAGAAAATGGAGAAGCAAAAAGTGATGAGGTAAATTTTATGGCTTTATTGTGTATTCTATAGTCTTCTGGTTTAAATTCAAAATGAGAAAATATTTATATTGGTAAAGGAGGCTAATGAGGTAGGAAGAAGTGGAGGAGGAGTTGGCATTGCCATTGGGTTTCATGCCTCTGTATACCTGTTTCTGGAAATTGCAAGTGGGGAAAGTGCTGTTGCACTCTGGTTCCGCTTGCGGGCTTCTCATAGGCATTTGGTTTGCTACCATGAGAATAGGCTGCTGGTCTAGATGAGTCTTTAGCCTGATTCAGTGGGGATTTTCTTACTCTGGGTTGCTATGCATTTTAGTAAATTCTTTCATCCTCCGCTAGCATCTTTCAGTAGTCACACTAGTGGATCTGGCATTTTTTTACTACTAATATTCCCAGTCCAGGCTCTTGCTATCCTGGATGATCGGGCCAAGTAGATCAATCAGTTCACCAAACATGGCGAGTGATATGAGTTTCTATTCTACATTGAATTTGTATATCATTTCAAAAGTAAGCATATACTTAACAAGATGTTTTATTTCTAAACTAGTCAGAAACATCATTGTTATGAAACACACAACTATTTCAAGTCCTTGAATTTAAAGTTACTCTGTGCCAATTGAAATGAAGCCTAAGGACAAGCATTAACATAACATTTTAAGTATAAGCTTGAGTATTTGGAAAGTTCATTATGCATTACAAAGTTCTGCACGGAATTTGTATTGTCCAGTAATTTTATGAGTAAATGTATTCTTTGTTAACCACAAAATCTTTTAGCAGGATATGAGTGCAGAATGAGTATCTTTGATGTGACTATATCATAAGGAAGCTTTATGGATTTTTAGTGAAATTAGTATGGAAAGCAGTACTGAACATTCCTGAAAATCCACAGAAACAGAATAAGATAACTCAAACTACAGCTGTAAACTGAAATACCATAATGGAATATGAGGCTCATCAATGTGGGGCTATGTGTTCAATATTTGACTGTAGATAGACCATTAAAAGCAATGTTTTTCTACTTGTGAATTGTATATATTAATCCTTTGTGGCCAGTCACTCTCAAACTGGTTGATAAAAATGTTTTGGCTCTGTAATAGCATACAAAAATTATGTTGATCCTAACTTTCATGTTTAGAATACCAAATAGCTTTTAAAACAATGTTTTAATAGTCCTTGGGTTTGAACTTTGAAACATATATGTATAACCATTGTTACGTTAAACTTTTTTCTTTTTTCAGGCCCCAGTATCTGATGCAGCAGGAGAAAAAGAAGCAAAATCTGAGTAACATCTTGTACAAAGTCTCTTAATCAGTGGTTTGTTTGCCACCATCTTGTACAATTCAGAGGAATATTTTTATCAACTATTTTGTAAATGCAAGTTTTTTAGTGGTTTTAGAAAAGACATTTTTTAAGCATGAGGGGATCCCTCCCTCAATATCCCATTTAACGTAGTTTTGAGTGTAAATGCTTTGTTTTTAAAAGGTAAAAAATCATGTACTGGTTGTCTCTCTATATAACCAGCAATTAATGGAATGTTAGATTAAGGAGAAATTTCAAAATATTGATTACTTACAGTGCTATCCTATACATGTTTACTTAGAACTAAATCCCACTGGTTTCAGTGGTACTTATTCTTTAATAAGTGTGCATAGGATTGCAGCCTTAACATTCCAGAGGCCAGGGTGGGCAACTTGCAATTTACATGTGGCCCTTTAAAGCTATTTTTATGCAGGACTTCAGTTACTTTAAATTTAGCTTTGTTTCCTTAAATTTTTAGCCTTTACAAATAAATTTGAATATATGATGGAAAGATATGCCCAGCATATGCCAGTATCGTCCCCAGAGGCAAACAAGTTGCTCACACCTGCTGTATACTGTGGGATGGTTTTTGCAATTGTTAAAAGAAGCATAGCACAGATAAAACGTTGACATGGTGACAAGTAGGAAAATGTCTTTACACTTAACACGTATCCCCCTCGATTTGTCATCAGTAGAATGCTTCCTCAGAAAACCCAACTTGTTCCCTGGTGTTGGATCTCCCAAATTTGTTTTATCTGTGACAAGAGTTATTTTTGGTAGTGGTAGTTTATTTTTTCAACAGCTTTGTAACGTGTTGTGAACGGTTGGAAATCTGGGTGTGTAGTGTGTGTGGTGTTCAATTACTGAGTAGATAAAATTTCTGGTTAAGCAGACATGACTTTCACATGACAGTATTTGAGACACTGGTACTTTTCTACTTTGAATTAATGGTCTATCAAAGAAGTCATAATTGTCAGATGACTGGTTTACATTCAAATTATTGGAAGAAGAATCAGTACAAATAGTTAATGTCTGTGGTTCATCAAACAAGATCCAATAAAATATTGGTCATAAACATTTTGTGAGTGTTTCTCTTCAGCTTGACTGAAAATTAACTGGGATGTAGATTTTTAAAAACAAGCAAACATGCAGTTGTATTCCTATAATATAAGCTTTCACTTTAGTGAATGAAATTTCAGTAATCTATGGTTTTATAGCCATCCCCAGTATCTGTTGTATGGCAGCTTAGGTATTGTATGCAATGTTTCCAGCCTTTTTTTTGCATGGAAGGAGAGTTGGAAAGATAAAGTAATGAAGAAACTCCATTGATCAAGCACACAAAAGTAAAGGTTGTCCTTAACCTTTGCGTATCTTTGTTTGACTCATGAGCACAGCATTGCTGAAAATTTGTTAGCAGCAGGCTCTTCTAAGAAGTGAAATTCACGTGACAACAAACTTGAAAACTCTCAATGGTAGAAACTTGCCTATATTCCCCTTTATTTATATCTCCTCTCTTTATAGTCCAAATAAGACTCTGAACAACTACCGAGATCAATAATAAGACATTCTGTACCCTCAGGTTTACAATCTAAATCAACACAAAGGAAAAAGGGAGGGGGGAGCAAACATCACAATTTTAACAATTTCTAAAAGTAAGTCCTATTCAGTAAATCAAAGGGACTTATTCCCAGATAAGTGGTATTAGGATTGCAACCTAAGGCACTAGTTCTTATATCAACAGCAAAATTGAAAATGGGTCCCTCCCCTGAGCTGATGGGTTTTCTTGGTTTCCTAATCTCTTCTGTCTGATGAAATGGCTGCTGCCTGACAGGTGACAATGGAGTGGTAAGCCTGATGGAGCTAGATTCTCAGAGCTTTAGTAAGCACTGTACAGTTTTGCCATTATGTGAAGTTCTCAGAATCCAAACAATAGCACAAACTTTGGAACACTTAATACTCTCTACTGAAAACTCCTTTTTCAGTAAGACAGGATCAGTGGCAAAGAAAGCATACCTGCTATTGAAATAATATGTGAAGGAGAATGTTTGCCCTGTAAAACTTGTAGGTAAGGAGAAAAGATGAATATATATTTTTTTTTTTAAATCATATTTATTAAAGTTTCCAAAAATATAAAAATACAGAGAAAAAAGACAAAAAAAAAAAAAAGATATTTAAAAACCTTACTTTCATTCCCTACTTTCTAGGACTCCCCCCCTCCCCCCCCCAATTGTATTCCCCTTTCCTTAATTTGGTTCTACAAGCTCTCACTCCCAATTTAAAGCTTAATTTGTTTAACCCACTATCCAGATTGAATTGTACAAATCTTACCACCGTCCCACATCATTAACAGAAAAAGAAAAAAAGATTTTCCCCAAGATCCACCCCAGTTCCTTCCACAAATTCCCTTTTTTTTAAACACGTCCGATCAAAGTAAAATAACATGCGTAAGTTATGTAAAGAAATAGAAAATAAGAGATATAGAAAAATTCAAAAAATGGTTACACAGCCTTTGGATTTCAAATCGCCCCCTTCCCGGTTTGAATTCCCCATGTCCATCAGTCTATACATTATCAGCTTGGAAGTCTCATTTCATGACCAGATTTCTCCCGATTCCATCTTGCCGGTTTTCTTTTAGTTTATTAATTTAAATAATATTTGACTTCAAATATCCAATCTAACAAAGGCCTTTAATTTCCTTGATCTTTACCACTCCTCCCGTTGTTCTTTCCGTGTCGTAATCAGTCCTTTATTCTTCTTATTCCTCACTTTCTCAGGTTTCTTGTCCTGTTCAGCTGCTAAAACTTTCTAATTCAGAAATCTAGTGTCTCTGCAGAGGTTTGTTATTCAGGAACAAAACTTACGTCCAGTCCCTTCCTTTCTTCAATAAAAAATTCCATTGTCTTCCTCTGTAGACAAAATACTCTTTCAGTTTTGCAGCTTTCCCAGAAGATAACAAATCCTGTGCGAATCCCAGGGTATTTTTCCACTTACGACCGTTCTTGTAGTATCCCGAAACCCCTCTAGGGGATTGTAATAACTTTGTATCCTCTAATCCAAAAGTCAAATTGTTGCTTATTTTCCAACAGTTTATATCCATATTATAGCAAATTGTAACAAAATTAACCAGCAAGGTCCTCATAACAAAGTCCTCTTTATATTCTCCAGCTTTGACAGCCACTTTGACAGCTGTCAAAGTCTCCGTCTCTCTTCACCAGGCTCCACGAATCGCCCCGGTTCCCAGGGGGGGGGTTGCATTTTCTTCTCACCCTCCACTCTTCTCCTCCAGCACATTTCTTATAATTTCCCATCGTGAAATTAATGATTTTTATCAGAGACATACTTCCCTTTGGACCTTGGTTACCCAGTCCTTGTTTTGGAATGCTTACAATAGGGGGATTGACTTCCTTTTAAATCGCCCCGCTCGTGCCAAATCCAAAATTTTGAACCCGGTTTCCCAATTACTCACGGGTTGTTGTTAATAGTCCAAATTTTCAATAGAAGAAGTCAGCGCTCTCCGTCGAATGGCATGCGGCTGCGCTCGGCAGGGAAAGCAGTGGACTCAAGCACCACGCCACTCCCGGCACCCGATCCGAAGCCTTTAAAAGGCTCCTTCACGAGTCGGGAGGGCGCTAATGGTGCAAGCCGAGTCACCCATGTCCACGGACTCCGTGCCCGTGGTTTTTAAGGGTCCCCGCGTCGCCGGCGCGGTAGGACCCAGCCCCTGCCGAGCAGACTCCCTCCGGAGCTCGGAGGGAGTCCGCCATTCGGCGATGGCGCTAACCCGGAAGTGCAAATATAGGCTTGTTTTTAATATCCTGACATAGAAGCACTGTGAGTCTTATGTCCACCATAGAGATAGTTTTTTGCCAGTTGGATAGGGGGAGGGGGGTAGTAAAGAGATCCAGCACATTTAAGCAAGCATAGATAGTGACACATTGTCTGAATAACACCTTTAAAGCCAAGACTTGCCAAAATGTCTCCATTTTAAATGTGGGTTTGGCAAGGTATCTAGTATAGAGCAGCCTCACACCCTGATAATTCATGAGAAATTGGTGCAAGCAGTTAAATATTTCCACAGAAACTTATTGAGGCACAGGAAGAACAACACATCCAACTTGAGTGACACCAGCTTCCATCAAGACCTATTGCAAGATACGAGTTCACTTTTGCAATCAGTGAACATCTGGAGGCTTCTACAATAGGTTATTAGAATATGAGTAGTCAGGGACTGTGTCCCTCTGGAAGCTTTAGCAGCACATGCAGAAAGGAGCTTCAAGCAGCTTGGCTAGAAGCCAAGTCTTACAGAATCTTGTCTTCTAGAATCACATTTGAAACCATCATGTCTTGGAAAAAATGGGGAACACCATGGGAAAGCCTATGTGAATATGGAACAAAGTCAACCAGTCCAAGGAGACAAAAGATCCATCAGGTGAAATACACCTTTGCTCTAGATGAAGCACTTGGGGGGGGGGTTGATTGTCAAACAATGGAGGTGACAACAGCCTCCACTGGTGTGGTTCCCCCTCCTGCAAGGCTTTCCTGAAGGTTCCAGGTGCTCTCCTCCCTCCTCCCCCCCGAACCATTCTTTCCTTTCCTGTCAATTTATAGTCTGCCCTGAGTACCGTATTTTTCGCTCTATAGGACGCACTTTTTCCCCTCCAAAAATGAAGGGGAAATGTGTGTGCGCCTATAGGGCGAATGCAGACTCGCTGAAGCCTGGAGAGCTAGAGGCGTCGGTGCGCACCGACACCTCTCGCTCTCCAGGCTCCAGGACTATCTGCAAGCCTTGCGCACCCGGGAGTTCCCCGGGCACGCAAGGCTTGCGGCAGCAGCCTGCAGCACGGGCGCCTCCGGAGGACCCCGTGCCGCGCAGGTGTCGGCAAGCCTTCGCACCCGGGATCTCCCGGGAGTGCAAGGCTTGCGGGCGGCAGCCTGCAGCGCGAGCACTGGGCGCCTCCGCAGGACGCCCGTGCTTCGCTCAGGTGTCGGCAAGCCTTGCGCGCCCGGGAGATCCTCTGGGCGCGCCAGCTAGCGGGCGGCAGCCTGCAGCACGGGGCGCCTCCGGAGGGCGTCCCGTGCTTCGCGCAGGTCGGCAAGCCTTGCGCACCTGGGGATCTCCCCGGGTGCGCAAGGCTTGCCGGCGGCAGCCTGCAGCGCGGAGCACGGGGCGCCCTCCGGAGGACGCCCTGTGCTTTGCGCAGGTGTCTGCAGCCTGCCGCCCAGCGGGTGGGGCGCCCTGAAGCAGAGCGCCCTCACGCCGGGCAGACATGGGCCAGCCTCACAAGCTCGGGGGACAACGGGGAGGCGCAGCGCCGCCATCCCACTGTTCCCCGACCTGGTTTTGGGGGGGAAATAAAGGAAAATTTTTTTCCCTTTATTTCCCTGCCCAAAAAAGTAGGTGCGTCCTATGGAACGAAGCGTCCTATGGAACGAAAAATACGGTATTTTGCATAGTTCAAAAGGAAGGCAGAAGTGACCCTGATTATGGCCAATAAGGGTCAAAGACTTTCCACAGCATACTGTGAAACTACTGAAGTCAGTACCAGAGGCTTTCTTCCTCTGGACCCCTTCTATACTCAATCTGCTTGTCACTTTGAAATTCTTAAACCTTTAGTGACATATACACAAGATTCCAATAGGGTTCGGTACAGTGGTACCTTGCAAGACGAATGCCTCGCAAGACAAAAAACTCGCTAGATGAAAGGGTTTTTTGTTTTTTGAGCTGCTTCGCAAGGCGATTTTCCCTATGGGCTTGCTTCGCAAGACGGAAACGTCTTGCAAGTTTGTTTCCTTTTTCTTAACACCGTTAATACAGTTGCGACTTGACTTCGAGGAGCAACTCATAGAAACGTGGTGTGGTAGCCTTTTTTTCAGGTTTTTAAAGACTTTGGTGATTTTTGAAGCTTTTCCAAAACTTTCCCGACACCGTGCTTCGCAAGACGAAAAAAATCGCAAGACGACAAAACTCGCGGAATGAATTAATTTTGTCTTGCGAGGCACCACTGTACAATAAAATCACTTCTCAAAACCTGCATCTTACACTTAAGTTAATGTACAATATTCACGAGTCCTCATTGCGTGTTGCTGAAACCCGGCTACTATCTCCATCTTCTCCCCATCCTGATTAAATGTAAGGAAGGCTACTGTACATTTGTCGGAATGCCACTCCCTAGGGCCTAGAACAACCAACTGATAAACCTAGGGTAGATCAAATAGATACCAAGGGCAGTGCAAACGAACGTGTGACTGATTCGATTTGTCTTATGTCCACAGGCGCATTGTCTCAGAGTATTTTCAGGAATCTAGTAGTGTGGGATTTGTGAGGACCTCAGCAGCTACAGGGGCGTTGCGGTTAAGGAGATGCTGGTGATGTTCTTTCCAGCACAATGCAATAGCTTGTTTATCTTTTGGAACCATACTATACATCACAAAATGTCAAATAACCAACAACAATGCTAGAAACATAACATACAGCTTAACTTTAAGAATGGCAGTAGCTACAAACTACACATACGGTAATCTTACTGAAATTAGAGTCCTCATACATGACCAAGTCTTGATTGTGTATTCTAGAGCTGCAGTACTGAATAATGTTTCTCCATATAGGCCACAATCTTCTCTGTCAATGGGTGGTTATTAATTTAGGCCTGCCTTGCAAAATAAATTTTCATAAGTTACTAGCCCACAAAAGTTGTTATTAGTCGTCCTGCCTGTACAGGCCTATTCATGGTGTGTTAGATCATGCCTTATTTTATTTAATTTATGAATCTCCTAAATTATTGAAGCAATTTTACAAGAAAGAATAAGGCAATACAAACATCCACAATAAAAGATATAAAACAATGTCATTTATCAAAATGTTTTCAAATTCAATATAGATACCAACTGGGATGAAAATCACTTAGGTGACTTGTTGAAAGATGGAGGTTTTCAACAGGCACTGAAAAGTATATGCCTGGTATGTGGGTGTTCCAAGGGGTAGGTGCCACTATGCTAAATGCCCAATTCCTACAGAACCAACCTCCTGATGAGGTATCTGCATGAGGCCCTCTAGTGTGGTTGGGTATATAAGATGTGATCTTGTAGGTATCCTGGTGCCAAGCTGTGTAGGGCTTTTGTACACCAATGCAAAACTAGAATATTAACAGGTCCCACCCATGCAACCTTTTTACACATTCATTTGCAACAAAACAGGAAGTATTATTGAGTTTTCCATTTTGCCTGAACCAGGAAACCATGGTAAGCAGCTTCAGAACAAGCCAAGATATGAACCCAACTTCAAATCATAGATTTAATGATAATAATTAAGTGTCCTGTTTCTATTTTCTGATTAGTTTAAATCAAATTAGGAAGTTAAAATACCTCCCCAAAGCATCCCTGGATGGCAAGGAAATCTTTCAAATGACTTGCCAGCTGCACTGCGTGTGGAACCTTTGAAAACTACCTCAGTTAATTATCTTAATTGGTCCAGCACTACAAGTTGTATTTAGGTTAATTACCATTCTCATCTTCACACCTTAATCACTGATAATAATAGATTTTTTAGCCTGGATTCTTTTATATACATATTGTGATAAATTGTTGGTTTGGAACAAGTTGTGGAATGCCTTCTCATTGTTTATATTTTGGTATCAGGTATACAGGCATCTTTTTGCGCCAGCCTGGGTGGTGGATGAGAACTGAATATCCTTCCCATTTTAGTTGTAGTGTTGTTGAGGTTTCTCTTGATTCTGTTTAATTTATAGTCTAGCAATGTTTATGTATTCCATGATTTGAACTGGGAAGGGTGAAAATAAAATACTTTGTGACATAGTAAGCTTCCTGCTTAGAAGGCTTTCCCTGTCTGATTTCACTTCTTACCACTGGGCAGGGAGTAGATATTTAAGATACTCTTTTAGGCAGCAACTTATGACATCTTAACTAAATAATCCTCTATGGTGTTAGATATAGGCTTAAATGGTCCCCACTCGTTTGTGTGTCCTGATGGGCAATACTAATTCCATAACCAGCTTTATCATTTCTTCTTGTGAATGTAACTTCTAATGCCAGCCTTGGTTTGGTTTTTATGTGTTTGTCTTATGAAGCTCAATTTTATTATTTGGGTTATATGGAGAACATTCAAGCAAGATTCTAAAAAAAACCAAACAAAGTGTGGGAAACCACATGCTCCAACTAGGCAAAACACTTACAATGCCCCTACCAAATAACACAGGAAAGTAAAAAAATCAGGCAACAACCCCCCTCCAAAACCTGAATTAACTTTTTTTTTAAGACAGGCAGGGGTGCTGGTATCAGAGGCAGCCACAGTGCCCACAGACATGACGCTGGGAACTCTGAGTCCAGAACAAGAGCACAACCATGTCCTTCCACAAGCGATAGGACCTGTCAGCGATGTAACACAAGTTGCCATTGGCTCTTATTTAAGGTTGTAATGCTACGCATGCTTACTATTACTAGGAAGTCTTATTGAATAGAGTGTGACTTTGGGAAAAATATATAGGATCAGACTGCGCTGAGTTAAAAAAGCATACTAGTAGTAGGGATAATTCCAGAGAACCATCCAAAAAGCCCTATCAAGAAGTGTACTTGTGTTGTTTTTATGTGGTACAGGCCTTTGAAGAGTAAGAAATCTTTTCCGCGAACCGCCCTGAGACCTCCGGGTATAGGGCGGTATATATTCAATTAATAATAATGATGGATTGTACCCAAAGAACTAGGGCCAATGGAACTTTTAAATTCCAGAACGTCAATCCCATATCTTTCCCCCTCTTCTTCACACATTTCCAATGAATAATTTGTTCTTTATTTGTTTTTGTTTTAATGTGTTACGGTTATTGTGGGTTTTTGTTTTAATGATCTGCTTCGACATGGCAGCACACAATCCCATGCATGTTTACGTGAGAAAGTCTAAAATAATGGGACTTCACACTCCCCAAACGCTCCTTTTATTTAGGGAAGCGCCAACATTTTCCCCTTGGAAAAGAACAGCCAGTCCACCATTAGCGTTTGTTTTGTAACCGATTCGCACTCTTCCTCGCTTAATTGCAGTCCTAGAAACATTTGCCTGGGAATTAATGAACAAAACTCTCCTTAACAAAGGGCGACTTTTCTCCATACGTAAACCTGCCTACTGATTTTCGGCCGGACATTGTGAAAGACCCTGACCAGAAAAGACATAGGGCGAATCAGGGGAGAAAACCTTGACAGATTCGCATCAGCCTCTTCGGGGATTATCTGTATGAAAATGGCGCATTGTTTTTCCGGAAGAAGGTGCCTCTGTCAGCGCCATCCTACATGTCTCTGGAAGTAAGCCCCACGGCACGTACGGACTTACTTCCAAGTAAGCATGAATAGGCTGGCGCTGCAGGAGGCAGCCAAGCGAGCGCTCTCACTTCCCTACAACGATGGGCGGGAGGAGCCCTTCGCCGCTCGCTCCCATCCCTCCCCACTTTAATTCTCCACGAAGCCTCATCTCCAACTGCCAAGTCGAAAATGGCCGCATCTCCTTCCGCGCTCAGCCATCACAGCCTTTCGCCAACCACCACCACCCTTCACGTAAAGCAACCTCTTTACTACACAACGATACACGAGTGGCGTTTCATAAGCTTGCGGTCTCTGTGTGTTTTTTAAACTTTTAAACGCAACCATTTCGTTCGCTCCAAAGGGGACTATTTCACCCCTCCCACCCTTTTCCTTCCCTATTACAGTACTATCCACTCCGCCCCGCCTTTCCTCGGAGCTACGTCAGAGGCGCGCGGGGCGCCTCAGCAGTAATGGCAGCGGGGCTGGGCAGGGATTAATGTAGAGCGCGGCAGTGGCGGCGTCGAAGGGTGGTGCGCAGACGACGGACGTGCGCGCTCCCGCCCGCCGGACCTCTCCCTCATACATACAAATAGAGCGAAGGCGCGTGGGGGAGGGGAAGCGCTGATAGGATTATGTCGAGCCAGGCCTGGGCCGCCGCCGCGCCAGACAGAGCCCTCAGCCCTAATCTCCTCCTGGCAACAGCGGCCGCTGCGGATATGGCCGAGCCCTTGCCGGCCTCCAATTCTCCTTTGGGCGCCGGCAGCGGCCCTCTGCCGCTCATTGAATCAGGTAATGCGAAGAGTGAGCGCCGGCTTGGTGAGGAGAGCGAGAGGATGGAAGAGCCGGGCGAGGCGAGCGCTCGCCGTCTCCGCCGCCATCTTACTGAGCCTGGTTATGAGTTACAGTCACCTAAGGGGGATCCCCCAACCCGCCCCCCCCGCCGCCGCCCTCCCCATCCCCCAACGAATCCCGGCTTCGACTTCATCTCTCCTCTTTTTCTCCTTCTCGCAGAACTGTACTTCCTCATAGCTCGGTTCTTGAGCACTGGGCCTTGCAGGAGGACGGCGGAGGTGAGTTGTTCTTCGCCTGCACCCTCTGCACTGCCCCCACCCCACCCCGCGAAGGGCGGCTTCATAGCGCCCCCCTTCACTTTGGTCAGAAGCGGCGCTTCAAAAAGCAAACGCGAACAGAAAACCTCCACCAGTGCCAAATACCAGCTTCTTTTTTTCCCCTACAGGTGCTAGTGCAGGAACTGGAACAGTACCAGGTCTGTGAGACTACTCATTTTTTAAAAAAATAATTCCCTTTTATGCCATTCGCTTTTACCCCGCTTTTTTTTATAATCCCAATGTCTTTTAGAGATGGAAACTATGCCATCTGTGCAAGTATTTGTAATAGCTTTCTTTTGTGTCCCGTTCGTTCCAATTCACCTGGTTTTTCTCTCCTTCCCCCTTTCAATTTTAGTTGCTCCCTAAAAGGTTGGATTGGGAAGGAAGAGAACATTGCAGAAGTTATGAAGACTTGGTGAGACTTTTGTTGTTTTAAAAAAGGAAAAAACCCAAACAAGATTTGGATTGTTGAGGGGGGGAGGGGATCAACAGTATTTGCTTTTTCAAACTAATCGTGCTATTTTTCATGCTTTTAAAAGCCTGTGTTGTTTTATGGAAGGTATTTATTATTGTGCTAGTCAACAGAAGCCATAAATGGGGACTCTGGGAACAGAGGATGTTGTCATCTTAGAGAGGAGGCGGGGTGTGGGTCATCAGGGCTTGTTAGGATAAAGCAGTCTGAAAAAGAACCTTTATTTCTTGGTTTCTACAGATGATTAGCTAAATAACCTTAATCTGACAATATTTTATTGTTGGTTACCCCAAAATATGCTTTCCTCAGAAGATAAGAGCTGGCTTCCACTAGAGGGTTGAGTTGTTTAATGGCTTCAAATTTACATTGAACCGCTTGGATTAGGATTTAAATAAGTGTTCTGAAGATTCAGTATATTTTTAATGGATGCTTATTATTCTCTTCACAACAAATAACAAGCTCTTCCATGTGGATTTGGAAGCAGATGGGGAAATGAGCAGGACTTGAAATGCTGTACTGTAGGGTCAGACTTTTGAATCTGCTTTGTTCTTCAGCAGCTCACCCTCCTCCCTCCAAATGTTAGATTGTTAAAAGCTTGAATTGCTTAAAAAATTATTATACACCACAATCCTAAATGTATTTTTTTAAGTACCATGGATTGTAATGGACTTTCCTTCATTTAGTATTCTTAGGTTTGCACTGAGTTTCATATGGGATTCTTTATTTTTGGAAGCTTAGATGTGAATTATAAGAGGAAACATTCCTCTTTTAGTTGAGAAAAATGCCACCGGAATTTTTAATGTGATGGTAATATGACATTTTCAGTTTTGTAGGATTTCTAAGTAGAGGTGCATAAGATGAGCTCCTTGGTTCTCCAGAGGCGGTGAACATATGGCATAGAGGGTTACACTGGGACAAAACTGTTTGTTATGTTACATTGATACAGGAAACAGTTTTTGCTGCATGAGCAGCCAAGCCTGAGTGAGGACTGCAACATATTATTGTGAAACATTGTGTCCCCCCCTTTTTTTTTTTAAAAAAAGGCTACTTTGCTTGCATAAAAAATTGACATTACTCTTTGTTTAGCTTAAAATGTTTTTAAACAATTCTGTTTTCATGTCTGTGAGTTTGGGTCTGAAAAGGAAATGATAGATATAATTCAGTCAGTTCAGAGAAATGGAAAAAGTTTTCATAGATTTTAAATACTAAAAATTTATTGCTGCTGTACTACATTAAATGCTTACAGAAATATTAAATGGATACCTGCAAGAAAATTTTAGTTGAGTAAATGAAATATCTAGAGCAGGGGTGCCAACTTGAATAAAATATTGGGGAAGGGGCACAGGTAAGCCCTGCCCATCATAATCAGTTACAAGGCACAGTGCACACACATCATTTGAATGGCAGTGCCCGTCAGTTAGGGGGCGGGAGAGAAGAGACCTCTGCCCCTAGGAGTTAGCACCTATGGTCTAGAGCAGTGTTTCCCATATGGCCCCCTGGGAGGCCCCAGGATATTCCAAGGGGGCCCCAGGTGAAAATCGCGTAAATGGGGGTTAGCAGCATGAGGATAGCCATAGAGGGTAATGAGAAGTGGAAGAAAAAAATCTTTTTTTAAATAACCAGGCAATCAGGATTTTTTATTTATCTGCTTGGCCAAACACAAGCAGGTAAGGGGGTGGCCCACCAGGGGTTGAAATCCACCTCAGCCCCTAGCTGAGCGGGGTGGTCTTGTGCTGCTGACTTGCATCTAGTAAATAACTAAGTGTCTACTCAGAAGAAAGCCACACTGAGTTCATTGGGCCTGGTAAGCTTTTGTGGGGCTATAGGCAGCCGGGGTCCTCTGAACGATAAGATCTTTTTCAGACAGGTCAGTGTGGACCACTTGCTTTTAAAAATTCTCCCATATATACAGAATTCCCTGTGCACCTTTTGGACAGTATCTGTAGGATTTCCGCTCTGTGTCAGATAACTGGGGTAAAATAAGTGTTGTTTACTTTTTACAATACATGGAAGATAGATCTCCCTCGGGAGGTTCTGGATTTTCCTTTCTTGGAGGTTTATAAGCAGAGGTAGGATGGCCATCTGTCATGGAGGCATTAGCATCCATGTTTTTCTGCTTCAACAATATTTTATTATGTTCTTATCATTCTATGTAATTGTATTTTGTATAAATTATAAAAATTATAAATAAAACATGTTCTGTTTACAAACAAAACATTTAAATAACTGCTTTTCTACCGGTAGGATGGGGGGCAGGACATGGGCATAGCCAGGATTTTATTTAGGGTGCAGGCTTTGGTTGGGGGAGGCAGAACTTCAGATTTGTATTGATTTTTACTTATTGGGGGGGCAGCTGCCCCCTGTCTCTCCCCCCCCCCCCCCCGGCTATGCCCATGGGGCGCCACAGGAAGGAAACAAGGTGGGAAGGTGGCTATGGTAGGAAAAAGGTTGGGAAACACTGATCTAGAGAATTGCACCTTGGAACAGGATTCAAGATATAACATCAGGATCTTTTTTTGGGGGGGGGGGTTAAGTTGTTTGAGAGAATAATGCATTGCTCTAGTTTAAAAGTAACGTGCATATAATATGTATTGTTTATATAATTGTGTGGTTTTGGTTTATCTTGTTCTTGTACTTACAATTTAACTTCATTAGATTCATGCTAGATGAAAAATGGGAGAGGTTATAGTCAAATTAAAATGGATGTAATGAAGGTGGAAGGAGAAAGCATGGCTTAGTTACTGCAGGCCTGGTTGGTACCTCATTTAAGCCACAGTTAAAATAAACTATGGATCATAAAACAAAATTCCTGTTCACTGCAGCAGTGCTGAGGACTGGGGAGTTGTCGTAGTTTGTACGTAGTTTGATCTTCAAGAAATACGTAGTTTGATCTTCAAGAAATTTAAGTGAATGAGAAAGCTCATAGATTTAATAGTCCAAAGTTAAGTTGGACTTACAGTTGCAGTATAATACAAAACACTAGTTCATCTACTTGTTTGCCATTCAATTTTTAAAGTTTCTAAAGTAACTTATAACTACAGTAAATAGTAGCAAAAAAACTAGAATCGAAATAAAATGCAAAACATTGGAATAAAAGCAACATTGAAATGATTTAGTTAGCAATTAAAAGCGTAGGTCTTTTCCAGAACAACATTAAAGTAAGCACTGGGAGAACATCCTGTGTACAGTCCCTTCTCCCTAGTTTGTGAGTATACCTGGAAGGGGCCTCCAAGGATTACTTTACTTATTAGGAGTTTGTCAAGCGATTTTAAGCAACAGTGAAATGAGGTCAAGTTTGTTTCTTGCTTTTTCTCACACAATTAATAAATTACTAATTCTAAAATGTTTAGCTTATGTAAATAATTGTTATTTTTGTATTAGGTTATATTAACTTGTTTTAATCCTATTTGTGTGTTAGGTCTTGTCTAACAAACATGTGGCTCCTGATCACTTGCTGCAAATTTGCAGGCGGATTGGCCCTATACTGGATAAAGAGATTCCACCCAGCATTCCGAGAGTGAACTCTTTATTGGGTGCAGGCAAGCAGTCCTTACTGCGAACTGCAAAAGGTATATTTTGACTTTTTAATGTGGCTTGGTGTGTTCAATTCTAGTGACTATATATGAACCTTGCATTGGTACAAGTATGTACTGAAACTTCCAAGACTAGGATGCATGAACTTGTCACCCATTTAATACATGCTGTCAGCACAGATCCAGCTTTGAGCTCCTCCTTTCACAGACATAGTGGTTATTGATATTTTGGTTTAGAGGTTTATTCTAGGAGATCAAAAGAAAACCTTATGTAGAATACAATTATCTGCTTCAAACACAGACATCTGAGATCTTCAAATAAAGGGTGGTATACATTTTTTCCATGGGGGTGGGATTACAAGTCTAGTTATGTAATACCATCTCCACAAAAAACATTACTTTGAGTTTTTAGTGTCATTTCAATCAGATTCTTAAGACATTAATAGTTAATATGGGTTCTCCAGAGACAAGTGGAGGGAGAGAATTGTTACCTTCCCTTACGTATGAAAAGAAAGGGGACCAGGTTTCAACAAAAGTGTCTCTTTGTAACTACCTTTCTAAGTGTCTCTTTGTAAGCTACCTTTCTAAGCCCTTAGTCATTCTGAGATAGCCACATCCCAAATGTTGTTGAACCATACTTAGAGGGGTAGCTCAGCCTGAGATTTCTGAAATTATGTTATCACCAAATGCATGACCATCAGTAGAAAGAAAACTTAAAGCTGCTTCACCCTAAGTGAAAGTACAGCACCATAAGTTGCTGTAGTTGTAACAGGTTTTTTTTGGGGGGGGGTATGAGAAAGAAACCTATAAATACTTGGCTGAGAACCTGTGAAGTGAAACTGCTTTGTACTTTGCTTATGCTTCTCCTTGTATTACACAACTGCTCTTTCCTCATTTTTCTTCTCACTTAAGAACACAGAGTAGCTAACAATGCAAAACATCTTCGTATAGCAGCTCATTTGTGTATATGTTAGTTACATCTCTAGGGATAGCTAATGGCCAAGAGCTTCCTAGTATACTAAGCACAACTGTTTCTTTTCATAAAGTGAAGAGGAAATATCCTTGGTTATCAAGAATAAATATTCATAATTGGAGAAATGAGTAGAGAAATAGTAAGGAACATAAAAACAGGAAAATGCAAAATCAACCAAGTGGGCACAGTGAATGTTCATTTTAGTGAATGATCAGGATACCGTATCCTGCAGTCAGGGGCTGGCGCTTGGGGTTTGTAAAACATAAAACTATTGAAACCATTGTTCTGTAACTAATGCTTGATATAGAGTGTCCCCAAAAGTACAGGAGTCCTTAGTTCAATATGTTATTGATAGAGCCATTGATTGAAGTTTTAAAATACTAAAGGTAGGTGTAACAAGCTTCTAGTTAAACTAGGCCATTTTAAAAAAGTGAACTTTTAAAGCATTAAAGACTCATAAATTTTGAAATAGTGTTTGAATAAATTTTCTGAGTAACTCTGCGTTCAACTGAAATGCAATTTGCAGATTCCAGAAATCCCATTTGGAAAGGCTCAGTCATTGCTACCCTTCATAGAGGAAGACCTCCAGAAATTCCTGTTAACTGTGACAAAGCACCAAGTTTTGGTAAGTTTATCTTTCGCTTATTAACCTACTATGTTCTCAGTTTTTTCACTTCTGGTTTCTTTGTTTTGTACTGGCTGTTTTGTTTTTTGTGCCCTGCCACAGTAGGGGTAAGAAACTGAAACTGTAAAATAAGGAAATAATTCACAGCATGAAAGATGGGAACAAACTATTACTATATGTTCACACTAATGCTTATATATTAAAATAGCTGGTATTAGTTATGCTGAACTTTACTTAAAAGTAAAATAATGGGAGAAGCAACTCCTACAGGGTACAACTCCTACAGCAAGCATTTTGTCCTTTTCCCAGCTGTTTATATTATAATATACTTCTGCAATACCACATAGCCATTTGAGGTGGACATTCCCCAGAGGCTCATGGAGGACAGCTTTAACACTGGGATGGCTCCTCTCTGACTGGGCAGGCAGGGTCAGATGTAGATGCTTGCTGGAGGATTTCACATTCTCCTGTCTTTTTAGCTTGGCACTGACATAAATCGGTGCCTAATTTCAGCGACTTCCCCCTTATTTTTCTTGTTTTTCTTTCTCTTTCAATTTCCCCTTATTTTGAAGCTTCATTCCATTTTTGTTCTGGTGGATCCCCCCCCCTCAAAAAAAAAAATTCAACGGGGAGGAGGACAAAGGCAGGCTCAGCTGAACCTGGGAGAAAGAGCCACACAGCTCTTTGAGGAAAAGTTCCCCCGAGCCCCAGGCTCTCTAGGGAGCAGGAAGAGCTGCACATCTGGTTACTGTGGTTCCAGCAGGCTCCTTCTTCCCAGCTGATGTGCATGGCAGTGCAGTAGCAGCAAAGGGCTTCCCGCCTCCCATATCATGGGGGAATACATGCCTCCACAAAGTTTATGCCTTTGCAAGTGAAAGTGAAACATGAGTAGAGATTCCTGAGAAAAGTGGTAAGGCCTATTGCCTATTTTTAATCATGCCACAGCGCACATAAAGAAATAGGTGCATCGTGCATGCAGGTGGCCTTTGCCACCTAGAAAGATGATGGATAAACATTCAGGAATTTTTATTAGTTGAAAAGCTATGAAAGGAGGATATTTGTGATAGCTCAGAATATATTCCAGATCCTAACCCTGGTAGCATCTCCAGTTCAAAGGATCAAGTGGCAGGTGGTTCTGCCATGAGATCCCAGAGAGTTGCTGTGTCAGTAGACTGGGCTAGATAGACAAATAGTTTGACCTGGTGTAGGGCAGTTTCTTACGTTATTGTTTTGAAGTTTTTTTAGAGTACTCCAACCAGCATAATTACCTTAAATTCAGGTTTACATCGGCATGGTGACTTTTTGAAAAATCCTTAATGAATGATTGACTTATTTCTCTTCTAGTGGAAGTAAATTATGCAAAACAGTTGACCGGATGTACAAGATCCAGTTCTATATTCCAAGGCAACATGTATCAGCATATGAAGATGCACAGAAGAATTCTTGGTCACCTCTCGGCAGTTTACTGTGTGGTATTTGATAGGACTGGACACAGGATATTCACTGTGAGTTTCTGTGCATTCTGAAATTTTGTCCCCTGTAGGAAAAAGTGAACTGTAGCAGAACCACCCATCTTTGTTAACGTATTTTACATGCATTGAGAGGTAAACAACTACTTCTGTGACAATTGTTCACTTACTCTTTTGGTTACTGCTTTTTGATGTCTGTCCCTTGAAATTATTTATATTTTATTTCTCTAAAATAGATGTGTATTTTTGCTGAATTTATATTCTGTTCTGTTTAGAGTGGTTTTGTGTAGAATGGTCTACAGATGTAATGTTTTTATAATTTTCAGTTTTATCCTAACCTTGGGACCTTATGGTGAAGGCTGGATTAAAAAAACTTACAAAATTAAAAATAATATTATAATTATTTATACACACGTAAAGAGAAATTTCTGCTTTTTTGGTGGATAACACTTCTGCTTTTTAAAAGTGGTTTTGCTCTTGAGTTACTGAGCACTCACAAACAGTAATCAGAAATGTAATACATATTTTAGTGTGTTCTGTCACACAGCAATATTTTTGTCTACTTTCCAGTAAAGCAGCATGGTAAACTTCATGAATGATAAATGAATAGAAAAGAAGCATTACAACAAATACTGTCTCTCTTGCTCACTTGTTCTTTGTTTTAGCTAGACTGATTCATAGATGATAATAATCAGCAGTATTGCTACTAATTTATCTCAACTGAATTTTGGAATTCTTGATGCTTTTGTATGTGGGTCTTTATGTTTGTTTGTTTTGCTTATTTGTTTTTAAACATATTTCAGACTTCTCTAATGTGCCTTTCAGCTTAAAATGATTTTTTTCTCTCTTTAGGGGTCAGATGACTGTTTGGTTAAGATTTGGTCCACACACAATGGCCGGTTACTTGCTACACTGAGAGGCCACTCAGCAGAAATCTCTGATATGGCAGTAAACTATGAAAACACAATGATTGCTGCTGGCAGTTGTGATAAAATTATCAGAGTATGGTGCCTCAGAACATGTGCTCCAATTGCTGTTCTGCAAGGACACACAGGATCAATTACATCTTTGCAAGTAAGTTTTTAGCTAGCTGGATGTTGCTTGTTTTGTGTGAAACGTGCGCTAATATATGCTCCAATGTTTTTTAAAAGTTGAGCCTTTTTCTACTACACCTTGGACACTGATTTATAAGTTTTCTGTAAAATGTGGCAAAAGCTGTTTCTCCCACTGTGAATTATTGGAGATTCGGTAAACGACCTGTATTTTGTTTTGCTTGTATCTTCAAATAAAATTATACAGTGGTACCTCGGTTTACGAACTTAATCCATTCCAGAAGTCCATTCTTAAACAAAAACTGTACTTAAACCGAGGCTCGCTTTCCCTAATGAGGCCTCCCGCTACCGGTGCCCTTCCACCATTCGGCTTCCATTTGTAGACCGAGGTAAAGTTCGCTAAACAGAACACAACTTACGGTTTTGTAGAGTTTATATACTGAATAGTTCGTAAACAGGGCTGTTCTTAAACCAAAGTACCACTGTACTTTTAAACGTCAATGAATATAAGTTTGGGAAATCTGAGTGAAATTGTTTGCATATGAGCAGACTGTCAGTTTTTGCAGCGTTCAGTACTAGATTAGTTTCCTCATAGAAGATTAAATGACAGGAAACTAATGCATATGTTATGCATCAGTTATGCAGCTTCCAGCTCAAAAGCTGTTGGCACAGTGGCAGTGCATGTGTTTTTCCAGGTGTTATAGCACATGTACCTGGTTTTTCCACAACTCCCAGCTGTGTGTATACAGTAGCAGTGACACATGTACTACCGTTTGATGTGTAAAGAAGTCCTTTATAGTGGCTGATAATACAAAAGCGTCCATTATGAGACTTAAGTTGTCAGTTCTAAGGTACAGTATTCACTGTCTCCTCTTGTACTAGTACTGTATTATCATGGTTTCATTTTTGTTTAGTTTTGCTTTCTGATATTTTGCTCAGCTTTATTCATGCTCAGCTTTATTCAGTCACATTGTACATCATTATACTATGTCATTCTCATAGTATAACATTAGCATTGTATAAATTATGCATGGTGTATGTGTATTAATGCCAAGTAAATATATGTAATAGAAAAGTCTGACAGGTTATCAGTTTATATCATATTTGCTTTAAGTGAAATTTAACATTTGATGTTCAATAAAAATACTTTTGAATATTTTGTAGAAGATGCATGCAAAGGAAACTTGGCTTAAAAACTGAAAATAAATTTTGGACAGTGAATGTCACTGCATATTGTTATCTTGTTTCCTTTAAGATGCACAGTAACCTTCAATTGGTTTTAACTTACAGTTTAGTCCATTGGCCAAAGACTCAGTGCGCTACATGGCTTCCACAGGTGTTGATGGAACAATTTGCTTCTGGCAATGGGATACCATTTCTATGAAATTCAAGTATGTAACCATCTTTAAGTTCTCATGATGCAAGGCATTTTTTAGTTCTGTCAGATCAAATTTTATATTGTGACATAGAAAATAAAGTGTGAGCTTCAAAACAGGTAATAGTCTATTGAGATCCTTTTCTTGAAAATATAAAGCAGTATAGAAATGAAATAAATAATACTGTTGAAGTAAGCAAAATAAAAATGATACTGCAACTGTTCTGCAACATATAGATGCATGAAGAAATTTGAAGCAGGCTTTATTGTTGTATTTTCTAAAATGAATATCTTTGTGGAATTCGTTGTACTTTTTAAAAAATGTATTTTTAAAACCTGTTTTTGTTTCTAAAGTAACCGGCCACTGAAATTCACAGAAAAACCTAGACCTGGAGTTCAAATGCTTTGTTCTTCATTTAGTGTTGGTAAGTATACATGCTAATGAAGCAGGTTGTTCTGTCTTCAGTTGAGAAACCATAAAGATTTTTATTTTACTTTTGCTAAAGCATGTAAATTAAATGTATTACTTCTTATAGTGATGGTAACGTACCTTCATATATTATACAGAATTCAGACTGTATGGCACTTTACAAATTAAAAAGGTTTTAATTGAAGTAGAATACCTTTTTAGTTGTCAAGCATTGATGGCTATGCATTAATCATCGTCTAGAGATAGATTTTCAGTGTTATAATAAGTAGTTATATTAGTTCTAGAAATAATGAGTTGGGTCCAGATTAAGCTGGTTGAACTTCAGTCCTTTTGCAATCAGTGGGACTTAAGTGCAACTAACCCATTTGGATCCAATCCATATTTTTATAGCTTGCTGCCTGTTAGCATTCTAAACTACTGTTTAAATTTTCAGGTGGGATGTTCTTAGCAACTGGAAGTACTGACCATGTTATCAGAATGTATTACTTTGGTTCTGAAACACCTGAAAAAGTTGCAGAGCTAGAGAGCCATGCTGTAAGTAATTCAGTGTTAAATTTAAATGAACTCTTTTAATTATATATATATTTACATTGAAAGAAGCTGTTCTAAAATCTGACCGATGCAGACTTAAGACCTGATCTTAAAATCCAGGTTACTGCAGTTGACATAATTAGGAGGTGGGACAAATTGTACTGTTAACAGATTGGTTCTGTTAAAGGTTTTGTGTGAACGTAAAACCTTGATCATAGCACAGTGGCCACCTTTTATACATTCAGAATCTCAGCTTCATAAGTCAGGAAATGCAAGCTTCATGCACCCTTGCATGCAAAGGCAGAAAAGCCAGAAACCCAAAGTTTAACTTTAGCTTTCCATTGTGTCTGAACCAGGAAACAATGGTTAATTGCTTTTAAACAAGGCAGGATCGGGAAGCCATAATTTAAATTTGGAATATAATGTGTACCACTGGAAGCACCATTTCAAAAAGGATTATTTATTATTTAGTTTCTTAAATGTTTTATAAATATGTATACATTATAATGTTAAAATATTCATAAAGTATTCCACTCTAAGAGAGGGTACATAATTCATTGTACAACATACACAACCATAAGTAACCAGCACTAATCTTAAAACAATAAACAGAGCACAATATTAGACAGCAAACTTAACAGCATGCAAATACCTGAATGAAGTCTTGACCTGATACTGAAAAAAAATCTAGAGTTGGTGCCACATGAGCCCCAGACAGGAAAGATTCTTTATAGCTTGAGTGCTACCATAGAGAAGGCCTCCTCACATAATGTACAACTCCTAAAGGTGAGATGCAAAAGAGAGCCTCCCCGGAAGGTGTTAATGCAGGCTGAACAGTGTACTGAGACCCAGTCCAAATTCATTAGTTCCACACTGTTTAGGGCTTTATAAATCATCAGCAACACTTTGGAATTAGACCAGAAAAGTATTTGTAGCCAGTGCATTTATTTTAAAACGTGTGTTGTTAGGCCTCTGTATGCCTTCCCACTTAGCAGCCTGGCCCCCATATACTGTAGCAACTGCAGCTTTTGTGTTGTTTTCAAAGGCCGTCCCATGTAGAAAGCATTACAGTAATCCAGTTAATGCAAGGTTACCATTGTGTAGTTCACTGGGGCACAAGAGCAGAAGGTGGTAATTACTCTCGTGCCCAGATTGCAGTTTCCAGACAAATCTGGCTGACCACTTTGGGAAACAGGATGCTGGAGTCAATTAATGGATATTTCGACTAATGTAACAGGGCTCTTAAATTCTTGGCCCTTCTCATAATTCAACTAGAGAATAACCAATTCTTTCCTATTCATGGACAGTCCCGTTGGCATCCGTTTGTCCCGGGAGACAATGGAGGAGTGTGCCTTTGGGGGTGAATTCAAAGCACTGGAGAGTTACAGTCCTTCATCTTTAGAATTAATATTCCTTTAATCACAAAACAGGGGTGGAGTGACTTATGCATTTAATGGGCATAGTTTGCGTTCTATTGTAACACATCTTTCTCTCTTGTAGGACAAAGTTGACAGCATTCAGTTTTCTAATAATGATGACAGGTATGTTACACTGAGAGATGCTGAGTGGAAAAACCAGTAAACTGGAGAGTCCTAAGAAAATCTAGCAATACTGTAAAACAGAAAAACAGTTTAGACCAGTATGGAACAGAATTCAAATTGGAGTTGAACTCTCACCAGCCCATCTAGCGTGGCCAGTGGTCATGTATAATAAAATTTTGAGCCCAACATCAGGAGTGTACAGGTTTCCCATCTTAGTTACAATGCAGACTTACATATAGACTAATGTAGAATTTTTAATCCATTTCTTTCTCTGCACCAGTTCATAAGAAATTGCCTTATGCTTAACTGGATGTTGCTAAATTCCTGGTTTGTTCACACTGAAGGTTCATTTTTTTCCTTCACAGCATGATCTGATTTTTACATTATAAATCTTGAGGAATGTTATATTTCAAGGCTTTTGGTAATTTCAAGACAGCATAATTGACCTAATAATCTGGTTAATTGCTATAAATGCCTGATAAATTCCATGAAATGTTTTTCCTCTTTTTGTTTGTTTTCCTACAAGTCAAAGATAGCAATTTTGGAAGGAAGTAGAGGAGCATGACTTCAATGTCATTCACACAAAGTTACTTTTAGTGTAAGACAGGGTTAGGGAGCCTGTGACCCTCCAGATGTAGGGCTCTAGTTCCCATCATCCCAGACCATTGTGCTGTGAGGATGGTGCTGATGGGAGATGTAGTGGCACCCGCCCTGTGGAATGCCCTCCCACCAGATGTCAAAGAGAAAAACAACTACCAGACTTTTAGAAGACATCTGAAGGCAGCCCTGTTTAGGGAAGCTTTTAATGTTTAACAGGTTATTGTATTTTGGTGTTCTGTTGGAAGCCGCCCAGAGTGGCTGGGGAAACCCAGCCAGATGGGCGGGGTATAAATAATAAATTATTATTATTATTATTATTATTATTATTATTATTACCCAGCAAGATCTGGAGGGCCACAGTTTTCCTGCCCTCGTTCAGGAAATAGTATGTGCATGAAGTCTTTTGATCACATATACTAGATTGGTGTAGGAAAGCACTGGATGTGCAGTTCTAAAAAGTCTAGAGATGCACTGTTTGACCTTTATTTAGTGCAGGGGTGAGGAGCCTTGGACATGGGAAGTGAATGCATCCCTCCAGGCCTCTCACCCTTGCAACTCCCTTCAGGCCATACTGTTACCCCAGCAACACTTCATTACGAGACTGTTTTGCACCCTCCTTTAGTGTTTTTGCCAGCAATTGCCATCACTTCCCTCAGTGCAGTAACGTATGAACTTGATGCTCTTCTCTGACACCCATGCTTAGGCCCCACTCAGGAATTTTCTTTTGCTTGAGAGAAAGAGAAATTACACAAGTGAGATCTTTTGAGTGATTTCATGGAGCAAGTGGCTTGTTCATCTCTTAATGGGGTGTGGGGTTACCCTTTTCCTGTACCGCCTGAGAGTTGCCACTGCTGCCAACCTATGAATGAGGATGGAAATAATTTATAAAGTAGTGGATGAGGAAACATCATGGATTAGAAAGACCAGTGGGATTTTTGTGATTATGCCCTCTGGTACAGAAGACTTTCACTTTTTTTTTTAACTGCTCATGGCAGCTGTTTTGGGCTGGTACCCACAACACTCTTATTTATGGGCACCTCAGATTTTTTTTACCAAAACAAAGCCCAGAAAAAGATAGTCCATTGATTAGGGTGGTAGGAGGGTGTTGCATACATTTTGTTGTAATACAGCACTCCTTTACTCTGGAATGTGGTGGGGAGTTAGATTCACTTCCAAATTTTCTGATTGCAAAGCTGACACTCTCCTATGTCCTTGGGAAATGTGTTTGAACTGGTTGGAGGCAGCCTTTGGAGAATAGTGTTCTCCAGTCATACCATTTTTGTATATGCAGCATGCATATTTAAAACTTCTGAAAGGTGCCTCTTAAATCTGAACACTATGCTTATCTTTTATATGTCACATAGTATCTTTTAAACTTATGCCAAGGTTCATAAGTGGCAGCAGAGATGGAACAGCCCGAATATGGCGCTTCCAACAAGCTGAGTGGAAGAGTGTTTTGTTGGACATGGCTGACAGGCTATCTGGGTATGTGTAGTGTATTTCATTTATATGGGGTATTAGCATTGAGTGACTATGAAATTTACTATATTATTGTAATATATAGTTACCTTGTTTAGTCGAATGAAAGCTGCTAAGTAGGGTGGGAGTGTAAAGCTTGTTTTTGTTGGAAAACAGTTATGAGTATGCTTAGCTGCTCTAGTGGTAAAGTGGTATATCTTGCAAGGAAGTTTTAGTCTTCAAACTGCTAGTGTGAAGTAGGAACACCCATCAAAGAAAAGGGAAGAACCACCCAGCTTCTGTTTGCTTATTTTCCTCATTTTCTGGCATCCTCTATGTTAATCTGACACAAACTTGAAAGCGCTGTTACTGGTTCATTCACTTTCCAGAGCAAGAAGTGCCTGTCATTTTTAGCACACCAGGGTAATTGATGCTGCTGCTCCTGCTCTAAAATGTTTGTTTCAATCTTTTCTGTAAAGAGATTCCCAATATATTCTGATACTTGCGTTTCAAGAAGCTTAAATTTAAATTTTCACTTGAATAGTTTGTTAGATCTCTAGATCAATACTTTGTTTGATTTTTATTGGGCAAGCAGATTAAACTTCTATCTTGATTTTGTTAACTTTAAAAAAAAATGTTAAAAATTCTGATGTATTGAAATGGTTTAATTTATTTGAAATAGTGATTTGTGTTCAGAAGAGGACAGATATATGAAGCCTAAAGTGACCATGATAGCTTGGAGTAAAAACGATAAGTTGGTGGTTACTGCTGTGAACAATCATCTGCTGAAAGTGTGGAATTCTTATACTGGGCAGCTTCTTCATGATCTCACAGTAAGCACTGATTCAGAATGTGGCATTTTATAGAAACCTAGATCAAATATTGTATTCTACGTTCAGTCTTTTAAAATAAGAATTCCAGCTAACTTCAAAAGTAACATCTCTTTCTACTCCTATTCAAAAGGGACATATGGATGAAGTGTTTGTTTTGGAACCCCACCCATTTGATTCCAGGATTATGTTGTCTGCAGGCCATGATGGGAACATTTTTATCTGGGATATAATAAAAGGCATTCAGATAAAACATTATTTTAACTTAGTAAGTATTATTTCTCTTCAAGCAATTTGTGTTCATTTTTCCATTATGTTCAGTATTTATCCACTTGTTTGAACAACTGTGATAAAGAGCTACATAACTTATTGTCTCCTCTACTTACGAATGCGATCCATTTAATCCATAAGTAGAACACTGCTACTGCGTGTGTGCAAAGCGCAATAGAGTGCTTCTGCGCATGCGTGAAGCGCGCGCGGTGAACCCGGAAGTAAACACTTCCGGGTTTGCCGCATTCGTAACCTGAAAAGCTGCAATGTGAAGCAAACGTAACACGAGATATGGCTGTAGAATTAAACAGGCCTTGTACAGCATTTGTTTAAACACTGGCCTTTTGTTATTTGCTATCAGAAGTCTCTTGAATATTACAGTTGCTTCTAGTTCTAAAATTGGTGTTCTGTTTCCTATTGGTATTTTTTTGCTGTGTGCCAAATTATAAAATTAAGATATTCATATAGACCAACATAGTGCACTGTAGTAAGTGGCAAGTGTTGCTTGTTGATCAGGAGGGAGACACTTCTCTAATGAAATATTTGTCAATTGACTGCTTTAAAAATAGCAAAATACTTGTAAGTTCTGTGTTGTTATTCAGATTGAAGGACAAGGACATGGTGCTGTCTTTGACTGCAAGTTTTCATCAGATGGACAACACTTTGCCTGTACAGATTCTCATGGGCATCTATTGATATTTGGCTTTGGTTGTAGCAAACCTTATGAAAAGGTATTTTTTCAGTCTTTCTCAATTATCATTCCTAGAAAAATTAGTAGTGTTAATAAATGTATCTCATGTTCAGCCTTTATTTCTTCTGAGCTTGTTGATTTCTTTTTTTTTTATAATTAATTTTTATTCAATTTCCAATATGCATTCCATCCATGTTTAACATCCACTTCTAACATATACATCTTTTAGACTTCTCTCAGCCTGTCTGACAATTTTCCATATTATCACAATTACCGTATTTTTCGCCCTATAGGACGCACTTTTTCCCCTCCAAAAATGAAGGGGAAATGTGTGTGCGTCCTATGGGGCGAATGCAGGCTTTCGCTGAAGCCTGGAGAGCGAGAGGGGTCGGTGCACACCAACGCCTCGCTCTCCAGGCTTCAGGAAGCTATCCGCAAGTCTTGCAAGCCTGGCGGGAGGTCCCGCGGGCTCGCAAGGCTTGCGGGCAGCAGCCTGCAGCCCAAAAGCTCGGGGGACAGCGGGGAGGCGCAGCGCCGCCACCCCGCTATTCCCCGACCTGGTCTGGAGGCTGGGGGGGGGGGAAGCAAGCTTGCTTCTCCTCCCCACCAGCCCCACAAGTTCGGGGGATAGCGGGGTGGCGGAGCGCCGCCACCCCGTTATTCCCCGACCTGATCTGGAGGCTGGCGGGGGGGAGAAGCAAGCTTGCTTCTCCCCCCCGCCAGCCCCACAAGCTCGGGGGATAGCGGGGCAAGCTGTCCCTGAAGGCAGAAGAGGGAGACGGAGCGCTCCGTCTCCGTCTTCTAGCTTGGGGATGGCTGCGCAAAGCCTCTGCAGGGCAACGGAGTGCGCTGCCCCACAGAGGCTAGGGAGGCTGTCCCTGAAGGCAGAAGAGGGAGACGGAGCGCTCCGTCTCCCTCTTCTAGCTTGGGGATGGCTGCGCAAACCTGGGGGGGAAATAAAAATTTTTCCCTTGATTTCCCCCCCAAAAAGCTAGGTGCGTCCTATGGGCCGGTGCGTCCTATAGGGCGAAAAATACGGTATTCACATTTCTTAAATTTATATTGCGCTTTAACAATCTTAATCTTATCATATCTTTTAAGCAACATTTCTATCAATCGTTTTCACAGAGCTTCTTGAAAGCCAACAAGCGTTAATTGCTCCTCACATACATTTTTGATATACTCTGTAAATTTATTCCAGTCCTCGGTGAATCTCTGATCGCGTTGGTTCCGAATTTTCCCCGTTAATTTGTCCATTTCTGCATATTCCATCAGTTTCATTCTCCATTCTTCCCTCGTCGGCATTTCTTCCTGTTTCCATTTCTGGGCCATCAAAATTCTAGCTGCTGTCACTGCATACCTAAATAACTTCACATCCTTCTTTTTAATTTCATTCCCTAATATTCCTAATAAAAATGTTTCTGGTTTCTTAACAAAAGTATATTTCAACATTTTCTTCATCTCATTATAAATCATTTCCCAGAAACCTTTCACTTTCTTACACTCCCACCACATGTGATAAAATGTTCCTTCTTTTTCCTGACATTTCCAACATTTATTACTGACTTTATACATCTTACCAAGTTTCACTGGTGTTACATACCATCTATACATCATTTTCATAACATTTTCTTTTATTGTAGTGCATGCAGTGAATTTCATTCCTTCTTTCCACAATTTTATCCACTCATCAAATTGTATATTATAACCAAAATCTTTGGCCCACTGAATCATAACTGATGAGCTTGTTGATTTCTGCTTCATGTGTACTGTATGTATAGACAATCAGTCTTTAGGCCCAGTTCCAGTGTAACCTTGATTGTTGGGACAGTGGATAAGCTTGAGTGCTTCCTTCTCTTCTTGCAAACCTTGCTTGAGAGGTGCCTCTCTGATTTGTTAAATCAATTTCCTGTTCTGTCCAAAACAGGAAGTGGCATTTGAGTGCTGCCTACAAGCCTAGTTTCCAATCCTGCTTTACAACCATTGATTAATTGATTAAATCACATGCCACTGGTTTGGTTATCTTTAGAAACTGTGGTTTCTAATTGAAATCTGCTTTTAAACTGAGCATATGAACCAGAGTGAAGGGGATGAGGAATTGCTCAAACTCATTACTTATTTATGCTTCAACAAACCGCAGTGTGTTAAAGCTGCCGAGTTACGTTTGAACCAAGCCTCAGTCAACTAAAGCTTCATTTGATAAATCTGTTAGGATAAAATTTAATCAGTGGGGTTAAGGCAAGGGCATGCTAAAAAATAAATAAAGATCATTTTGATTTTTGAATAAAGTACTGAACTGTTGAGGTTTTAGCTAGTCAGTCTGGTATTGCCCCAAACTTACCGAATCCAGTGTGGTTCCTCATGCTGAACCTATATTCTGCAGTTCTATAAAAAACTGTCACCCTAATTGTTAAAAATACACCGTCTCGTGGGATATTCAGAAAATAATATTCAACTGGGAATTTTGTTAATGGATAACATTGTATTTCATGGAGTTAAAACTTGACAAAAGGTGCAGAATGGAGGAAGATGTGAACCCCTACTAGGTGTTAGAAACATTGGTTTGGGAAACACATTGAGTGAACTGTTTTAGTTCAATAAGACCTATGAAGACCCTCTGCTTCTGAGGAAGTCCAGTGTGTTTGAAACATGTTGGCTGTTCCTCATAAAACTAATTACAGCATTCTGGCACCAACTGGAGGCCTGCCTCACCCTTCATCCTTCTGGTGTACTCAGTTTACTATAGTATTTAATGTCGTTTTCCTCCCTGCAAAGTTGATTATATTTAAGTTTCATTTCTTTCTAGATTCCTGATCAGATGTTCTTCCACACTGACTACCGACCACTGATTCGAGATTCTAACAATTATGTCCTAGATGAGCAGACTCAACAGGCTCCTCACCTCATGCCCCCACCATTCTTGGTAGATGTGGATGGAAACCCTCACCCAACAAAATACCAGCGGTTGGTACCAGGAAGAGAGAATTGTGCAGATGAGCATCTGATTCCTCAGCTGGGATATGTAGCAACAAGTATGAATGGCAGTCTTCCACCTCTAACTTTGATCTCATGAAAACACAATACAATCCATACTGTAGTCTTAAGTAGTTATGGTGTTATGTTTAGGGTATGCTATGTTAGTTATGTCTTCAACAAACACTTTTTGGATTTTTTTGTTTTGTATTATGCAACTTGATCGGTTAACAATATTCTTTCTTAATACAGTGGTGCCTCGCAAGACGAAATTAATTCGTTCCGCGAATTTTTTCATCTAGCGAATTTTTCGTCTTGCGAAGCATGGTTTCCCATAGGAATGCATTAAAAATCAATTAATGCGTTCCTATGGTCAAAAAAAGTCCAAACAAAGCCAAATTTGATACAACAAGAGTTTATTAAGTGCTCTTTAAAGTCACACATACTGTAAAGAGCATTTCAAAATTCAAACCCAGAATTTTTTTAAAAAAACAGCAGAGTGGCCCAATGGTCACAGAAAATCATAAAAATGCAGGGGGGAAAAGCAAGCTTCCAGATTCTTGCAAACCCCTCCCCAACTGTTCCCCCAGCCACCCAGCACACAGAAATTCAAATCCAGATTTTTTTTAAAAAAACAGCAGAGTGGCCCAATGGTCACAGAAAATCATAAAAATTCAGGAAAAAAAACAAGCTTCCAGATTCTTGCAAACCCCTCCCCAACACCAAGTCCTTGAATTCCAAACACCCCAACCCAAAATCCAAAACCCCCCAAAAAAGTTTTAAAAGCTTAACTTACCAAATGGCTGCAAAAGAAGTTTTGGAAAAGCTTCAAAAATCACCAAAGTCTTTAAAAACCTCAAAAAAGGCTACTATGTACACTGCGTTCTATGAGTTGGCTCCTCGAAGTCAAGTTGCAACTGTATTAACGGTGTTATGAAAAAGGAAACAAACTTGCAAGACGTTTTCGTCTTGCGAAGCAAGCCCATAGGGAAATTCGTCTTGCGAAGCAGCTCAAAAAACGGAAAACCCTTTCGTCTAGCGAGTTTTCCGTCTTGCGAGGCATTCGTCTTGCGGGGCACCACTGTACTCAGTGCTTGTAGAAACTATATTGAAAAGGAATCAGGTCTTAAAAACAGGCAACTTTATTTGTTAATATTTAAGACAGTATTTCTTAATCATTTACTTGAGATCTAGGGTAGAAAATCAACCAAGATATAAAATTTTCTAGTGCATTATTTTGCTGCAGAAATTTTTCCATTTCCTAAATTCATTAGTAGCAATGAATGGATGCCAATTGAAAATAAATATTAGACAGTGGACAGTTTAACTTCATTGACTAAATACAAGTAAAATTAATATGCTAATTGGATCACTCTCTAGGGCAGGTTTCCTCAAACTCTGCTCTCCAGATGTTTTGAGACTACAATTCCCATCATCCCTGACCACTGGTCCTGCTAGCTAGGGATCATGGGAGTTGTAGGCCAAAAACATCTGGAGGGCTGAGTTTGAGGAAACCTGCTCTAGGGCGTTGAAGCTTTTCTGATGCAAACTCAAGAAATTCCAGTTCAAAACTCTCTGGAAAACCCATATCACTGCTTGAGATAGTTTTTCAAGTTCTGAAGTAGGCACCAATTTAGATTGCTCTCCAAAATTATAAGAAAAGGGGTTAAGTATGGCCAAGGATACTTTCTCCTGGCTTTCTTTTTAAACTAGTGCATATAAGTTCTAAACTGTGTTTTTGAACTCTGGAATGTAAAAAGCATCTTGGAGATTCTGGAAGGCACCTTCTAAGCAAGAGTCTTAAGGAGGAAATTGAGAGCTTTTAGCATCTCTAGCTCCTAGCCATGGCTGCTAAAAAACTCCATTTCCCATTTATTCAGCAGAGTATTGACTGTTTCAGGATGACTGTGAGAGCAGGCAAAAAATCAACAACATAAAATGTAGAGGATTTTGTATTTTAAGAGATTGGTGAGAATGGGTTCAATATTCTGACAGTTGTTCTTAATTCTGAAATTGCTAAATGCGTGTGCTTTTCATTTAAATTTTGTAAGGTGATGGAGAGGTCGTGGAGCAAGTAATAGGTCAACAAACTGCTGACCAGGAGGAACCGGCTCTGGAACCTAGCATACTTGATGGCATGATTAGACATTTACAACAACAGCAAGACCAAAGAATTGGTTCAGATCAAGACATGCTTCCACCTGGGCCACAAAATGGAGATGAAACAGCTAGAAGAGGTCAGTGCTTGCTTTGAAGATTAGAGGGAAATTATAAACTTTTGCTGCTTATTAGTATCTCTGACTTAAAACATACTGATGTATCATGGTATCACATTACAGGTCAAAAAGCCAATTTGGGACACCCATCTTGTCTCTCACAAAATGAGAAATATAGTGTCCATAGTGTCATCTCTTTTATATAACTTCCTCCCCTTTGAAACATGACTTGATGCCTATCATTACTGTTTACTCCACCTTTGGAAGTTATTAATGTCCAGCTAGAATGTGTAGATATTTTGTAGTAAATACATAAATCTCTTGGGTCATTCAGAAGAGTACTTGGTCTGAAATCTACCATTATTCAGTAGAAGATGCAACATGCCAAAGCTATTTGCTGCTGGAATGTTTTTACTGCGTGTATTTTATGAATATCTCTTTCCTTTAGATTTCCGGAGGCCAAGCTCTGATATCCAGTCCGCTCCTAATATTGGCCTGAGACGTAGTGGTCAAGTTGAAGGTGTGCGCCAGATGCACCAGAATGCTCCAAGGAGTCAGATCGCTACAGAAAGAGACCTCCAGGCTTGGAGACGGAGAGTAGTTGTTCCAGAAGTGACACCCAGTATATTTAGGTGTGCAGGCTTATTGAACTAAAGATTATTATGGAAGCAAGTTATAAGTATTCATACCTTTAATTGAAAATTTAGGCATTTGAGAAATATTTTTTCACTTGGTATTAAAGTATCATTTCCTGAAGACATCATTTGATCAGCATAAACATACTGTTTCTGGTCTGTTTACTACCAGTTTATTCCCTTGCCATAACTTTAGAATCCAGTTCCCTTTAACCTTTCATGTTCATACTATTAACTCTAGATTAGAGCCTCTGGACAGGAGCTATAACACTGCTGTTCTACATGCTACTTAGTTTTATTTGTTCTGCTTCTCATCCAGTCACTGCTGCCAAAGGCCAGCATTAATTGAAACGCTAGCCTGTCATTTTTACATAGCATAAAACTGGTGTATACATGCATCAGCTTTCCTTCAAACCAGAGTTAGCAACAGAACTGTATACTGTAAGTACTTTGCCTTTCACTGATGTGATTCTGCTTTGTCTGACAAGCGTTTAAAATGCATTTTTCAGAAATCAAATGGAGTATAGGGTTGCAAAAGGAGAAGAAGAGAAACGCATATATACAATGGAACAAAAAAGGAAGTTATATCATTCATCAGAAAAGGTAGGAAATGTAAGATATAGAATGTCTTATGAGTAACATGAGGGTTCACAGGTTGTTACTCAGAGAAGAGATTTGAATGCAATAGAACTGTGTGCAAAGCTTGTTGTGTGACAGAGTTGCAGCAGTGAATGTATACATTATTTCCTCAAATCTCTTCTATGCTCTTAAATGACTTCTTCACATTGGAACCAGGAATAAACTGGAGTCCCTGGCATCTCCAGTTAGGACTGGGAAGGACACATATCTGGAACCCTAGAGAGCTGCTGCCAGTCAGAGTAGGCAGTGCTGAGCTAGATGGACCATGGTTCTGATTCTGTCCAAGGCAGCTCCATCTGTTCTAATGTAGATACAATAAAAGAGAAAAGAAATGGCAGCACTCAAACACCTGAAGGACTGTTGCATAGGTTCCTTGTTTTTTGCTACCTTAGAGGACAGGAGTAGATGAAATTGACTTAAGTTACAGGGTAAATTTCAGTTGAATATTGGTAGAAGCTTTTGACACTGGTTCAGTGGAACCAGTTGCCTAGAAGGCTTGTAGGTTCTCCCATGTTAGAGGCCTTCAAGCAAATCCTGGACAGCCTTCTGTTGGGGGGGCGCCCTGACTCTGGATTTCCTACATGAGCAACTGGCTAGACTAGATCACTACAAAGCCTCCTTTATGATACTGTGACTGTTTGAATGTTTTTCATTTAGAATTTGACAGATTAGGTTCCTTGTATCTCCTTTCTAGTAATTTGTAATGCATACTTCCACCTCTAACTTGGCTCTTCTTTAATGGTCCTAATTCAGAGTGACTCAGAAGATTCACTGATACAATCCAAGAGAAGGCTTTATAGACGCAAATATGCTTCATATCAAGCACGGAATAAGATTGAACAATCTGATTCTTCTAGTGAAGATGGAGATGGAGGTTCAGGATTCATTGAACAGGTGACTGCTCCGATTTCATGTTAGTAATTAGAACTATCAAAAATTCTGATTTCCATTTGTTTGTTTTCAAAGCCCTAGCTTTTACGAGCAAAGGCAGGGTAGATACAATTAGTATCAATTAGATACAGTTAGCAGAGCCCCCTTCAGTGCAGATAATAAGTAGGAAGCTGACATTTTAGTGATGCATTTTATTGTGTTGTACTAAGTGTCTGCGGACAGCGCTGGCTCCCGGCCTATAGAGTGAGATGAGCGCACAACCCTAGAGTCTGCAAGACTGGCCCGTACGGGCAGGGGTACCTTTACCTTTTTATGTAATCAGTTCTTTCTTAAATATCGTTTTCTTTTGTTGTAGTTTTGTAAATCTTCAACCTCGTGGTGATATAAGAGAAAGAATGAACAACTCTAAATATTTTCCCATTTTTAATCTAGGAGGCAGAAGAAAGTGATGGGATGAATTTGTCTTCCCATGAGGAAGAATGGAAGAGTGACAGCAGAACCAACAGTGATAGTTCCAGGTAAAATCGGTTTCAAGTATCAGTTTGTGATGTTTGTGAGCCTTGGCAAAACTAAATTTTTCCTTCTGAAAGTAACTTTTATTGGGGGGTGGAAATTATTTGTGATACAACTAGATGATGTGCTGGAAATAATGCTGTTTGGTGTTTAGCAGCAAATTAAAGTTTGAAAGGTACTAATTAAAATTAGTACTAATTTGAAAAGTCAAACTTCCCAGATTGTTAGATTTTAATTAGTACCTTGCAGTACAGTGGTACCTCTGGTTGCAAATGGGATCCATTCCGGAGCCCCTTTCACAACATGAGCAGAACGCAACCCGTGGTTTGCGATTCACCGCTTCTGCGCATGCACGTGGCATAATTTTGAGTGTCTGCGCATGCGCAAGTGGCAAAACCTGGAAGTAACCCTTTCCGGTACTTCCGGGTCGCTGCGGGACGCAACCTGAAAATATTTAATCCGAAGCGTCTTTAACCCAAGGTATGACTGTCATATCAATGACACACCCTCTATACTGGGATGTTTCTGTGTACTCTGGTGGAAAAAGGGAGAGAGAGGCTATCTCTTCTGCAAACTGTGTTCAGAGCACCAGGAGATGTACTGCCAAGAAGAGGGGAGAAATTGCCACCTCTTTTAGAACTCTGTAGTTCCTCATTGTAGTTTGAATGTTTGAAATTCTATGTACGTGACTTTATAGTGTGCCAGTTACAGAACTACTGTTGAAATTAACATTAACAGTCAGCTCTGAATAATATCCAACAAACTTTAAAACTAGTTCAAGTGCAGTCAGTTCTGAGCTAGTAGAGATCTCTAACTTGGCTGTGTGTGTTTCCCCTCTCTCTCTTCCCCCCGCTCAGTGACTCTTCAAGTGAATATTCTGATTGGATTGCTGATGCAGGGATTAACCTGCAGCCTCCTGTAAGAAGCTCTCGGTGCAAAACTATTAAATACTGTAGTTCTTCTGAAGATGAAGTACCACTAGGAAAAATGTCTACGCGAAAGAGAAAGAAAAAAAGACGGAAAAAATACAAACCAAAACAGCATGAGGAGGTAGTGATTCTGGTTTTTGTCAGTTTTTAGATACACCCAATCAGTTAATGTGATTTAGATTTTTTCCATCCTTTGAAGACATTCTAAAAATTATTAGTGTATTTTTATGAATAGAAGAGCACAGGAGCATTTCAATCCATGACATGAACATTGTAATGTCCTTGTTGGTTCATAATGCTATTCCAAACCATGGCTTAGCTTGAGCAAGGAAACATGCTTAAAGGTAATTGCAGCCCTATTTAAAGTGGACCTAGCCACAGTGATACAAACTTTGGTTACAGCCAGGTAACACTGCTGCAGGGATGAGGATCCTGCGGCTCTCCAGATGTCATTGGAGTCTTCCCATCAGCCTTAGCCAGATTGGCAAATGGTCAGGGTTGTTGGGGTTAAGTCCAGCAACAAGTTGGTTTGGAAAATTTACCTGGTGCAGAATGATACAGCCAGAGCACTTGTGGGAGCTGGATCTTGATATCTTATAAGACCTATTCTATATCAGTTGGCTGTCAGTTCATTTCTGGGACCAATTCAAGAAGCAGCTTTTCGTCTTCTAAGTTCTAAACGATTTGAGACAACATTATCTGAAGCGTCACCTACATCTGTAAGAGCCTGCCTAAGCATTAAAATCAGGAGACCCTGCTTTCTGGTCTGCCTTTGAGACCTGTTAGATGGATGGAATAGAAGGGTTAGGGCTTGCCCTGCACCTTTGGCACTCCCTCTTCAGGGATTTGCAAATGACCTCATCTCTGTAAAAACTCTGAAGTCTCCTTTATTCAAGGCTGTTTTTGGCTGAATTGTGCCGTACTTGGGGGAGGGGGGAATAATTAGCTGCTTATGGGGGTTTGTGTTTTGTTTTATTTTCATGTGACTTAGAAATTTGTAAGATGCCTTGAAAGACAGATTAAAAACCTTTTAAATAAATTAGCAGTCATAACGCTGTGTTATAATTTGGGTAATCCTTTATAATGATGCCCAGGTGAATGCACCCCAGCAGTCCTGGGAAGTTCAGCCTCCTGACTGGATAACAGATGTCAGACTCCGAAGGTCTCCTTTTGTTCCACAAATGGGTGATGAGGTAAGGGAATTTACACTGAATCTAAGCTTGATCTGGTAAAAGTAGCATAGCTAGCCTCAGTCCTGTGATTTGCTATGTCTTGGAAAAGTAGCCACCATCCACAAGTAGCAAGCTATTCTGTGGTGGTGCTCTCTTGTAAGGATTCTTTAGCTTTTAAAACTACAAAAAGGAGCAGCCACCTAAAAACAAAAGCAAAAAACAGAAAACAAGCTTGGATTGGGTACTAGCATGCCAGGCCACATGCCCAGCTTTCCCCATTCTGTCCTAAAGCGTTTCTGGACCTTGAGGCAGAAGCGACAGGTCTTGTTTGCATATACAGCTGATGTGAATAGCAGCATATCATAATTGGTCCTTGTGCTCAGCTTTATGCTGTGAATGGAAGGAGGAGAGTGTAGGAGTGGCTGGTTTCCTTTTCCCTCTTTCCATTCGACTTGGATGACTATGCAGTTTTGGCATGGGGGAATCGGTGAGTGAAACAGCCAGTGGGTAGCCAACCCCCTGTTAATGTAGCTAGCCTTGTAAGTAAATAGAGAAAATGTTTCTCAGTAAAATTAATTTTGAATTTCATTCACTGATTAAAAAAATTCATTTTTGTTAGGCGATATATTTTCGACAAGGCCATGAAGCCTACCTTGAAGCAGTGAGGAAAAGCAATATTTGTCAACTGAATCCTCAGAAGGAACCATGGAGAAAAATGGTTCTTAGGGTAAGACTGGTTCCGCATGGGTATTTGCATGCTACAAAGTACTTTACAATTCATCTCACTGGTCCCTTAAAGGAACCAGTAAAGTAGGCAAGGATGAGGCAGAGGTGAACCTAGTGAATTTCATACACTAGTTGTAGAGCCGGAAATGTTTCAGAAAAAGGGCAACCCAAATTATGAAAGGGTTGGAGTAGCTCCCTTCTTAGTAAAGGTTAGAATGTTTGGGGCTTTTTAGTTTATCGCTCAGGAAGATTTTGTTGCTTGAGCAAGCCTCAGCTGGAACCTGGAGTCCTTTATAGTCCTTCCTATCTGAGATGATACAATGGCCAACTTGGGCAGAGTCAGTTCAATTTCACAGCAAAATGAGAAGGCATTGCAGATCTGCTTTACCTAGAAGTAAGCCCCACTGAACTCTGTTGGATTTACTTTTGAGCACTCATGCACAGGTTGCACTATACGTCTTAAAATAGGTAGCCCTTTTGGCAAGGGGCCACTCGGTAACACGGTTACACAAATTTATGGTGTAACTGCACATTGAATATTGTTTACAGTTCTGGTCACCTCACTTAAAAAAAGACAATGTAGAGCTAGAGAAGGCCCAGAAAAGGGCAACCAGATGGATCAAGGGAGGTGATAATGTATATTTTAAAATCAATATAGGGAAAGTTTGATTAGGATCCAAAGAACCACAAGCAGAAAGGAAATGGCGGTGTTCCACTGCAAGGTGTAAAATAGTCCTTCCATAAGTGGAAAACACCTGCTGCGCCTTTGGATTTAATATCATCTCTGCCTTCCATTTTCCCCTGAAGTACATTTATCTTAATCTGTTTATTTATAGAAACAGAATTATGCCTGTGCTTTTGAAATGGCAAAATGTAGCAAAGGATTGACCCTTAGGAAGCTTAAGCACTTGGAAATGACTATAGGTTACATAGTGTTTTGCTTCTAGGATTGGGGAAGGGCCATAGATCAGTAGAGCACCTGCTTTTCATGCAGAAGGTCAGTTTCAGTCCGTGAGATCTTCACGTAGGGCTGGGAGAGAATTCTAGAGAGCCACTGCCAGTCCTTGTAGATAGTAGTGAGCTAGATGGTATGACTCTGTTCCTATGATTTGAGTTTTGAATAAGTTGCCCAGTGGGAAATCTAGTAACATATACCTATCAAAAATCTAAACTTTGAGTTGTTGTTTTTTGTAAGGTTATGAACTGTCTGAAGTTTGTGTTATGCCCATTGCTTCTGGACTTTGTTTCTATTCACACTTCATATACTGTGAATAATTGCACTATTGTTAATGAGATTCTTTATTATATGTCCATCTGTTAGGAACAAGAATTGGTAAAAATTGTTGGGATACATTATGAAGTTGGGCCTCCTACACTATGCTGCCTTAAGCTTACTCTTATGGATCATATTACAGGACAGCTTCTAGACAAATCATTTTCACTCAAGTATGTATTTTTCCCCCTTTTTTAAAAAAAGTTACATAATGCAGACAGTCTGTATACATTTGAAGACTAAGTTTTAATTTTTTCTCCTAGATACCATGATATGCCAGATGTTATTGACTTCCTTGTGTTAAGTCAGTTCCATGATGAAGCACGACAAAGGAACTGGCAACCTAGTAAGTCTATTTTTGTAATACTGCTGTACCCATGGGCCACCAAGCATTGAAACTAGGAAAAAATGAAAGACAATTTAGAACGATTCGCTAGCTGAATCATGGGGTGGTTTGTTGTTATGATTGTAATTTATTTCTTTATAACTGATAGGAATCGAATTTTAATGTTACTGGATCAATGATTTTTCAAACCTTGCAGTAGTGTTTGAATTCAAGAACTGTTATAGATAACGTTGATAGTCTACAGTTTAACCTGTGTTGGACCATGTGACTGTCTTATTGTGTTGTGATTGACCATTTGTATAGTGAATGAAACACAGTATTTTAATAGTCACATGTTGCATGTGCAATCCTAGACCAGTTTTTAAAAAAGTCAATGCGGAAGAATTGTATAGCATCTCATGTCTTTCCTACAGATGATCGCTTTCGTTCAATTATTGATGATGCCTGGTGGTTTGGAACAGTCCTGAGCCAAGAGCCATATCAGCCACAATACCCTGACAGCCCTTTTCAGTGTTACAGTGTTAAGTATGTGTTTTTATTTTTTATTTTTTTTAAAATGATATTTATTGAAAATTTTTAAAATTACAAAAAAAGACAAAGCAGAGAAAGAAAAAAGAAAAAACAGAAAAGAGGGGGGAAAAACAAACCACATCCAACAATACAAATTCAGTTAAGTATGTGTTTTTAGCATGGTTACTTGAGATTGATATTGAAGGTTGCCTTAAAAACAAAAGAGCATTCGTACCTTAACTACTGTTAATAATCTTTCGATGGCATGTCAGTGTTTATAATGAACCTAAAGAGGCGGAGGAAAATGAACTCTTAAGTTTACCTTTTCCTTTTCTTCTTTGGCTTTTTGCATTGAGCAAGAATGTAGATGCAGAGGCAGGCCACAACACCAGCTTCCCAGCAGCAGTGTCACTGTCACTTATTAAGAGGGAGAAGGACTTGGAGGTTGGGGCTGTGCACGTATATCAGCAGAGCTCACCCAGTGCTCCCTGCAGTGCATCTGCACTGATGTTTGTGCGGAGGATGTAAGAGAAAAGGATTGTGACTCAGTGAAGTTAAGAGTGGGAGGGTGCAGAGCAACATAAACAAGGAATTTTAAATATATTTTGTTGTTCCCTTTCTGTAATTCTTTCACCATGAGCAAGTTTCCTAAAATCTTTTACCTTAAAATATAACATTAAGTCTGATCATTCCTGGGGGTTATTTCTGTTTGAAAATTCCTTTACATATCTTTAAAATTTATTTTATTTTTGCTTATTTTTTTAAATAGATGGGACAATGGTGAAACTGAAAGACTTAGCCCATGGGACATGGAGCCTATTCCAGACAATGGTATACAAAAATCAAATTATGTCATTTTTTCTTGTTGAACAGACAGACAATAAATGGGTTAGGAGGTCAATAAACAATTGTGGGCTTGTGGGCTTTTGTTCTTCTGCTTCTACCCTTCGGGGAACATAGATGTGAGGGTTGGGCATTGCTAATTTTTCTGAAACCAGTGATTGAGATTCATGGGCGCACCAGACACTTTTCATCCCTGAGAGAGGGTAATCCACAAAGTTATGCAGTGATGAGCCTGAAAACAAATGTGTGCATGAGTTTGCTGTGCTTGCAGGTATATTGTCACTAGATCTGGCTAGTAGATTTTGTGAAGGATCACTACTTGTCAGCATGTGTGCTTATCCCCCAATCTACAGGCAGGAAGATTTCCTGTCTAAACTAAAGATTGGCATATTTGCTCAAGATGGAGCTCCACCAGTAGTTATGCTTTGCAATTATTTAGCAGTTAAGCAGGTTTTGTTTCAATAGCCAGATTTATTATACATAGGCTAAAGCAGGGGTGCCCAAACTTTTTTCAAATTTGGCCAGATTTGATGAAATGAACATATGTGAAGGCCGACCAAAGTTGTTGAGCTTTTTTTTTTAGGATTGAACTTTTTTTTTGGATTTTACTCCAGGACATATAATGCCACAGGCAGCCTTATTTTAGTTTTTATTTTACCTTATTTTACTTACCTAAGTAACAGATAATTGGACACTGATGTGTTGCCTTGCCCTTTAAGCAAGTAGGCAGCTTACATTTTAGCTGTTGCCTCTATACTGTAAAAAGGTAAAGGTACCCCTGCCCGTACGAGCCAGTCTTGCCAGACTCTAGGGTTGTGCGCTCATCTCACTCTATAGGCCGGGAGCCAGCGCTGTCCGCAGACACTTCCGGGTCACGTGGCCAGCGTGACAAGCTGCATCTGGCGAGCCAGCGCAGCACACGGAACGCCGTTTACCTTCCCGCTGGTAAGCGGTCCCTATTTATCTACTTGCACTTAGGGGTGCTTTCGAACTGCTAGGTTGGCAGGCGCTGGGACCGAACGACGGGAGCGCACCCCACTGCGGGGATTCGAACTGCCGACCATGCGATCGGCAAGTCCTAGGCGCTGTGTACCTAGTCTGAAAACAAAGGACCCGTTGAAGTATTTACAGAACTCCAGATCTAATTTGGACACCTCTTTTAAGGGAATTGATGTTGATAGATCTGAACCTGGATATTCAGTGAACAAAAATCAAACTTACATTATTGTCACGTGCCTGGCTACCTCTGACTTTAAAAGTTTGTATCATAAGAAGTGTAATTTAATGAACTTACTGCATTTTGTTTTGTTCGCCTAATGTCTCCTGTATTGCTTGAAAATAACTAGTTGATCAGCCTGTGGAACTGGGAGCTAGTGTTTCTGTGACTGCTGAAGAGATGGCAAAATTATTATACAAACCTCAAAAAGGAGAATGGCAGGGGAAATCCCAAAGTGAAGAATGTGAACGGATTATCCATGGAATTGATCAGCTTTTGACACTAGGTATGTATCTAGAAATCTGGTACCTTTTTCCCATCATGTTTGTGTAGTGGATTAAAAACTTTGGATTCATACTGCAAATACTCAGACTGTGTTCCTGGCTGACAAGTTTTCTAAAAGGTTGCTTAATCTGTTTTTAATTTCTGAAGGGCTGTATGTAAATCCATGATGTATGTAAATTGAATACATTAATTTAGATGCTTCAACTGTTGTTGTTATTTATTTATTTATTACAGATATTTCAGCAGCATTTGCTGGCCCAGTTGATCTGAATAGGTATCCAAAGTACAGTACAGTAATAGCTTATCCAACAGACCTTTGGACTATCAGAATGAGACTTGTCAACAGGTTTTACAGGTTGGTCTGAGACTGCACTAGAAGGATGATAGCATATCCGTCTTATAAAATTGCTGAAAAGTTAAACCACATGTAATATTGCATATTTTGGAAATCCTTGGTACGCTCCTTTGCTGAGGTACAGTTCAGATGAGGCAACATTATAACTTCAATAGGAATTGGATGTTTACTATCCTTAAAATATGGCAGACTTTTGGTTTAGCTGCAATACCACAGTTTTCAATATTTCTAAATAGCTTTTAGTTACCTACGCATTTAGAATTTAGCATAATATACGTAGTTCACCTCTTACGCAAGGGTTAGGTTCCGGAGGTCCAAGTGCATGCACAAAAACAAGTAAAGCCAGGAAGCCCTGGAAAAGGGCTCTCTGCAAGGTGGATGGCTTCCCTGGCCTTGGGAAAGTGATGCAAGGGCTCTAGGACTCTGCAAGAACCCTTGCTCCGCCTTCCTAAAGCCAGGTAAGCCTGCAATCACAGAATTGTGTGGGATAGGTGGGGAAGGGGAAACATGGAGAGTCTACCCACCCATGCAAAGCTGTGATTGCATAAGATGCAGGTTACCTAAATACAGATGCCTGACTGGATCTTTCCTTTCTAACACAGTGAGAAATAAGCTGTACATGGGAGGGATTTTCTGGTGGCTTGAGTGAAGATAGGGTCACAGTTGTACTATCAAGAAATAGTCGATACAGAATATGTAACTGTGATAAAAGTAAGCGCAGGGTAGGTGGTGATGGAAATTGGAAATAATACCTTCAGGAGGTTTAAAAGTGTGAAGTGTGAATGACACTAATGCACTTTTGCATGAAATGATCATTGTTAAAGAAATTACTACCGTATTTTTTGCACCATAACACTCACTTTTTTCCTCCTAGAAAGTAAGGGGAAATGTCTGTGCGTGTTATGGAGGGAATGCCTATGGGTGGCGGGGGGAATCTGCTGCAGTCGTGAGCAGAGGATCCATGGTTCCCCTTCCTTCCCTCCTCCGTGGCTCGCTTTGAAACAGCAAAGCGGGAGAAGAGCCGCTGAGTGGGGAGGAGAGAGGGACAGAGAGCCTGCTTCTTTAAAGGAGCAAAGCGGGAGAGGAGAGGAGCCGCTTACACGAGTGTAAGCGGCTCCTTTCCGGTTGGTTCCTTTAAAGCAAGCAGGCTCTCTGTCCCTCTCTCCTCCCCACTCAGCTCGCTACATAGCAGCAAAGTTTTTCAGCTCGCTAAGCCGGGGATGAGCGGGGAGGAGGAAGAAAAGCAGAGCCTGCTTGCTTAAAGGAGCAAAGTGGGAGAGGAGAGGAGCCTTCTCCCCTTATACCCCTCTTCTTCATTATTAGCAGCATCCTTCTCCACCCACCCCACACGTGCTCCTTGTCCCTTGAGTGCTTTTCCTTCCCTCCCCACTTAAAACGTGGATACAAAGCACGGATCCACATGGATCCTCAGGATTTTTGCACTGGGTCACCCCAAATTCACCATCAGATCACATAGCATGTCCATGGCTACATCTTGCACCAAAAAAATCACGCACCCACTGTTGCCTGGGGCCGCAGTGGTGCAAAAACGTGGTTACAAAGCATGGATCCACATGGATCCTCAGGATTTTGCATTGGGCTACTCCAAACTCACTGTCAGATCACATGTCTGTGGCCACAGCATGAACCACAAAAATCATACCTCCACTGTTTCGTTTAGAATATTTTTTTTCTTGTTTTCCTCCTCTAAAAACTACATGCGTGTTATGGTTGGGTGTGTGTTATAGAGCGAAAAATACGGTATATTACTGACATGAACATGGAGTATGTCTGGATTCAGCAAGAATAGGACATTAGCTTGTTAAAACTCCATGATAAATGAAAAGCAATATTTTTTCCACTTAAACATTTCCAGTTTTAGTGACTGAGCATTTCCAGATCTAGTTGTTATATAATATTTTTCTCCTGATTAAAACTCTAATCTGTTTACTATTAAACATAGGAGGCTTTCTGCATTGATTTGGGAAGTAAGATGTCTTGAGAGCAATGCTCGGACCTTCAATGTGCCCAACAGCACTATTGCTAGATCTGCTCAGAAAATCACAGATCAACTCTTAGAATTCATTAGGTAAGCAATATTTCAGGATGAAATATTTTTGGTTTTTCGTTGCTTAAAAGGAAATCAGAATTGTCTTACTTCTGGTCATTGCTTATGACCATGGTTTACATGTCAGTGTTCAGAATAGATACAGTATTCACAGAAGTCTCTTGTCTTCTGTAAACAAGAAGAGGAAGGGAAACAAATTTTTTTTTGCTTTGCTTTTTTCAAATTCTCCCCTTTTCCTGGTGAATTAGCCACACAGCCATTTTTGGATTCAAGTTGCTTTAGCAGCCCAATCAGGAAACCTCTGATTACTTTGAATGTTCCTCTTCTCTCTCTTGCCATCTTCTCAGCTTCATTTTCCTGCCAGCTGGGCTCACTCCTTCTCTGTCTATTGTGTGTGTTAATTGCTTCATTCTTCTTTTGTCATTCTCTTTCCATTGCCTTTTCTCTTTATGGCATCTTTCTTCCTTTTCATTTTCTATCCTCTGGTAGGTCCCAGCTGTGGCTGTGTGGCTAGTTTGCCATGAAAATGGAACATTGGTCACCCTGAAGGGGGCTTTTCTGACAGACAACATCACACAGCCAGGCTGCAGCCTGTAGTCATTTGCTCACTGGGACTACACAGGTCTGAAACACAAATATAAGACAAATAACAGTACCTATTTTTCTGGTGCTGTGGTCCAATTCTAGAGGTATATTCACTGAGAAGATCTTTGGGGCTTGGCCAGAACAGAAACTGAGAAGACTGTGAGAGGGAAGGAGTAGTCATCTTTAAAATAATTCAGAGGTTTTCTGTGAGGACTCCTAGAACAACATGAACCCAGCAGTGGTTGCTGTGTTATCTACCAGAAAAGGCCCTTTCACAGTAACTGAGCAATATTCCATTCTTTTGTAGATCCTTTGCCACCTCCTACACTATTTCAAAGAGTCCCTGAACCCTCTGAAGTAGATTCATGAGTGTGTACAGGGGACTGCACAGAGAAAGGGAAATCTGCTAAAATCACCCTGTTTTTCATTCAAGAAGCCTCTAAGGGCATTAAAGAAATTTCCACAAGTGAAGGCAACAGAACAAGACACAACCTATTGTAACATTACATTTTTATTTTCCAGGAATCCAGATTGTACAGATATTTTTGAGTTGTGCATTGCAACTAACAATGGGGACAGCATTGATCCTGATTATCTGGTAATAAAACCTTATTTTTACCCTGCCTAGATAACTGCTAGCTCTTCCCTCTTCGGTGCTATTCTATTAAGCCCTGCCCTTTCCCTTTCCCTTCGCCCTATTAATAATAGTAGAGTAGGCTCAAACTTGTAAGTTCATTGAACAGCAGGGTGGTGTCTGGCGCATTTTCTCTAAATGACAACTTAAGACCCCAAACCCTTGAGTGGAGCTTTCTAACAAAATATTGCTGTGTAGAGTTCTATTCCAGTTACTTCTTTTCAACTGCTTCCCTACAATAGTTGGATAGCATTTTTGTGGGATGGGAAGGAATGAGTATGTGGATCTGCTGATGTCCAATCCAGCTACATTAAAATATTGTATGAGCAGTTCTCACTTCTGTATCTGGGGACATAAATTCTCAGTATGAACCTGAAAGTGTCCTATCTAAACAATGTGGTTCTCTATCCTTTTTTATCTCTGCTGTATCCTGCCCCCCACCCCCATCAATTAACATTCTGTGGTCATGGGGTCGTCATTGGGGTTTCTGCCTCCCTTGCCTTGCCTTAGGTTTTCCCCACAAAGACTTGAGGGACTTCCCTCTTAGGTGGTGGTGGTGTTTTGTAAAGATTTGTTTGTATTCCGGCAACCTCCAGAGTCTGATGGTGAGGAGTTTTGGATAGAAAAGCACAGGAGCAAAAAACATCTGAATCGGTATTAGAAGCAACACTCTAGATCAGGGGTAGGCAACCTAAGGCCCATAGGCTGGATCTGGCCCAATCGCCTTCTCAATCCGGCCTGTGGACGGTCCAGGAATCAGCGTGTTTTTACATGAGTAGAATGTGTCCTTTTATTTAAAATGCATCTCTGGGTTATATGTGGGGCATAGGAATTCGTTCATTTCTACCACCCCAACCCCCCCAAAAATATAGTCTAGCCCACCACATGGTCTGAGGGATGGTGGACTGGCCACGGCTGAAAAAGGTTGCTGACCCCTGCTCTTGATGAACATTTCTGGTCTGTTTTGTAGGATGATGAAGAGACCGATGTTCCCAGAGCACCTTTGAGAAGAGTAAGTCTGTTTACCTTGACAACAACCTTTGCCCAGTCTGTGAGATAGTAGCAGGATTTTTCCATAATACTCCTACATTATACAGATGAATTCTAAATCCTGTGTCCCAGTCTATCCTAAAGGTTTGGCAGTCAATTCTTCCATGCTACATTTAGAAATACTGTGTTTCTGTTTTAAAGAGTCGGGGCTTGAAGAGGAGACTCAGCTATGATGAAAACACTTGGAAGAAGCAATGTATGGACCTTGTTAATCTAATTTTCCAGTGTGAAGATTCTGAGCCATTTAGACAACCTGTTGACCTGGATCAATATCCTGTAAGTTCATATCATTATCATCATCATCAGTATCATTGACGTTCATTTCATTTGCATTTCCAGCATCCAGTGTTATTTCCTATTACTATGAAAAGAAATGGGCAAGAGTTTTCTTGAGTAGCTTAGGATGAGAGAACCTACACACTCCAATGTCAAATAGTTACAGAACTATTTCCAGGGTTCTAACTGTTAAAGTGGCAGGTGGTCCTACCTAGCCAATTCCAGATCAGTCAGGTGGAATAGTGACTACCTGTGGCTTTATGTTAACAGTGACAATAAAGTAAAATAGAATTTGTGTTCAACATATAAGCAGGCTTTGAAATCCCAATCTTATTTATTCTGAGTACTGGAAGGCCTGGAGTATTTCATGGACAATGATTAATGTCAGTTTTGGATGATTATTGATTTAAAATATATCCTGCTTGCTTCAATATATCAAGGTGATTAACAATAAAATTAAAATAATTATAACACAAACAAAACCACACTAAACCAACAAAATGAATTGAGAGAGAATCAAGACAGCATTAAAACAATTCATTTAAAACAATCATACCTCAAAAATCTTACTGAAAAGGAAGATTTTAGTACTTTAGTGGAAGGCTATTAGAATGAGCTCAAGAGAAACGGAATTTAATAGCTTGGGTGCAGCCGTTAGGAAGGCCCTTTTTGTGGTCCAAACAAGATGTGTGTTGAGACATGAGAGAGGATCTTTGTTGAAGGTCATGTTAGGCAGGCAGGTTTATACAGGAAAAAGCATAATTACTCTGATTTAACCTTATCATAATCAAAAGTAGACCCACTAAAATCTATGGGGTCAACACTGAATGTGATTCAACCCACTGGGAATATTAATTTCCAGGCCTGTCTAGGCCCGCTAATGTTTTTAAATGTTTACAATGTTCCTTCAGATATTCTACAAAATTAGTCCATTCTTTTTGTCCTAGGCCAAGAATAGCACTGGTGATATAATTAGGGTAAAATTTGTAATAAGGGAGATGAATAAATTAGATAAAGATATAAAGACGCAGAAAAGATAATAGGTAATGATGGGAAACTGGGGGGGGGGGGGGAGGTCCGAGGGTTGAGAACCTCCAAAAGATAATGTTTTGTTGTGTTGATATGAATGTAAAATGTAAGCAAAAAAATTCCTTAAAATAGTTAAAAAGGGAATATTAATTTCCAAATCTGTGTTCAAGATGCTTGGCCAAAGTTGACAAATATAGTTGTTTCTTTTCAGTCCCTAGGAAAATGTATGTTACAGTCACTGGGATCATTTAGCACAAAGTGTGCTCCTGTTTTGTTTTGTTTTGTTTTAAATGAATTTCAGGTTTACATATCTGTGTATAAGAAACTTCACCCCATTCCCCACATCTTAAATAATGGAGTTATTTGGATGTCTTTATTTAGGACTACCGGGAAATTATAGACACACCGATGGACTTTGGGACTGTGAAGGAGACATTAGAAGCTGGGAACTATGACACTCCAATGGAACTTTGCAAAGATATTAGATTAGTATTTAGCAATGCTAAAGCATACACTCCAAACAAAAGATCCAAGGTAATGTTTCTGTGCCATTTACCTAACTTGTCAAATCAAGGGGGGAAAAGGAAGAAAGCAAGTGTCCAAAAAGAAACTGATCACCCTATCATATGTTATATAATTGCAAATCCTGTGTCTTAATTAAAGGCTGCACTCTTACTCCTAAGTAAATTTGCATAGGATTTCTGCCTTAATGAACATATTTCATTAAACTAGATTTTTTAAAAGTGTATGGTCCTGTGTTGTGTGCAGTAGAAAGTACAGTTAGTACATAAATCTCACAATTTTTGTTCACTGCTTGAATATTTTGTATTAAGCAGTTTATAAACTCTTAAATTAATAGTAATGAAATTTTACAATTGGATCACCAAATGCAAGTGTCTTAAACTTTTTTAAAAATTAAAAATTAACCTATTTCTTTTGCAATCTAGATATATAGTATGACATTGAGATTATCTGCACTGCTTGAGGAAAAAATGAGGAGAATTATCTCTGACTTTAGAACTGGACAAAAATACAATGAAAGATTGCGGAGAAGTCAGAGGCACAATAGGAGGCTGCAAAGTCGAAGTAAATTACAGCAATCTACCAAAACACTCAGGTAAATCTTCTTCAATCTGAGGGTGTTCTTCATTGGCAAAAGCTATTTGAGGATGTGATTGAGATGTGAAGATTGCAGTCCTGTAATGCACCCTTACCTTACAGGAGAAGTAAAAAGGCATAGGTTTATGCTGCTAGATAAACCATGTAAATCAGTTCATCTGATTAACTTGAGGTTTTTGACTGATGGAAGGAGCATAGTTTCAGTGTAGTTTTGGATACTTTCAAAGGTTGTGCAATGGGAGTTGACTCCCCCCCCCCCTGAATACTCTCAAAATCTGCTCTGGATTCTGATGTATAGTACTTCTCACATGTTTGATATGTTGAGGGACATACTACTACTATGTTGAGGTACATTTCTACTAAAATGAGCTTTCAAGGTAATTTCATATTAAAATAATATAAAATGCCAACAGAATTTAAAGGATTTAAAACTTTTTAAAAAATGACAAAAGTGCAGTGCTGCTATTATACTGGTTAAAAAGTTTAAATATGATAAAATGAACATGTACATTGCTATGTTATAGGTGTGGCTTTCAGTTTGAGTACTTTGCATTGATTGTGTTGCATATTAAAATTAACTTAATACAATCTTAGAAGCATCTTAACGAGGGGAAAAGTACCACTGAAATAAAAATTAATTTTATAAAATGCAACCATATTCATGGACTGCATATTGTTTTCCTCCTGTTTGTCAAGAAATGCGAAGCAGAAGCAGTGTAAATCTCAGGGTAAAAATCAGTCTGAGCCAGAAGATTCTTCTAACCAAAATACCTCAAGCAGAAAGTCGTGTGTTACAAACCATAAAATGTATGCTGGCACGTCCAGCCGCAGTGTTGCCGGCATATCTTCTGATTCCGCCTCATCATTTGGGAAAAATGCACGAACAAGGAGCACAGCTGTAGCACACAGTTCTGCATTGTCATCAGGTGAGTGATTAGTTTGTGGGGAAATGGTTAAAAGAAACTTTTCTCTCTAATTGTAAATACACCCTTTGTCTTGAGGTTTAAAATTGCTCTCAAGCAGACATAACCTTAATGATATTAAGGTAATCAGACCATCCGTACAAAATTCTGTCATTTTCCAGGTATTCTTACCTTTGGCATATTGAACTTTAATTTTTTATGCTGTACATCTTTTTGTGAACTGTAAAGTGGAAGTGCAGCTTCACATTTCTTAAATGTATACTTCTTCTGCATTTCTTAATGTACTTTGTCTTTTGACACAAGCTTTTGGCCATGTTGCTAAGCAGATGGGAGATGCTTTAGAATGTTGAGAACGGGAAAATAGAATTTGATTGACTTAAGAATACCAAGAGTAATATGGAACAGTTTGAACGCATTGTCGTATCTGCAGTTCCTAGACATTAGAACTGAACCCTGTGATCATCATCTGAGGCCTTTCTTCATGTGCCCCCTCCACGAGAGGTCTGGAGAGTGGCAACATGAGAACGGACCTTTTCTGCGGTGGCTCCCCATTTGTGGAATGCTCTACCCAGCAGGGCTCATCTACCGCCTTTATTACATATCTTTAGATGCTAGGCAAAAGCTTTTCTTTATAATCAGGCACTTTGACTGATTAAACAATCTATGGCCTTTAAAATGTGTTTGTGGATGTGGGGTTATTGGTTTGTTATTTCTTTGTGTTCTTATTTTCTATTTTTGTGTTGTAAACTGCGCTGTGATCTTCAAATGAAGGACTGTATACTACTACTACTACTAATAATAATAAATATATTTGAAGAAAAGGGGAAATCTGTTTTGAAGTCTTACTTGCATACAATTATTTACCTTTCCAGAAAGTGAGCTGGACCACTCAACAACAGCTTCATCTTCAAGTAGTTCAGAGGAAAGCAAAGAAAGTTCTGCAGAAATCTCATCCCCTATAGTACATAATGGAATATCCAGGAAAAGAAGTGATTTCAGAGTTACTAGAAACAGAGTCTATCAGCAAATGGGTAAGAGTAATTCAGCTAATGTTCATTGCAGAAGTTGGGTCACTGCTTCCATTATTCCCAAGTATATAGTTGTGAATTTACTTTGAAATCCACTTTAGATTGGCCCAATTGAGATCCTCAAGGTATCTTAATGGCAACACAAATAAAAGAAATATAAAACCAGCACATAAACAATGTTTGTAAACTATCAAAAACAAGAATATTAAAAGCAATAATCCTGGTAGATAATGGAGATGCCATAGTGCACAGTAGTATACAGTTGCTACTCAAATGGTTATCCAAAATATTGAGCTTTAACTAGCTTTCTAAAAGTGCAAGTAACTCTGGCAGGTCTGCCTGGGGAAAGAGCTCCATGGTGGAAGTGCTGAGAGCCAAGCCCCATCAGATGGCTTGAAATCTTGAAGTCATGCAGTAGGAATTCCTTGACGTAACCTTGACCCAGAGCCTAATCTTCCATGGGCCACCTTGATGGGTTTGTTTTCAGGCATGGTATGGATTCAGATGGTGTTGCCAAAAGACGTTTTCCTTTGCAAAGACCATCTGTGGAGGGAAAACATTCTGTTAGCACCAGTCTGTTGACTGGCACTGTCAACAACCCCTACTTGCCAAGGAACAATTGGGTGCACACTTTAAGTTCCTGACTTAGCAGTCACCTGCCCCATGTTAGATGTCACATGTGACATATGTTTGGGCAAGTTTGTGTAATTTGAGGGAAACTGATCCCCACACCTGGCTTTAAATGACAAATTCTGTATTTTGAATTACACTCGAAAATTAAATTGAAGCCCAGAAACCAACTTGCTGCCTGTGACAATGTGTGCTTTTTTTATCTTGATTTGCATGTATTTAAATGTTGAGTAGGGAAAATGCTAGACTAAAATGCAGTTGTGCCAAGATTCTCTCAAATGTCTCTCTTGCTATAGTATTGTGAGTGATTGTGGAGATATTTTAAATCTATTTCTAAAGTGGATTAGATTTCCACCATACAGTTTCATGAAATACGTCCAGGTTCCGCTATCCCCATGCTCATATGCCCCAAACTTGTTATGTGCTCCGCAGAGTCACTTATCCAAATTGCCTGCTTCCTTACTACTTGGTTTGTTTGCTTGCTTTGCTAGTCAGTGGCAGCCATTTTCAGGCAGAGACGGAGTGCGGAGCAAGATTGGACAAATCAGGAAGCAGGAGAGTTCAGTCAAATGAGCTTTTTACTTTGTCTTTCTTTGGATGATTGGCTGCAGCCATTTCAGGAAGACACCATAGAAGGGGTGGGAAAAGGGAGTGGGCAGATTCTGCATTAGAAATACGATTTCTACAGGAAATAGTGGAAATTGTGTACTTGTTATACAAATGCTCACCTAATGAACAGTTTCCAGGGAACACATTTCATTCAGTAAGCGGGACCTGTGTGTATTGTTCCAGAGCTTTGCATGATTCTGAGCTTAGTGACAGGCAAATTGTACACATTTTAAAATGTTCAACATAAGTAAACCTCCTCATTTTTGTGTCTAGCTTATCAAGAGAATGGAAATAGCCAAAGAACTACCAGAAAAAGAATATCTGAAAGAGAAATGGATAATTCAAAAGAGCTATATGAGACTTTTTGTAACAGATCTGGAAGGCACAGAAAAGTTCCACGTAGAAGTGCTACTGTAGCAGCTAATAAATTAAGACTGATGAGTGATGTAGAAGAGGAGCTATCCAGTTCAGAAAGTGTTGGTATTGGAAGCAAAAACAGAAAACTGCCTCATCGCAATGCTTCTGCCGCAGCCAGAAAAGTATTGCTAAATGAATCTGAGGAAAGTTCCATACAGTCTGAAAGTGACAAGGAAGTAGAAGAATCTAACCGAGGGAAAACCTTCAAAGCTGGTTCAAGTGCTGTTGGTGTTCGAAAAAAGCATGCTAGTGAATCTGATAGTGGGAGCTCAGATTCTGAAAATAGTGTGCAAAAAACACTAAAGGGTTGTCACGTTAATGGCCAGAAGCAGTCACAAAGAGCTACCCGCTGTGCATCTCCAAAAATAAATTCCCCTGTTGAATTTTCAGAAGATGACTCCAAAAGCCTTGTGTCAGAGGATGGGAGCATTCAGAAAGCTGCTTACCAGTTACCTTCTGCATCCAGAAGTAATAACAGAAATATCTCTGAGGCAGATTCTGAGCCAGAAAAATGCAATGGTTTAGAAAAACAAACCTGTAAAAGAGTATCAACTCATTTCAGGAAAGCTAAGGTATTAAGTGACTCGGATGAAGGACTGGAGTCAGGGAAGGAGGATGAGCGTGTCACTTTTTCAGAGAGCAGAGGGTCTTCTAAGATGCCAAGACTACCCAAAGATAGCTCCAAGTGCTCATCTGATTTAGAGTCTGGAACTGATAGCAGCAATTCAACAAAAAGAAGGAAAAACATCAGGAAAGGTGATGTATTTTAAATGTATAAAATGTGATTTAATGCACATTCCAGATTTTAAAAGCTTTTCCCTTGTAGCCGCTCTAAGTGAAACTATCCAATATTCAGCAGAGTTTAAATTTTGATGAATAAAATCTATCTAGATCATAATCTGGGATTTAAGCAGCACAACAGTTCTCAAGATAGCAATCCTGGTCGCTCCTAGTCACAACTATTGCAGGCATGGTTGATTTAAAAGACCTTGCTTAACTGAATTTTGTTTTGAAGTAGTACATGCTATGAAATATTAAAATGAGGATATAGAACTTGTTTCTTAAAAGTCAAATCTGGGGTGCTGTCCAGTTGTGGCATCCTACTGATACAAATAGAACTTCTATTTCTCCCTGAAAACTCCTCTCCTAAATCTGTTCTTTAGAAGCCTTTGAGAACACTTTGTTAGCTCAAGCACTAAAGTTTGTGGAACACTGAGTGTAACATGGGGCTGATTTGTTTGTGTGGATGTGGATTAATGACAGGTGGATTGTATCTTACCATCAGATGTATGCATGTACTAGCTGCTTAGCTTTAATAAGTAGTCTGTAAATGTACAATTTTTTCAATGAAACTAGCTTTTGTTAATGTTTGATATTGTGCTATACATGCCAGGTCTGCTTTTATATAATAATCTTTCCATGCCTTTATAGAATGTGTCATCCAAGAGAATGGGTGCAGACGTTCTGCCAGGAAAAGGAGGCATGAAAGTGATTCTCAAGAAGAGGGAGTTTATAAAATACAAAATAGCAACCATCACGGTTACCGAAGATTGCCTCGTAAAAGTGCTACTGTGGCAGCTTATAAACTGAGGAACATAAATGATGTGGAAACCAGAGGCTTTGAAAATGAGGAAAAGCTGAACCATCACAATGCAGTTTCTATAACTAGGAAGTCAAACAGTTCAGGGGATGGAGACCAACAGTCTGAAGGAAAAAATAGGAGATATAGCAGAAGAAAGTGTCGTCAGACTGAGTCAGCTGTTTCTGCTAAGAGATATGATAGTGAGTCTGAAAATAGTTCAGATTCTGAAAGTGCTTTAAGAAGAAACAGGCATGTTAAAACCCATGGGCGCAAGCATAGAACTGTTTGTGATGAATCCCCTAATATAAAACCCAGGGTGGAGGTTTCAGAAAATAACCCCAAAAGCCATATGCCAAAGGGCAGAAGTCTTGATAAACCTTCTATATATTTGCATAGTACTGTAGCCAGTTATGAATCTGAACTAGATTCTGAGTTAGACCAATGCAGTGAGGAAGTTAAGAAGAAGCATGACTCTCGGAAGACTGTAGATTCTTCTAGTAAATCAAAAGACAAAAATCGCAGCAAAGCCACTGCAAAATCTGATGTAGAACATAGAGAGGATGGAACAGACTCTCTGCCAGAAACCAAGGAACTTTCAAGAAAGCCCAAATATAAATCCACAGTGGACTCCAGTTGTACTTCTGATTTGGAAATTGAATCCTGCTCCAATAGTAGTGATGCCACAACAGAGCAACACAAGAAAAAGAAACGAAAGAGAGAAGCTGTTAGAAAAGGTAATGTTTCTTGTACTAATAGATTTTAAATCGGTGCCTGAGGGAACTGGTAAGGCTAACACATCTATCTGCTGTTGGGAGCCAATGGACCTCTTAAAGCACTAGCTGGAAATAAAGTGCAATGGCTTGTGTTTAAAAATATATAAAGTCTATTTAAAACAGTATCAGCATTGTAAAAACAGTGTCTAACATAAAAACTATTGGGGTATGTAGAACCCTACAGTATTTATAGAAGAGAAGGCAAAACAAACCAAGAAAATGCCTAGGTGAAATACTGGGCTTTATAGAAAATAATGGCAATCATCTGGTGTACTGAAATAGATTAAGAGAGTCTCCTTATTGGTCAAAATAAGTGTTGCAAGTTCATCCTGAATGATCAAGAATTAGAATTAGAAAGTTAAAGAAATGCCTGCCATGCTAACAGTGTAGTCTTATGCAGGTCTACTCAGAAGTAAGTTCCATTGAGTTCCATGCTGCTTGCTCCTAGGGAAGTGTGTATGGGATTATTGGTGGGTACTTGCTGCCCTAGGCAGTGTGAAGTGCTTATAACATTAAAAGTCTGCTTAGAACTTTCATTATTAAAAATATTTTAATGGTGCTTAAATTTCACAGTTGTACTGTTATCCTATATAATAGAGTTTGGTTTTGAATTATTACTTCAGTATATCATTTGTCTAAATGCACTCATTTCTGTTGGGAATAAAGTATTTTGAAATTTAAAACTTTTCTCTTGTAGAATCAACCCGAGTGATAAGGCAAAGTCCAGTATTACTCCGGAACAGGAAGAATTGCAGAAATTCTGCAGAATTGAATAGTGAAACAAACAATATCAAAACCCCTAATGGAAAGAAAATCCCACGCCGTAGTGCTACTGTGGCTGCAAGCAAAATCAAGCTAATTAGTGATGCCAAGGAAGAGTTCTCAAGTTCAGAAGTTAGATACCCTAAAAGCAGGTACAGAAAATTGCCTCATCGCAATGCCTCTGCTGCGGCCAGAAAGATGATATTGGATGTTGCACCTTCACCCTCTGAAAGTGAAGCAGAACTAAAGGAATGTGAGCTCAGACAGAAACAGTTTCAGACCTCCTCTTACAGAGCTAAAAAATCTAGCAGAGAACCAGAGCAGAAACATTTGGACTCTGAAGTAGAAAGTGTGGTGGAACAAAAGAGCAGACAGAGCAGAGCCCCAAGGAGACGGTCTCTCACACCTGTGCGTAAAACAGTTCCTAAAAGGAAAAAACGTGCAGTAGAATTTTCTGAAGACGAATCCTCCAGTAGCATGTCTGCAGAGCACATAGATTCAAGCCAGCCACTGCTTCCTGATAACCATAATGTTTCCGAATTGGAAAAAGAAGATAGTGATAAAAATATGAGGAGTACAACAGAGACTGGAAAAGGAGAGAGAAAACAAAGAAGTTCTTTGTCAAAAACCCCTGGAACTTCAAGGAACTCAAAACCGGAACCTGATGGCAGTTCCAATTATTCTTCTGCTTCAGAATCTCAAACAGACTCAAAAAATATTGACAGTAGGAGAACTAGAAAGACAAAAAAGAGGAAAAGGAAAGCCATTTCAATAGATGACACTTTAAATGATGGCTTTTCTGAACCTTCCAAAATACCGCAGAGAAGGAAACGGCCAAAAGTGAATGAAGAGAATGATTCTGAGGAATTGGATTATACCAAGTATAAAAGAGGGAATCGACGTTCCAAAATTAGAACTAGAAATGGGGGCAGGAGAACTGTAAGATATGCAGATGATGAAGATGACTGTGAAATGTAACCTTGACAGGAAAATCTAGCCCACTTTCCTTTTGCTAGTGATACTAGCAAGATGTTGAATCTTCTCTTCCTCTAATTCAGGGAATATATTTATATTTTTCTATGAAAAAGTTAAATGTGGAGGCTCTCCTTTTCATAATATGACTTGCACATGCCTGCCTATGTAGCAGCATTTAGCACATATGCCAAAATGTGCCTCATTGTAAGGGGCAAACTTTTGTCTTCAATGGTATTTTGCTAAATATAGTAAGTGGTGGGAGGGGGCTGAATAAAACATTAGGCAAACACAGCTTAAAAGCTGTTTGTTTAGACAGTATTATGGTGCTGCAGACACTACCTATGTCTTGCCATATTAGCGTGTTTAAAGAACAGATGAATGAACAGCCTGGCGTTTTAAGAACCCGTATATCAGTGACAGACCAGCCTCTCATACTGTATATTGTAAACAACTTAAAAGTGGTTACTGATTTAAAAACACACACCAGATATATGAGAAATAGGCACCCAAAGTAACAACCTGTTAAAATGAGCGGTGCTATGGATTTCTGAAAAACACAGCTTGAACTAATCGGTAATTAAGGGGGATAAAACACTTCCTGATTTTATAAATATGTCAATAAAAAGCTTCGCTGTCAGATATGTGGCTTCCATACTGTAAATTTGAGACCATTAGAATACAGGTGACCACTTGAGCCTAAGATTTTTCTTTGTGTGAATTTTTGTTACAAAACAAGCAAAAACTTAAGTTTGTGCTTTTTTTTATTCAAAATGGATTAAAACTTTTAATGCTCAGAGTGCTAGTATTTAAGGTGTTTTTGCTAAAGTTTGATGCCTAATTCCTTAAGATATAATTATTTATAACTTAGATAATTGGTGCACTTAAGCCACCCCAGCTCCTGATTTATTATTTTTTCAAAGTAAAGCACCTTCATGTTGGTGGTGTTTAGGTTGGCACTGTTGGAAACAAAAGTAATTTCACTTCATTATTGTATATCAAGAATGGAAGTAAATAGTAATACCACCCCATTTGGATTACCTTCTCTAGGATGTTATTTAAACTTCTTCCCCTTCCTGGGGAGTGATCTGTTTGCTTTGTATGACCCCCATTTGTTCTAATTCTGTGAAAATTCTGTATAAGTATACCAGGTATTTAATTTATCTCTGTGGGTTTCTTGAAGTTTTATTTTGATAACTATTAATTCAGGGTTGTATGCGGGTTGTTTTTTTTTAATGAAACAAAACCCTGAACTACTGTCCTAGAAAGCTGGTTTTTTGTCTTCCACTTCTTGATTTCTCAAGGTAAAACTCCGGATAACATGGTTTGTCTATTAATAAAAGACTCCTAGTGATCAAAGTTTTTTATTTTTGTATGTTTAGTTAGAAACTGTACTTGATATGGATAAACTTGCACATTCTGTGTTTAAATGAAGCTTCTTTGGAGTAGATTTGTTTGTTTAGAATCCTTTCCTCCTGGCCATATGAAATCCTAGTTTCTTCATTCCAAAGTTCTGCATAATGGTACGTCTGTGACCAATCTTCCATATTAGTTCAAGTAAATGACACCTGCCAATCATTCATTGTGGCTGCCAGAGGGGCCGAATGCCCCAAGGGTTCTGATGTCACTAAAGTAAAGCATACATCAAGAGTTGCAAGCTTATGGATTATTCATAGAATCATATAATTGTAGAGTTGGAAGGGACCCTAAGGGTCATGTAGTCCAACCCCTTGCAATGCATGAATCTCAGCTAAAGTATCCATGGCAGATGGCCATCCAACCTCTGCTTAAAAACCTCGAATGAAGGAAGATACTTGTCAATGTCCTTAAATTCTGATGGCCAGAACTGGACACTGTGTTCCAGGAGTGGCCTGACCAAGGCAGCATAGCGTGATACTGTTGCTTCCTTTGATCTGGATACTATGCTTATGTTGATGTAGCCTAGAATAGCATTAGCTTTTTTTGCTGCTACATCACAATGTTGACTCATGTTAAGCTTGTAGTTTACTAAGACCCTATATTCTTCTCATATGTTCTACAGGCAATCCAAGTGTCCCCCGTCTTACATTTGTGCAGCATTTTCTTGCTGTCTTAAGTGTAGGGCTGACATTTGTCTCTATTTAATTTCATTCTGTTAGTTGGGGCCCAGTTCTCCAATCTGTTAATATCTCGAATCCCGAGTCTTGTCTCCTGCAGCATTAGCTACCCCTCTGTTTGGTGTCATCTGAAAATCTGATGAGCACCCCCTCAATTCCTTCATCCAAGTTGTTTATAAAGATGTTGGAAGAAGAACAGACCCAGGACAGAACCCTGCAGCACCCACTTGTCACTTTTTTTCCGGGGTGACAAAGAACCATGAATGAGCACTCTCTGGGTTTGGTCAGTCAACCAGCTACAAATCCACCTAATAGTTCCTTATCCTGCCCACATTTTACCAGCTTCTCTGCAAGAATATCATGGGGAAATTTGTTGAAGGCATTACTGTAATCACAATACACTACATCCATAGCATTTATAAGTAGCTTGTCACTGATACACCAATCTGCCCCAGACTGTTTGGCTCAGGCTGACTCCATATATTAGCATGTGATGTAAGCAGTCCACGAGTAGATTTGGTAAAGTGGTTTGTGTAGTGTACATATTTCTCTAGTTCATCACCAGTGTTTGTTAGGCATTTAACCATTCTTTGCATAATTCATTGGTTGGTTTAAATATTGGCTGTAGCCACTGTTTAATATGTGACAGTCTTGTGCTAGGAACAGCAAAATGCTGATCTCCTATACATACATGGAAGAGTGCCCCACTGAGCTCAGTTTGTTTGAGTAGACATACATAGGACTGAAATGTAGGGAACTATGAGTCTGATGCATAGGTTTGTTGGTATGGCTCGATTCCCACATGTGGAGTACATGATCAGCCTATTTGCAGTTAGGGCATTTTCACGCTAACATGAAACTATAATGAGATCATAGCTGTAATGCAGGTGAGAAGCTATCAAAATGTGTAACTACCAAAGAGGTAAACTTAATAACAGCAATGCTGGGGGGGACGGGGACGGTAGTTAACTCATAATCTATTGTATCGTGAGGGGAAACGGTATAAAACACAGATGCAACATATGTTAAAAGCTTCCCCACTCTCCAGAATCACACTGATCAAATTTGGTTGCTCCTAAGCATGTTTAAAGCTCGCTCTTAAAAGATCTGAAAATGGATCTCCCATATCACATGTGGTTGCCAGCACTTTTTTTTGTGAACTCTCAAGGGAGATAGGGTTGTTGGCAGCAGGTAGCTTGTAAATTACGGAATTCAATCCACAATTTTAACAAAAGGGTAGTGAACACAGTGCCTTCTAGATGTCGACTCTCAGGGGTTCCAACTTCAAAAAAATAATGGGGTAAGCTTCGCCCTGCATAATTGATCACATGATGCATGCACACCATTTGAATGGCAATGCCCATCAACCTGGGGGGGCAGGCCCCTTTAATATTTTATTGGGGGGCCCAAACCCCAAGGAGTTGGCTCCTATGTTGACTCCCAAGTCCTATCAGTCTTAGCTGATATGGTCCATTATCAGCTGTAGCCTGCAGCCTCTGCAGAGGCACTATATGAGCTCCACTCTTCATTGACTGTTTCTGCCTCTAGGCAGAGCAGTTTCTCGGCTTCCATTCCCGCATCTAGTAAAAGTAATGCATATCCATGGTTTATATTCAGAATGTGTTCAAAAGCTGATACTGGAAAGAAGAAAACAATTGGATGATGTGAAAATGAGAGAGGAAAATAAGGTGGCATTGAGAACATCATAAGAGCTTCACTGCATTGGACTGAAGGTTCTGTTGTATCTCTTAACCTTAGGGAGAAGGTGAATTATAATTAATATAAATACCATTAAACATATATGCCAGTGGCTTTCTGGAAATCACCTGCTCATAATCTGATATTGAAAGGGATGTTCTCAGCCGAACTTGAAAAGAAGTCTTTCATGTTTGAAAGTGAAGAAAGTTGACCTCATTCTTTCATCCACATGTGGCCACCAGACTCTTGTGTTGTGGCCAGCCACAATGGCTTAACATGGAATTTGTGTTACAGAAATGTTGTTTGCTGAGTTTGAAACATATTTTAATAATTTTGTCACCTGAATGGTATCTTGATGGTCTTAAAATAACCAACTTAAGTTCTTCTTTGTATTTATTTGGAGCAGATGTTAAAAAATCTTTAGCATGTCCGACACATTTACGTACCAGTTAACTCTCATTAAATGTGACCCTTGCCAAGTGACTTGGGAGTTTATTTCAAAGGATTGCAGTTCTACGTAACTGGAAGCAGATAACTGAAGATGCATCCATAGCCAGATTGTTTTATATGTATAAAATGTACTATAACCTGATTACTTTAGCATCTAATATGTAGATTTTTTAAAATAAATCGGTTGTTCGTGCTAATTTATTATTTGTTTGCTGTATATTTTTCAGAATGCCAAATAAGAGTTGATCTTGAAAGGGGTGTATACTTCATTCAAATCAAGCTAGGGGCTGTACGCATGTTTGTGCCACATCTAAATTCATCCACTATGTTGCTCAGCAAACTCTTCATTTTTTACTTTCATGACTGGTCAGCCAGCTGCAGCCCAGCTGAGATATTCAAAGATAAAAAGAAAGTTATCCTATCATGTAGTTTAGTTTGTTTTGGAAGGGACTATGGAACTATTCAAAAATGTTTGTCACGGAATAATATTTTTTGGGGTGGCAGGGAGTGGAGAAATAGGAATTGGTCCTAGGCCCTGATCTTGAGAGTCTCCCTGTTTGGCAATAAGCTGCAGGAGCCCTGCTGTACATGTGGATATCCACTTATTGCACAATGGGGAGAAGGAATCTGCTTGCCATCTCCTTAAATAAGTGCTAGCAACTTCCTAAGGAACAGGGACCACAGTGCTTTCAAATGCAGCATGCATGAAAACGATGTCCAGAAAGTTCAACCCAGTCATATTCAATTTCCAAAGAGGAAATGTCTAAAAGCAAATACTGTAGTTGAAAGGAAGTTGAAAGGGAGAGCCAAGAGCATCAAATATCTTCAAAATTCTTAGCAGTCATTCAATAGCACTATAACAGAAAGAGATACAATTCCTCCCCCAGATTTGGAAACGTGCAAACAAGTTCAAGAGGATGCTAGGATGGTTAACAAGTAATGTAGAGTGAAGGAACTTGGAACTTGTCAAAGGCAAAGAGACTTTCTTGAAAAAGAGGAAGTCTTTCCCAAATGAAGAAAACAAGAAGAACGCAGCAGAACAAGCTGATGAAAAAATAAGGCAAGAAAATAATAAAGGGTGGTCATGTTGCTTTTTAAAAAGAAACGGGAAAAAATGCAAGTTTATTTAAATGCATCTGAAGTAGAAACTGGACAGAGACATAGTTGGACAGGAAAGGTGTGAATGACTGAAGGAAGATAGGGGAGGTTGCAAAGATGTTGCAAGAGTTCACTGTAGAAGATTTTGGGCAGATAAGAATCTGAGTCACTTTTGTGAGGGGATTACCTTAATAACTGAGATGATTATATAGAGGCGACAAGAGATAATAGTTCTAAGGCTAACTGGCAAAGTAAAAATAAGCAAGTTGCCAGGTCTGGTGGTGTGAACTTGGCTCTCTAACAAAAATGTGCAGCTTCTCAGGTAAATTGTAGAAAGCTTTACTAAAATGAACGTGATTTGTTGCATGCAGAGCCACCCCACCAAGGAGGTGGTATGAAGCTTGCACCTCTGGCAGCATAAGTGCAAGAGGCGGCACCCCACCCTCTCTACCGCTTCCCCGCTTCTGCCAGAAAGCCACCCTCTGGCCAGCAAGAGGGAGGCATTGCTGCTTGTCTTCCCTGTCTCTGGGAATCAGGCAGATAGTCAAGATAGCAAACTTTTTCAGCAGGGAGACGGTCCATTGTTCTTCAGACTTTGTGGGGGGCCGGACTATATTTCGTGTGTGTGTGTGGAATGAATTCCTATGCCCCACAAATAACCCAGGGATGCACTTTAAATAGAAGAACACATTCTACTCATGTAAAAACACGCTGATTCCCGGACCGTCCATGGGCCAGATTGAGAAGGCGATTGGGCCAGATCCAGCCTATGGGCCTTAGGTTGCTCTCCCATGGTGAAGAGCCCTGAAAGCGTATCATCAAAGTGGGTGAACAGGGAACAAAATGTCAAATAATGATTCATTATAACAAAGTGTCAAGTGATGGGTATTGGGGTGAACCAACACCTCCCCCCAAATGCACTGGTGGAATATGAGTTAACTGCAATTACCAAGGACAAATATCATGGTGAAGAGCTTAATTCTAAAAGTCAGTTTGATGTGTGGCAGCAGTAACAAA